CTTGAAAGGGGTCATTCCAACACTAGTGTGGTGAGCTGTGTTATACTAATATTCAACCCAAGAAAGGAGTTTGGACCAGTCTTTGGGTGCATCAAAGGTAAAATAACTCAAATACATCTCCACACATTTATTTAGGACCTTAGACTGGCCATCACTTTGCGGATGGTACGCTGTTGACATGTTCAATGTAGTCCTGCTTAGCTTCCAGAGATGTTGTCAAAATTGGCTAATGAAGACTTTATCTCTGTCTAAAACAATGGATTTGGGAATGCCGTGCAATTTGACAATCATCATCATAAATGCTTCTGCAACTTGTCGACTGGAGTAATATGCATTAAGAGGGGTAAAATGCGCATATTTGGATAATCGATCCACAATGACATATATGACTGTGTAACCATGAGAAGAAGGTTGACCTGTAATGAAATCCATAACTAATTCCTCTCAAATTTGGCTTGGAATAGGTAGAGGCTGTAACAGGCCAGCAGGCACAACTGTAGCAATTTTTGCTTGTTGACATATCAAGCATTGCTGAACATATTAACGTACATCAGCATGCATGCGACCCACAAAAATTGTGCAGCGACTGTAGCCAGTGTCTGTGTGTATCTAGCGTGACTACCTATAAGAGTGTTGTGAAACACATGAAAAGCTTGCTGGATGAGGGGGTGTTTTGCGGGTAATACCAACCTATTTTTCCAAAAGAGTAATTCACCCTAAACTGTGTAATGAGGCTTCACAAATTGGTTACCTTTGCAGGATTGTAATACAACATACAATTCAGAATCACCATGTTGTGTAGCTTTAATAGTAGATAATAGTTTAGGAAATGGTTGATACCAAGCCATAAAGAAGGATCGAGATAATGAATCAGCTGTTATATTTTCTTTACCAGGTTTGTATTCGATCGTGAAATCATAACCCAAGAGCTTATGGAGCCATTGTTGTTGTTCCGACGTCTGAAGAGTTTGATTTGTCAAACTTCTCAAGCTTTTCTGATATGTTCGAATTGTAAACCGATGGTCAAGCAAGTAATGTTGGAATTTAGCTATAGCCTCTGTAATAGCGTAGACTTCCCTTGCGTAAGTAGATTGCTTCTGCATTTATGGGGTCATCTTCTTGGAAAAGAAAGCAATTGAATGTTGATTATGACTCAACACTGCACCCACTCCCATACCTGATGCATCAGTCTCTAGAGTAAAAGGTTGGAAAAAATCTGGTAAGGACAATACAGGAGCAGTTGTGATAGCATGTTTCAATTGTAGGAAGGCAGATGTGGTGTTGTCACCCAAAACAAAATTATCCTTTTTAAGCAGATAAGTCAAAGGACTTGCTAGTAAAGCATAACCTTTAATGAAACGATAGTAATATCTAGTTAGACCCAAAAAACCCCTCAGTTGCTTTAAATTAGTGGGAATAGGCTAAGCTATGACAACTTGAACTTTACTATCATCCATTTGAATCCCTAAACTCGAGACCATGTGACCAAGATACTCAATCTGTTGTTAACCAAATGAGCATTTGCTAAGTTTAGCATACAATTGATGATGCTTAAGCAATTTGAGAACATATTCAAGGTGTTGCAGATGATCAATCCAGGATGAGCTGTAAACAAGGATGTCATCAAAAAATACCAAAACAGATTTCCTCAACATACTCTAGAATACCACATTCATTAGGCTATGGAATGTGGTTGGGGCGTTAGTGAGCCCAAATGACATGACTAACCATTCATAATGACCTTGATGAGTGTGGAAGGTCGTTTTATGTCTATCTTCATCCTTCACCAAAATTTGATGATACCCATATCTTAAATCCATTTGGAAAAATATACTGCACTATGTAATTCATCTATAAGTTCATCCACCGTTGGAATGGGGAAACTATCCTTACCAGTTATTGCATTCAACGCCCTATAATCTGTACAAAAACGTCATGTGCCGTCTTTCTTTTTTACCAAAATGATGGGAGATGAAAATGGACTTAAACTAGGCACAATAAGACCGGCTTGCAACATCTCTTGAACCATCTTCTCTATTTGTTGTTTCTAACTAAAAAGATACCTATAAGGCTTGACCTTAATGGGATTAGAGTCGTGTAGTAAGAGAATCTAATGATTGTGGGATCTAACAGGTGGCAAACCCGATGGTATAGAAAACACCTCTTGGTATGTGTGAAGCAAGAGAGTTATTTCGGGTTCAATATTTGTAGGTAATTCCATTCGATCATCTTAGGGGCAATGAACACTAAAATTGTAAGGAGTACAGTTCTACAATGGCATGAGTGTGTTGTAATCTGCGCATGTGATTGAATTGGGCTGGTGTAGGAAGCTTATTAAATTCTCCATGAAGTGTGATAAATCGATTTCCCAAGAGAAAATTCAGTGTTAATGTATTGTAGTCTGAGATATAGGCTCCTAAAGTGGAAAGCCATGCTGCTCCCAAAACTAGATCGGCTCCTGCAACCGGTAATAAGAACACCGACAACACTAAGGAATGACCCTGGATTTTGACATCCAAGTCCTTAATAGTGCCTTCCACCATTAAAGAACTCCCATTTCCCACCACAACCTTAAAATTCAGAATAGGTTCAACTGATAATTTGAGATAATGGGCCACACAAGGCTGCAAAAAATTGTCTGAATTGCCGTTGTCGAGCAATATTTGAATAGACATGCCTTGAATCGATCCTTGAAACCTCATGGTGCCTAGTCCCGAAGTTCCATTTAAAGCACTATATGATAAATGAGGGTCACTTTGAGTGGGGGACCCTGCTGCCACTGAATTCTCCTGGCCATTGTTCGGAGGGTCAATTTGCTCATCCTCATCTTCTATTTGCAGCAGTAAATAGTGTTTGTTTGGGCATCTATGAGAATGGGTGAATTTATCATCACATGTGAAACATAAGCATTTTTCTCTTCTAAGTTGCATTTTTGCTGGAGATATTTTCTTGACATTAGAATTTTGAGACGTGGTGGTGATTGATGGAGTCGGAGGCGGGCTAAGTAAAGGGGCAGAGAGAATTGTAGACCCCTAATTTTGTCCGGCCTCTCAATAAAGACCAGAATATTTTCTCTCTGAAGGCGGGTAAAGCTTCGGTGAACATCCATCGACATTAATCGGCTTCCGTCTGAAGAAAGGAAAGCTTCCCTGAAGTCCCAAAACACAAAATTTGGCCAAAACACTCGAGACAACCATCCCAGAAAGCAGGACAGTCGTCCAGACAGGTCAGACGCGCGTCTCACTCAAAATCATCACTTGAGACGGCCGTCCCAAACCTCAGACGACCGTCCCAACCTCTTCAAACCGTGGTCCCTATTTTCTGGACCCCAGACGGTCGTCCTGAGCTGCCAGGCTGAAAAAACTATAAATAGGGGTCTCATTTGCGTTTTTAAGACACACTTCACTCCTCTCTTCTCTCCCTCTTTCGAATGATCTCTCTGATTGCCTATAAGGTAACAATCGGTTAAGGAAGCTTCTTCCGACATTCGATTCTTATTAAAACTTTTGTAGTGTCGGTCTTGTATTCGGGGAGGAGAGTCTTTGTAATGCGGGGATTGCCAAAACGCATCCTCACAGTTGAAGATTTGTAATAAAAAGCTTGCTACGGAGGTTCTTTTCACTTCTCTTCTCTTTTATTGCTTTACTTACTGCTTTATGTATGCAACAGAAAATAGAATCATGTACATATCCATTTTTTATTGTACAATAAAATAGGGTAATAACGTAATTTCTCTTAATCTTTACTTTATGAATTAATCCGTCATAGGAACCCGAAAGGGGCGTCGTGGGGGTGCTAACACCTTCCCCACACGTAACTAACTCCCTTACATAACTCTGGTTATAATGTACAAGTTTGGTTTTTCTTAAAATCAACGTCTTTTTATCCTTTTCCAATGTTTATGGTCAAAACATTTGTGACGACTCCATAAGAACCTTTTTGCGAAAACCTTGCCTTTATTAGAGGATAGTTCAGTTGTTGAGCACCTCGGAAGAAATGAACACATTTTAAAATAAAACGCGAGTCTAAACCATCTTTTCGCGACCGCTCGCATAAACGTTCGAGATGTCCCTAGACGTCGGAACGGACAGCGGCAACAAGAATGATTTAAGGGACTGGGAAGGTGTTTGAGTCGGTTGGGTAGCTTGTGTGTTTAGGGTAATAAGTGTATTGGAGTTGCTTGGGTTTAGGAACAGGGGTATATTTTTCTTCAAACAATTTGGCTAGGGAAAACAACGCATCAGAGTGGTAGGGGCTTGAGCCAACACATCCCTATGTATTTCAACCTTTAATCCTTCAACAAAACAATCTAGAAAAGCCTCTGTTGTGACCCCTTGCACTTTGTTAACTAGTGTTGTGAACTTAATATAGTAATCTTGTACTGAGCTGTCTTGCATAAGCTTAAACAAATTGGATCTCGGGCACTCATACGAAGAATGTACAAATTCCAAGTTTTAAGGCTCTAGTAAGGGCAATCAAAGTTAGAAAATAATTAGTTCTAGACATTATTTGGAACCAGGGTACAACATCTTTCTCCATATGCATCGCAACTATAGTTAAGCATTGTTCATCCGGTGTATTATAGTACATAAAAAAATTGCTCAACACGAAAAATCCATTGAAGAACATCAGAACCATCAAATCTTGGAAAGTCCAATTTAACATTGCGAACCTGAAATGGCATCCGCGATGAATGAGCTGCATAACTGGTTTCCAATTTTGCAATGGATTGGAGCATTGAATATAATGTAGTTTCCATCGTTTCAAATCGAGTATTATCATCGCATCGATGCTCGTTCATTGTTTCCAGCAACCTCTTGAGGTCTTGATTAGTTGTAGCTAGAGAATAAGTAAGCGATTTCACATCAGTATAAAGATCTTTGAGGCGAGAAACCTCCATTGTGAGTTCCTTCAAGTGTGTATTCTCTGCCATGACTCAATGAAAACACCAGTTGTAATGATAAAACTACGAGTCAACAACAATTCAGGAAAAAAGTAGAATGCTTTGTGATATTTGTTATTCACTAGAATGAAAATGACTCAAGCACTGTCCAAGTAACAAAATTTAACCCTAAATCAAATTTGTGATGGATAGAGAAGGGAAAACATAAGAGAGAGAGTTTCTCACAATCCATCCCCCCACGTGATTTTTCATACCTCATATATTAATGTTTTTCGATCCAGCTCTTGTTTGGTATTTTGGTTCTTGCGCCCTTTCCAAACCTCTCATTCTTTGCTCCCATTGACACATGACCATCATTATGGTTACTCCAACTGTCTCATCATCCACTGTTTTGTCCACCATCTTATTAAGCCTCATTACACTTTTCTTATTATCCAATAAAAAAATGTTATTTTTCGTTGTTTTTATTATATTTGACACTTTATCCAATAAAAAAATTCCATATTCTTATACTACCCACCAATTAACTTTGCTTTCTATCAAATAAGATCCCATTGTATGTCTATAGAGCAAATAATGGTGTGATATAATAAAAATGAAAACTTATAACAATTAAGTAGTTATTGTTTAAATAAAAAATCTTTTTGGCGCATATGATTTAATCTATTTAAGTTAAGAGAATTTATATCAAAATGACTCGAATTATGCTAAAGAAAAATAAGATATAATAAATTGGGTAAACTGCATCAAATCTATTATGGATGATAAATAAGTTAGATCTAATTAAAAATATTAATTGAAAAATCATGTTTGTAATAATTCTAAAAGAATTTATACCTTTTAAGCATCATATTATTAAAATCACGTGAGTAAACTAGTTTGTTTACAATTTACAATATTTTTCTTCAATATATTTTACTCTATAACTTCTAAGTTTAATTATGTTAAAAAATATGTAAAACAAAAATACTTTCAATTAATTAAAATAGACTTGACTTTTTTTAAGCATAAGGTTCTCTTTTTAGTTTTACACCATATATCTTTTATTTGTTAAAATTTAATAATGTAAATTTTATCTCATTAAATTAATAAACGAAACCTAAAATTTATCATAGTCTAATAATATATAAATACTTATTTTATATGTTCCTAGAAAAAAAAGCTTAACCATACCTTAAATAGCTCTAGTTAACTTTTAAATCGTGTTAAAAGGTTCAACTATTCATTAATTACTTTAAGTCTAACATAAGGCAAGCCAAAAATATATCTAAAATTAAACTTTGTAATAAGTTTTATAAGCATAGGAAACTATTAACAAATAAATAAAAGACGTGAACTTTTTAAAATTTGTCTTATCTCTTATTTCAAATATTGTTAAATTTGAAATAAAGATATTTTCATCATTTATCTATAGGAATTTTCTGTTGTACATTTTATTATAAAACTTTTAATATATATATATATATATGTATATATATATATATAAATTATCGATTAATGAAAATCTGATATACAAAAATATATGCACAGTTTTATAAATATTATTAGAACCATAGTTTTATGTAATTAAAAAAACACTATATTAATTATAAAATATAACTAATATATTATCGATGATAAAAATAATCACTATAAATTATTAAATGAAAAAATTAGAATACACAAATAACTCAAAAATAATTTAGGAAACACTCCATCACTACTTACGTTTAATACACGACATTAATAAATTAATCAAATCCAATAAAAATAAAAATATGATTAAATACACGAAAATTAAAATAAACTGAAAAGATAATAAAACTTATTTTTTATTGAAAAGATAATCAAATATAATAGTTATTTTTATTTCTGTTGACATGCCATTTAAAAACTTAAGGAATCAATAAAAGTTATGAAAATTGAATTTGTGATCACAAAATGTAAAAAAATAAAAACTTAAATGGTAAAGTTAATTTAATGGTAAAATTGCAGTTAGGTCTTTTGTTTATTAATTTATGATATCATCTCATGAGTATTTTTTATTAATTTATAAAATCATCAGATAATTTATATTATTTATGAAAATATTTTTATTTGAACATAATATTCTAGTAATTATTTGTATAAAAATATAAAATAATCATATTCTGGCAAATTTTTCACACACACACACATATATATATATATATATATATATATATATATGCATATATATATTTACAATTTTGTTATATTAATAGAATAATAATATATTTTTTATTTGTGTAAATTTATGTTTATATTTAATAAAGAGTTAAAATTGATCCTACTAAAATTCATTTGTTACTACTATTTCACATTGAAATAAAAACATTCAAACAGAAATAATTTTTTGCAAAATTAAATTTTAACCATAATTAATGGTATAAAATTTAAGAAAAAACAAAAACAATTCATGCGTAATATATATGTACACTTTTTGAAATAATAATTTTCGTTAAGCATGTGGCTTCGCCATGTATGAGGTGGTGTGTATTAGCTTCCGTGACAATCTTGACATAAAGGGGAGGGATATTCAGGTAATTCCCTCAATGGACTGGGTTTCTTTCTTACATCATAAAAACCAAATCCACTTTGGAAAACCCTCTATTGATAATCATTCCAAACACACTCTTCGCAAATAATTTCTTTTCCCCGCCATTCACTTCGCAATTTCTCTTCCAAATCTGTCCTCCTAGGGCTCCCACTCTGTTGCTCTCCTTCCCAATTCCCTTCCACGGAAACCCTAATTCCCCTCAATTCGCGCTCAGATTTCACGTTATCCACGCTTTCATGCTCTTACCGTGACCAATCCATGAGTTTCCCAGCCACATCCGGCGGCGCTGCCGCGCTGTTCTCCGGGCCCCGCGGCATAGGCCTCTCCAACACCGTTCACTCTGAGCTCGCCGCCTGCCTCCCGCTGCCGTCGCTCCCGGTCTTCTGCGGCGACTCCGATCAGGACCTCCGCCTCGTCGACTCGCCAGCGCGGCTCAACCGTGTTGACGTGCTCGCGCAGTCCGGCAAGATCGCCGAGCTGCTCCGGCACACCGATGTGTCGTACTTGTAAGCTTACTCTCCCTTCTGTTCTCGTTCAACGTTCGCACGCTGAGGATTTGGTCGTCAGCTTGTTGAATAGTGGAATCAGTGAATCTCGTAAGCATGTGCTGAATTAGGCTGGAAATTTAGACTGAATTTTTGTAAATTTTTTCGTGTAATTGAAGTTTGCCGTTGCTAGCTGCGGTTACTTGCATTTGAATTTTCATGTGTTTTACTGTAGTATATGTGATGAGACTTGACTTTTGGTGCTCATTCTAAATTTGTGACTTAGGTCTATGTGTTTGGTTTGTAGGAGAAAAATAAGTGAGAAATAGAAGGAATGAGGATAGGAAAGAGAGAAATAGAGCAAATGGAAAATATGTGAGATATGCAGTGGGAATAAAAATGTTTGGTTATGTATGTATGTATGTATGTATGTATGTATGTATGTATGTATTTATGTATATGTCAAATAAATTTTAAGTTAAATAATTGCCTATCGACCATTCATAATTGATTACGAAAAACTGAACGTAAATTGTGATAATAAACTGATGATAATCGATCATGAACAATTCATTATCGATATTTTTTTAAACTAATGATTTCATATATAAAAATTATTAACAATCCATTATGAACCACTGAGGTGACTGGAAATGTCATGACAGTAGAATTTTTCACACTGATATGTGGGGAAATAAAAAGTTGTGAGACTCACTGTTTTATTTATCTCCTCTCTTATTTCCACGTAACCAAACAAATACCACTTCCTATCTCGTTTTTATTTCTACTTTCTTCTCTCTATTTTCCCTCCATTTTTCTCACATACCAAGCGGACCTGTAGTTATTGTTCTCTCTCTAAAGAAAATTAAATTAATTGATTTATATGTAATTTTTGTTGCCTTTTCACGTGAAGTTTGCATGTTCACGTCGCGGGATTAGTGTTGGACTTATAAATAAACATTGGATACCATTATAATAAGTGCATATGCAAGGTATTGGATTGTGGTTGCAGTTTGATTACATTTTGCCATTTTGCGGGAGATTGCAGACAAACGTTGCCATAATTGTAGTCGCGACGTGGTCATGGACACTTAAGCCTTTGGCTACCTTTTGTCATATCGTGGTAGATTGCAGAGAAATGTGGTCATATTTGTGGTTGTGGACACTTAAAAAACCTTGACGTTGTGACTGAAATTGTGATTGCCGTCTTATTTTTAAAACCTCCTGCATAAGGTTTAATTCTTTAGTTTGTGAGAACTTGACTGATTTTTTTATATATTTTAAATTTAATGGAAGAGGTTTTAGATGAGAATACGTAACTACACTTTACTAGCACAGTTTTGACCAACCAGTTTGAATTTTTATTTGTCATGTTGGTTTACTATAAATGTATTGTGGTTGTGATTTGATTATGTTTTGTCATATTGAGGGAGATTACAGATAAATGTGGCCACAATTGTGGTTGCTTTGTGGTTGTGGATACTCATAAAACCTTAATGGTTTGATTATGTTTTGTCATATTGTGGGAGATTGCAGCAAATTAGCCATAATTGTGATTGCTTTGTGGTCGTGGACACTCAGGAAACCTTGATGTTGTGACTGCAATTGTGGTTGCCCATATATTTTTAAAATGTTGTGAGAACATCACTAGATTTTTTTTATGTCTTCTAACATTAATGGGAGAGGTTTTAGATGAGAATTGATAACCACACTTTATGAGTACAGTTTTTACTAACCAGTTTGTTGTTTTATTTGCCATGATGGTTTACTATAATTGAAATGACTCTCATTCAATCTGTTTCAACGAGTCCAATTTATCTTGTTTTGTTAATATTTGATGTGTCATTACTATTGGATTTATTATTGAATTTAACACAACTTTGTTTATTTTGTCTTCTATAGGAATTTAAGAGATGAAGCCAAAGGTGTTCCTTATATATATGTTGAGCCATTGGAACTCCATGATGAAGTTCTCAGGTGCAATCCTGAAGCATTTGAATACAGCACTGCAGGTAAACAGAGTGCTTGGTTTCTGCCCCAAATGTTCCTAATGTGGTTTTTGTTTCAAATCTCATAGGGTTGTTATTGCTTATTGTTCTATGGCGACCTGACATAGATTGAGGGTGTGATATCTTTGCACTTGGGAAAGTTTAGTCAGACTGAGATTTATTATGAAGGAAACTGACACAAGAGAATGAAGTTTGATTTCATGCTGACAAATTACTGTCAATTATACCATAGACGCATAGTGTGATTTGCTTGTTTGATTAAACTAGAACTTGTTTTGTGATGTCAAACTTATGTTTTATTCTGTTCTTATGGCTTTCCATTAAATAATTTAATGGTGCTCTGCTTATTGTTTATTGTATTGGTCAAGTTTCTCAGGTCCTGTTAAGGAGCAGATCTCTGGTAGTGTATTACCTGAAAAGAGGCAATCTGAATCAAATTTTCCTATCCTCAGTCAGACTCAGAAAGACTATAATGCAGCACATACTCGCCAGCATGATAACTTTTCCACAAATGTATCAATATATAATATTTGATATTTTTAGTTGATATTTGATTCTTTTCATTTGTTAATTTTCCAAATGACTTGGCAGGATATTTCCACATTGTCTTCCAAAAAATCAAAAGTAAAAAAAAAAGGTGGCGATGGAATAGCTATAGCACCTGATTCTTCCGAGCTTCAAGGTTGGTGCATGCTTGTTTCCTAAAGTCCTGCTTTTTATTAACGTTTTTGTCCACTGTCTTTTATATATGTAATTACATGTCTGCATGCACAGATTGCACACATGTTGTTTTTACATGTGTAATCAACTAGTATTTGTAATCTTTATAGGTGCCCACATTCAAAGGTTTTGTGAGTTTTTGGAGGATTTATGCAACAAATCTGAATTTAATAGTGATGATCGAGATGAAGCAGAATGGTTGTCACTGCCTCTTTCAAATCTTAGATTGCTTGTCAATGAAATAACATCTATTCGTGAAAAGAAACTTCTGCATTTGGTTCCTGTAGAAGTCCTTGTTAGACTATTAAAAGTTTTAGATCATCAGATACACAGAGCAGAGGGCCTGTCTATTGAGGAATGTGATAATGTAAGTTCACGTTTCACATTTTTTGTATTAGTCTGTGCTGAATTTTTCAGGCTTGTTTGGATTTAGCTGACATTGAATTTGACCTCTATTTTACCAAAAAATTATTAAAATCTGACTTCTATTTGCTATTGGGCAGAAAGCAAAAACTTAATATGAAAATAGCTATATGTCAGTTCTTTGAGGTTCCAACAATATCTACATAAACTTGAGTTTGGTAGCTGAAGCTTAACCTACTCAATTCTCAACAGACATGGTTAATATGATTATTTGGTAGTTTGGTTTCTGATTTACATGCGTCTACATTGCCTTGTCATATACTATTCCCATTCCCATTCATGAACAAGTATTCATAAAAGTTAAGCCTAGAAAATTTACTTGTTAAGCTATTTTTTTTCTTTGGTCAGGGAAATCAAATACAACAATTGGAGAAACCCTTAGAAATTACCATGCTATATGTAGTTGGATTTATTTAAATTTAGCTTTTGATAGAGCCAACATTGAACATAATAGTTGTATTAAGGCACGGTCGTTGTATGCTGTTTTTTAATCTTAATTTATGCATTGAATTTATATTAACGACTTATTTTGCTCTTGTTCTTTGTTTCAGTCAGATTCAGAAATAGTTTCATCTGTTTTAATTGCCTTGGAGTCCATTCATTCTGCATTAGCAGTGATGGCTTATGCTGATATGCCAAAGCAACTTTATAAAGAAGAGGTTCGTTCTTTGTTTATGCTAGTTTCAAGCAAATATTATAAATATGAATAACAGGAATTTTGTCAGGATTGGAAAAGCAAGTATCTACGAAGAAAAGCTCTTTCAGCAGGGGAAACGTATTTTTATATGCTTGAAATCAATGGTTTTATTTATTAGGCTTTCATAACTTGTGTAGTCTATTACCTATTTTGTTTTAGACTATAATCTATAATTTCTGAAAGTAATTTATCCATGCCAGATAATTGAGAGAATTCTGGAGTTTTCCAGGCGTCAGATAATGGATGTTATGTGTGCATGTGATCCATCATATCGTGCCTTACATAGACCTAGTGAAACCACTGCATTTGAAGGTTAGCCTTACCAGTTTTAGTGCTGAATAGAATATATATCTTAATTTTACATTTTTCCTGCAGATGATTATGAAGAAAATGATGCTGAATTTGGTTCAGCCAGCAAGAAAAGACGAACTAGCAAGACTTCAAAGTTGAAGAAATCAGCATCAAGCAGGTCTGGTTATTTTTGTCCAGATTATATGTCCTTTATATTGGTTATCTTGTGCATCTTTAGTTAGATTTATTTAGATATACATTTCTTATTATTTTCTTGTTGGTCCTTGCTTTATTAGGCTCTCTACTGCTGTGAATACTATTCTTCAGAAGTTGTGCACTGTTCTTGGGCTACTCAAAGATTTATTGTTAATAGAGAGGTTATCAGATAGTTGCATTCTACAACTTGTAAAAACAGGCATTACAACATTTATGGTTGATAATATCCAGCTTTTGCAATTGAAGGCAATCAGTTTACTCAGTGCGGTACTGATACTTCACTTTTACAGCTCTAATTTTTATCTTTCGTGCTCATGATAATACTAATATTCTTTTATAATTTTGAGTATATGCTCTTATATAATTGGTTTTTCCAATGTGGTGGTGCAGATATTCTATTTATACACACAACATCGCACTTATGTAATAGATGAAATGGTTCAGCTTCTATGGAAATTACCATATTCCAAACGAGCTTTAAGGTCATATCATGTACGTGAGGAAGAGCCAAGGCAGATCCAAATGGTTACTGCTTTGCTGATTCAGTTGATTCATTGTAGTGCGAACCTTCCTGATGCTTTAAGAAAAGCATCAAATGGTAATTCTGTATTGGAAGCCTCTGTTGATGCTAGTTCTCCAATTAAATCCCACGAGGCAGTGACAGAAGCCTGCTGTCTATTTTGGAGTCGCGTACTTCAGCGGTTTGCAAGTGTGAAGACTCAGGATGCTTCTGAGCTGAAATCCGTCATAGAGAATCTTGTTACAGATTTACTGACAACTCTAAATTTACCTGAATATCCTGCTTCAGCTCCTATTCTTGAGGTAGATCATGTCTGGGTGTGTTCTTGCAGGAATCTGCATATTTGTATACATATTATTTTGGTAATTGCATCAGATTAGTTTACCTATGAGAGTTGTTTCAGGTTCTATGTGTCCTACTTCTCCAGAACGCTGGGCCTAAATCTAAGGATGTCTCTGCACGTTCCATGGCAATTGATATTCTTGGTACCATTGCTGCAAGGTTGAAGCGTGATTCTTTGGTTTGTAGCCTGGAGAAGTTCTGGATACTTCAGGATTTCCTTAGTCCGGATGCTCAGGCTGAGCATCAAGCAAAAGATGTATGTTGTGTCTGTTCTGGGGGAAGGGTAGAAAACCTGTTTATATGTCATGGATGCCAGAGGCTTTTCCATGCTGATTGCCTGGGCATTAAAGAACATGAAGTTTCCAGTCGAAACTGGTCCTGCCAGACATGCATCTGTCATAAGCAACTATTGGTATTACAATCATGTTGCAATTCCCAGCACAAAAGTGATGTGAAAAAGAATTTCAATACGTCAAAAGATTCTGAAGTTTCTAAGCATGAGATTGTTCAACAGTTACTTTTGAATTACCTTCAAGATGTCACCTCTGCTGATGATCTGCATCTTTTCATTTGCTGGTTTGTACTCGTGACAGATCTTCTAATTGACATTTTAGTTATATATATGCAAAAGTAACGCTTGTGTACAATGTGCAGGTTTTATCTCTGCTTGTGGTACAAAGATGATTCAAATTGTCAGCAGAAGTCAATTTATTATCTTGCTAGAATGAAATCAAAAATCATAGTACGGGATTCTGGCTCTGTTTCTTCTGTGTTGGCAAGGGATTCTATCAAGAAGATTACTTTAGCTTTGGGCCAAAACAGTTCATTTTGCCGAGGGTTTGATAAGATTCTTCACACACTTCTGGTCTGTTGATATCCCACCCTTTCTTTCCCGAACTTGTTAAAAAATTGTACTTAGCTAATTTTTCTTGTGTTTTGTGCAGGCAAGCTTGAGGGAGAACTCTCCAGTTATTAGGGCTAAGGCTTTAAAAGCTGTAAGTTTAATTTTTTTTTCTCTAAGTTTTCTGCTTTTCAGTGAAAATGGGATGCTTATAATGTTTCCTTACGCCAAGTTAATCTCTTCTATTTTTAATCTAATATAATTATTTTAATGAGCAGGTTAGTATCATTGTAGAGGCTGATCCAGAGGTATTGGGTGATAAGAGAGTACAATCAGCTGTTGAAGGAAGGTTTTGTGATTCTGCAATATCTGTTAGAGAAGCAGCATTGGAACTTGTTGGTAGGCATATTGCTTCACATCCAGATGTGGGTTTTAAGGTATGGGTCATGGGATCTTTCCTTTGTGTTCAATAGCAAAACTGGTACTTTCTTTTATTACCTTCATTGGTATGGGAAGGAGAAACTTCATGATGGATTGTTAAAACAGTTTTCTTAATTGTGTATTGTAGTATTTTGAGAAGATTGCAGAGAGAATAAAAGATACTGGCGTAAGTGTTCGAAAACGAGCAATAAAAATCATTCGAGATATGTGCACTTCCAATGCCAACTTCTCTGGATTTACAAGAGCTTGCATTGAGATAATTTCACGTGTTAGTGATGATGAAGCAAGCATTCAGGTATTTTAAAATTATTGCTTGATCCACTAAGATGTGTTACTATCTGTTTTAAATACTTCATATCTAGCAATAATGAATTATAATTTATACCACTAAGTGTAAATTATGATTGTGTTTGATGATTAGCATTCTTTCTTACCATCATGATCTTGTTTTATGCATTGGGATGATATGTCATATTTATGTGTTTCATATGTACTCTTTAAATGAGTAAGTATCATGCTATGTAAATTACTAGTCATTGGTTGTGAAGTTCAACTTATTTGATGTTGAGCCTAGGATCTGTTTGTTAATTCATATGTCAATGCTCTCACTCTCAGTTGTTAAGCATGTTCACCCTGTTATGCTACGGTTTTGCAGGACCTCGTGTGCAAAACTTTCAGTGAATTCTGGTTTGAGGAGCCTCAAACGTCACAAACTCAGATCTTTGGGGATGGTAGTACTGTTCCACTTGAGATAGTTAAGAAAACAGAGCAAATTGTTCAAATGTTGAGAGGAATGCCCAATAACCAACTTCTTGTAACTGTGATAAAGCGCAATTTGTCACTTGATTTTTTGCCACAATCTGCAAAAGCCACAGGGGTCAATCCAGTGTCTCTTGCAACAGTTCGTAAGCGATGTGAGTTAATGTGCAAATGCTTGCTGGAGAAGATGCTACAGGTATGCTAGCATTGTGTTTATGCCACTACCCTGCTTGGCTAGATCAATATTAACATGACAGTTTTTGTTCTTGATCAGGTTGAGGAAATGAACAGTGATGAAGTTGAAGTGCGTGCACTTCCATATGTGTTGCTCTTGCATGCATTTTGTCTTGTGGACCCAACTCTCTGTGCACCAGCTTCAAACCCTTCCCAATTTGTTGTTACTTTGCAGCCATATCTGAAGACTCAGGTTATATTATATATTGGCCTGTTCTAGTGTTATTGTGAATCGTGCAATGTTCCTCTTTTATTGCTTTAAATAGTGTCATTCATGTACTGAAGGGTAATTTTCAGCTATGCTCTGTCATATCCATGTTGGGGTGGTTGTTTTGATTTAGGTAAGGTATGAGGTTGAGATGTATATTGCATCTGATAAAATCCCATACTCAAATCCAACATCAATGGGTTAATATAATTAAGTTTAGGCAGGAGAATGGATAGAAGTTCAGTGATACAAGAAGAAACATTCATTAGATGTTAATAGATTCTCTACTCTCCGCCAATTGTCTTCAAAATTTTTAATATATATGCTCCAATCCCCGTGTTCCACTTTTGCTTCCTACTTATTTTTGTCTATAATATTTTATTATATTTCTCTTATTTTTGTTTTTGGTCTACTAGAAAGTAAATCTGAAAACGACAAAAATGCACCATATCTTTCTCAGGTTGATAATCGGATGGTTGCACAGCTGCTTGAGAGTATACTATTCATAATTGATGCTGTGCTGCCCATGCTTGGCAAGTTACCTCCAATTATTGTTGGGGAACTTGAGCAAGATTTGAAGCAGATGATTGTTCGGCATTCTTTCTTGACCGTTGTCCATGCCTGTATCAAGTATCTACAGTTTCTTACTTCAGTTAGCTCTGTTATTTTACTTCTGTTACGCTTTATCCTGTAATTGACCGGCTGATAGATTCATGTGACATGGAGTTCTCTAATTTTTCCTGATGGACAATAGTTTGTAGGTGCTGAATAAATTTGTGATGCATGATGTGAGAATATCTAAATATTTTCCACATGTAATACATAAATACAGGTGCAAAAGCATGTGACGTTGAACATATTTTTTTACTGTATTTTATGAAATAATTCTGAAAACCTTAAACTGCAACCAAAATTTTAGTTTGCAATTATATTATATGTTAAAATTTGTTTTTCTTTCGTTTAACAGAAGGGAGTTTGCTTGCCTTTTCACCTACTTGTCTATCTTTCACTTTTTCTTTATCAGGTGCCTCTGCTCTGTGAGTAAGATGGCTGGAAAAGGGGCTGGTGTAGTTGAACAACTTGTTCAGTTCTTCTTCAAATGTTTGGATACTCAGGCTGTTGATAACAAGCAGGTTTATTGCAAAATTCATGTTCAAATTATTTGTTTGATATACTGCATCTATTATTGGAGCTTACCTCCAACTCATAGCATGTTTTTCCACTTTCACAAAACATGAAATTGTATTTGGAAATCATTCTGTGGCATTGTTTTTATTTTTTTCTTATTTATGTATGTCACGGTTAGGTATGGCTAATGTCTCCTGACGGACTTTTTGGGGGGGGGTGGTGTTAGTTGTTCTGCTTAGGCTTGGGATATGGTCCAAATACTCCTAAGGTTCGGACAATCCTCTCACCTTGAGCTAACTTTGGAGGTTGAGTTAGTCCAACTTCATATTTCTTTTTACGAAGAAGGGGGACATTTATATGTGGGCTACGTTGGTACTTTTTTATACTACATTAAGTGGATTTAATTTCAGCATTTAGTTATTGTTTCTTAAAATGTCATAGGAACATGCTAAATGATGCATATTAAGAATTTTTACTTTTATGTGGACCATACGTATAAGTGGTAACTAAATTTGTGTCAAGGGAAGCTGTTATTTCTTGTAGATTATATAGAAAATTATGGTTATGAATATTTAGCTTGGACATAATTACAATATATTTTTTTATGGAGTGTTTATACTATTAACTTGATTAAGAATCCTTTATTTTTAAATGGAATGTAAAATAAAAATTGATTGTTCCCTGCTATTGACAGAAAGTTGGACGATCCCTCTTCTGTCTTGGGTTACTTATCCGATATGGTAATCGATTGTTAGCAAGCTCCAGTAATAAACTTATTGATGTTGGAAGCAGTCTCAGGTTGTTTATTAAGTATCTCTCTGCGGAGGATTTTGTTGTCAAAGTTAGATCTTTGCAGGTATGGTTTGTTAACTTTGCTCTTACCTTAGTTTAATCTTGAAGTCTATTAATGTTTTATTGTAACTCCTGTAGGCACTGGGGTTTGTTCTAATTGCTAGGCCCGAATATATGTTGGAAAATGATGTTGGAAAAATACTGGAGGAAACATTATCCTCTGCTACTGATACTCGCCTTAAGGTAACATTTTGTCTTGATATATGAGTATTTATATGAATAACTTCTCTGTGTACGCTAAAATTTTCCATGTAAATCAGATTCAAGGATTACAAAACATTTATGAGTATCTTCTAGATGCTGAAAGCCAAATGGGAAAGGATAAAGATGATGATAACGTTGCTGGTTACACAGTTGGAGCTGGGCAGAGTGTACCTGTTGCTGCTGGTGCTGGTGATACAAACATATGTGGGGGTATAGTTCAGTTGTACTGGGAGAGTATTTTGGGTAGATGTTTGGATTTCAGTGAACAAGTTCGTCAATCAGCCCTGAAGGTCAGAATCTAGCTTCTATTTTGGTTTAGATTCAATACTCAAATCTTTTAGATTAATGGGGTGAGGTTAGTAATTTGGTAGATGCTCTTCAGAAGAGTTTAAACGTGAATCCTATAGGTTAATATCTGTCGTTTTGAAGCTTATTTTTTTGGAAGATTAAGTGCCTCTTTGTATTAGCATTGTCTAGCTTTGCGAACAGAGAGAGCCGTGACTTCCAATGTACTTGGGCTGAAAGCAAAAAATTATTGCTGTGGTCCAAGTTTCATTTGAATATGTTGCAATGCTAAAACAATCAGAACATAAGCATTCCAGTTAAAATGGTCTAGTTTTCTTTTGCTCGTATATAAATTAAGAAATTGTTAATAATGCAGATTGTTGAAGTTGTGCTGCGTCAAGGTCTTGTTCATCCAATCACCTGTGTTCCGTACCTAATTGCACTTGAAACAGATCCTCTGGAGTCAAATTCGAAGTTGGCTCATCATCTTCTGATGAACATGAACGAAAAGTATATCTCTTATGTATTGTTTTGGTGATGTAATACATACACGTTACCTTGGGTTTTATTAGCTAAGCTAATTAAAGCATCTTTTCAGGTATCCTGCATTTTTTGAAAGCCGCTTGGGTGATGGGCTTCAAATGTCATTTATGTTTATGCAATCTATTTGTGGTGGTTCTGAAAATGTTGATTCTAAGATCCAATCTAAGATCCCTATTTCTGGAAAAGGGAAGCCTGAGGCTGCCCCACTTACTCAAGCTAAACTTGGGGTTTCTCGAATATACAAACTCATACGAGGGAACCGGATATCAAGGAACAAATTTTTGTCCTCAATTGTGCGGAAATTTGATAATCCAAGATGGAATAAATTAGTAATTGCTTTCTTAACGTAAGTTCTGTCTGTTGCTATTTTTGGTTTCTTTATATCTATTCTTGGATGACCTTTTTTTCCTTGGTTTTTCAACAGATACTGCACGGAAGTCCTAGCATTACTGCCATTTATTTCACCCGATGAGCCCCTTTATTTAATCTACGCTATCAATCGAATAGTTCAAGTAAGGGTCGGACCACTAGAAGCGAATTTCAAAGCCTGGAGTTCAAGCATTTCGCGTCACAGTACACCTCATGGGAATGGAGTGTATCAACAGGGACCAGATGAGTCTACTGTTACAACACAAGTAATGTCAGTGGATTTGAATGGATCATTTCAGCAAAATGTAGATGCTCAGCTCAATTCCAATGAGATGAGATCCCTGGATTTAAATGGATCGAATCATCAACAGCTAGATTATTCTTTATCATATAATAAGGGTAGTTCAGAAGCAAAGCTGCATGCTGCGGGTTACACAGATTACTTTTCCTTCTCAAAAGATGATCTAGAGAAAGTTCAGGTATTTTGGAACCTGCAGTCATTAACTGGGCACTAATGATTTGTTTGAGGAAAAATGTTTTTTAAGTTTTGCTAATAGAAATTCCTGCTCAAACTAAGAAATAAAATATTTTCCAAATACTGCCTAAACATTAGAATATTCACAATATTTGAACTAATCATTAATTGTATTCCTATGCATATACTCGTTTTGTTACCTATACAGGTCGACTGTTTATCAGCAATTGCGTTGCAGCTTCTTTTAAAGCTTAAGAGACACCTAAAAATCATGTATAGTCTTGACGATGCCCGTTGTCAGGTAAACTATACAATGCAACTCATCATCACTTAAACAACAGTTATGTTGTTCATCCTTGACTAGGATATTATTGGTAGAAAATTAACTGCTCTCTTGGAAATGTACAACCACTTGTCCAGGCATATTCTCCTACTGAACTACCAAAACCTGGAGAGGTTATCTCTAGACAGAATATAGCTTTTAGTATTGGTGAATCTCAATTCAGTTTGCCTACGAGTCCACAAGAATTGGTACAAAGATATCAGGTACTGTAAATTTTGTGAATGTAATTCTCTTTCATATGCTTTTGACCTATAGTGCTCTAGATTGGATTTAGGGTTTCTTTAGCCATCATTGTTTTTCATTTGTTGCACCAGGAATTTAAACATGCTTTGAGGGAAGACACCGTTGATTATTCACACTACACTGCAAATATAAAACGCAAGAGACCTACAACTACTCCGAGGAAAGTTCAAGCTCGGAAACCTGTACATGTGTCAGGTGGGAACTACTACGACGAAGATGACGATGAGGATTATAGTGGTGGAAGTGCGATGCGCAAGATAAGTTTTAGCGGCGGCCGAAGGAGTAGCCTTAGAAGCTCTAGGCAATATTGATTTGATGTAAGTACGTGATAGATAGGCTAACTTGTACATTAAAATAGGAAGAAAAAAAAAATACAGAATAGGTTGAGAGCCTACAGAATAGGGGTTAAGGAAACAGAATGTAGGGTAAGCATGGGCATGGAATACACCCTGTCCTTAGATGACTATGATTTTTGTCTGTTTCCTTCTGTAATTTCCATTATAATATAGTGGCTGCATTCTTTTGTTGATGAATCTAAATATCAATTTTTTTTTCTGGTTTTGCACACATGCTGTGCATTAACCATGTCATGGCTCATGTCCAAGTGTTATACAGTTATTTGTAATCAACTAGAAAGTGGGGTGTACAATAGTGTTAAATTGATATTCTACGGCTGTTTCGTTGAAAATGTTCTGTTTTCATTTTCTATTTTAGGAAAAGTGAAAATAGAGAAAAAAATGTTTAAACCAAACCGTCAGTCTAAACTCGTAAACAGAAACAATTTCGACAAACTACTCTATCCTCTTGGAAAAAGTTAACTCTACTCGTCTATGAAATATTATGTACACATTTAATTAGACATGCATTATAACAGGCGTGTGATGCAATAAAAGAACAAAAATAAATTATTAAAAATGATTGCAAATATTTCCTTTTGCCATGATAGAGAATTGATGAAATGGATCAAAATATAATGAAATAAATTAAATAGATTAGAGATATTCTATAGTAAAATGGAATAAAGACTTCATTTCGTTATATGAAAAAAAGACACGTAACTTATAATTTTTTAATTCTCGTTCCAACCTTATTTTAAAATTATTATTATGAGTAGGAGGTTGATCACTAGGATAAAATTTATTAATATAAATAATTTTTTGTGCACTCTAAATGTGGGAGAGAAAGAAAATAGGATTAAACATATTCTAATTCATGTTTTTTAATTTGCTCGTTTTTTTAAAAATTGAACGACTTTTTTTTTTCTAATCCATATTTTTTTGTCAATTCAAACACAATCTTATACGATGTAGGTTCTATTATTGAAGAAAATAAAAATAAAAAGTAGAGATAAAAAAAAAGAATAAAAATACTAGTAAGATTTACCACTTCTTAATGATATATTCTGTATTTATTTTCTACTAATCTTTCAAATATATCAAATCTATCTTTGCCATTTTTAGTCCCACCCTCTAATCAAACAAACTATAATGACACAAGTGGAAAATGGTTGTATGATGTTGGAGCTATTTTTGGGGTTGTTTCGTTTGAATGGATTTTATGTACTGTTGTGAAGATAAAGAAAAAGCTATGGTGTGTTGTGATGTGATAATCTCTGAACTGAGGAGCTAAAAGTTTGGACACATCGACTAGATAGAGTTATAACTTCCATCATGCAACCGGGAAAAGTGGATCGTCTCAAACTATTTCGGATTTAAAACATAAACATAGCACAAAATTGATAAAAGAAATAATTTACGAATAATATCATTTCTTAACTATTTTTCTTTTTCTACTTTTTCAATTTCCATAATCTCATTCAAACAAAGCATTAATCATTCTGGGATCATTCTAGTTTGGAGCAACATATTTGTAGAGAAAAGAGAGGAATAACAAGTAGGACCCACCTTGTTAAATTTGAGTTATGAATGGAATGGAATGTGTGTGAAATGGGACTGCAGCTAGACTAGCTTCTTTCATTTCCCAAATTGCCCTCATTATTGGTTTAATACCTCCAGTGCCAAACCATCCACACATGAATGAACTTTACAACTTCGAATGCCCTCATTCTTTCTTATTTGTAAGGTACAATTTATGTATATACATCGAAAGGTAATAGATGAGTTGAGTTGGTGACTTAGTAACTGAACGTAGCTTTTAACGGAAGATAAATGATATTAATTTTTAGTTATATTACTTGTATTTGTTGTTAACATCTTTAATATATAATTCATTTAAGAAGACCATTATGCTGGGTGTAGGACGAACGAGTATTTGAATATAAAGCATCATTGTGACCAACTAAAAATGTATATCAAATTCCATGAATAACCTAACATCCAGCGAGCAGGTTCGTACAACTAGAGGGTGTCATCAGAAAACGTAAATAACTAGTGTTACAAATTTCAAAACTGCATAGAACTGGAATGTCCAATATTCGTACTGATATGATGCAGCTTTTATGTCTAAAATATCTTGATAAATTAAGAGGTGGGGTGGGGACTAAAGAAGGAAAGGATTTCTCAAATGATAGACATTATCACTCATTAAATTTTGAACACAAAATCTAATTCATCCAACACCAAGCTATTCAACAAGGGAGATTTCGCATCATCTTCGAAGCAAGGTCCCTTCTGGTGCTCAAGGAACGATTACATAAAGAGGCTGCATGGAAACAAAGTATATTAGTTAGACCAATGAATCATGTAGTTTCGAGACAAACACACACAAAAAGGGAGAGAGAGAGAGAGAATACCGTGTCTAAACTGACTGGTTTCCCATCCTCGGCCAATATCTCAGTTATTGTTCCTGACTGATCAGCCTGCCACAAATAATGAAGATAACCAATAAATTAGAGGATTTGGTTTTTGGTTAATAGAAGCTAGTTCTGAAGGAGAATCATTATATTTTAGAGGCAAAATGTGAGTCCAATATGCTCTTCTGTGAGGGTCCTCTTTCCTCCAAGTTGAGAAGATATTCACAATGAATCACTTTGAATGAATCTCCTCATTTTTATTCATCACCTAAAACCAATTAACCCCCCCTATGTTCCAAGTTCTCCACTATCACATAATTTACTTATATCCCAATCCCTTCATACCACTCATAGTGTAATCTACGTAATTAGGTGTTGCATTGCATTAGGATTTTGAAGGTTTAAAAAGACTCTTTTTCTATAAAAAGGATTTGAATTCTCTCTTGTTTACTGTTAACAAGAGAGTCTTGTTTAATAATCCTAATGCGGTCAAAATAAAAACCAACTAACCAACTAAACCAGCCATGCATGTTTCCCATTTTTCTTCAATAGTTTTGTGTGGTTTTTATTTCAGTAATAGCTTAAGAAATAAACTTAATGAATGGTTAAAATTTGTTAAATAGGACCTCTCCTGTTTAAAGTAAAGAGGAGAGTATCTCAATCCACTAAAAAGTCTTGTGATATTCAATCAGGACTTTTAAATGATCTTAATAATTTTTGTGGTATTACCTTAGGATTTTTCAAATGATTAGTCTGTTAACTGTTAAAGCAGCTGAAACAGGTGCAATACAGAAGCGGCTCTACTAGGTCTGTGCTTATAGATTCGTTAACTGCCAGATTTTTGTATCAGATTTCTGTATAGTACTATAATGGGGGGATAATCTATAGAATGGGACAAATATCCCAAGTATATGGGAAAACATAAAGTAAACAACATAGTAAAAAGAGAATCAAAATGTAAAATATACTAGAGCAAAAGGAAAAATACACATACCTCAATTTCATTCATCAGTTTCATAGCCTCAATAATGCAAAGAACCTGTCCTTTCTTCACTTTATCACCCACCTGATGCAGCAGCAAAATAATTAGTCTCTTCATTGATTAACTTAGTAAACATGGCAATAATTAGTTTCATAAATTATCCTTTGCAAAGTGACAGCTCAATAGAAAAAAAAAAGAGTGGTATTTAAACCGTATTTGTCTACAAACCTTGACAAATGCAGGTTCACCAGGTGCTGGACTCCTGTAGAAAGTTCCTGCCATCGGACTTTTCAGAGGTGGATGAGAAGATGAGCTTGCTTTTCCAGGGGAAGGCAAGGCAGGTACTGGTTTTGGAGGTGATGAGCTAGTAGGAGCAGCTTCTGGGGCTGGTGGCGGCGGAAATGTGGCATACTGCATTGGAGGCGGTGATGCTGAGGCTATAACTGGTGGAGGCTGCAGTGCTTCTTTTTTTCTTATCATGAGCTCACAGTCTGATTGCTTAAGTTGAAGTTCTACAATATCTCTTGAATCAACGAGTCTAGCCATAGAAATAATATTAAATGAAATTTATGGAAAACAATGCATATCCTAACCATAGACATGATAATTACAAAAGAACAAGTGATTGGGATGTGAAGTGAAACTGCTTAATCTTACTTTACAAGGTCTGAAACTTGAGACATGAATGCAGTAACTGCAGCTTCATCTGCAACAGTGCCAGAGCGTTTTCCATTGACCACTTCTTTTTCTTTTGATGAAGCAACATTAGGTCCATTGACCATTACAGGGGCAGAATTAGAATTAGCATTTTCAACTTTAGAAACCTACAGTATACAAAGTAGGTAGGCCTATGGTAAAATTTTCTGAATCTAATCAGGAACACATTTGAACCGGAGGATAAAAATTCATTCAGAATAAAACTCATTGTGATCTAAAAAACAGAAAACAAAGACACAGTGTAAACTGACCTTCAGAACAGAAAATTGCTTCCTGTTAGAACACTGCAAGAGACAGCAAATAACAATAGAATGATTAATTTATCAACAAAAAGAAAATATATTTGTGAAGCTTTAGACAGAATTGTTATTTATTCAGTGTATCGGACAATATCAACAAACTGAAAGTGTTTCAATCGACAAGTTATAATTTTTTCAATTTTAACTACACTGAAAACTAATGGCAAATCCGCTAACGTAAGGACATTAATGTTTCAGAGCCATCAGTAACAGTCAAAATGTTTCTACAACTGATAACATGCTGAAAAACTTCAGTTATAGTCTCCACTTAGGAAAATCAAATATGAAAGTAGTAGTGTTGGAATAATAATACATTATTAAGCATAAAAAATTATTAATATTTACCATGCTTCAAGACATGAAAGATTGTATATTACTGCAAATACTGTCACAAAACATTGATCACCTACAACAAAATTATTCTTTCATGAACATTCAGAAACCGTAAGAAAAATCATTGACAACGTACCATTTCATCTCTATCACTAAAATAAATCAACTGAGCAAAACATTGACAGTACTAAAATAATCAGAGAAGAAATAAATTTTGGGTGGATTACAAAATCCCATTTCTTCATTTACAACTAAAATCAGTTGAACATAAAAGTCACAATCAGAGAAGAAATACTATGTTTTTTATAGATTACATAATGTGTCATCCTTAACACTACTAAAATAACGAAGAGACTTAATACCATGTTTTTCTTGGATTATTACATAATGCGTCATCTTTAAATAGTTAGACGCAAAAGTTCAATCACCACAAACAGAAATTCACAGACAAAAGAATTTTATCTATCCATCTCTCTCCTTTTTATGGATAGATACAGATATAGATATAGATATACAGATAGATATCAAAACTCATACCTGAATCCTAGATGATGCAGATTCAGCAGACAAATTTCTGACTGACAGAAAAGGCTTGAAGCTGGACCCACTTTGAAATGGAACCTGTTGGGCTTTCAACCCCAACAAGGGAGAAGAAGTAGAAGGGCACTTGGGGCATGGGACCGAGAATGAGGCCATTTCGAAACCACCCCACGAACCAAAAACCAGACTTTCCTTCTTCTCTTCCCAAATGTTACGTGATCTGCGAAGAATGGTGAGAATGACTATGCGGGTAGATGAGAATATAAGCCAAGAGCAGTTGAGACCAAAGAGGGTGTGCGTCTGTGGAATCTGAGAAGACACGAAAAGGGTCAAAAAGTGTAATGAGGGTGGATGGAGAATACAAAGGAGAATTGAATCAGTTTGGTTTGGTTAAGATTTCACGAGTGTGGGTTCGATGATTACGAGGCAAGTGCAGTAACCATCAATGTGTCACAGTTTTACCTAACTTGGAGGAGCAACCAATGAACCCTGTTCTGGCTCGTCGTCATTGCTTCAACATGTTTGATGACGTTGGTTTGGACAACGTTGGTGTTTTCGTCCACAAGATCGACGCTCCTAACAGCTTCCATGTGCACTCATCAATGGTCACTGCTTTTGCTATTATTATGGCCGATTTTGTAGGTCTTGACTCTACCAATATTATTTGTGCATGATGCACACACAATGATGTAATAAACAAAAATAATCTAAAAAGAAAAAACAAATTATTAGCCACACATTTTCTAATGAAAAAAATAAATAAAAGGAGAAAAATAAATAATTTTACTGAATATATTACTCATTATCTAGGTGAAATTTTAAATCCAATTGAATAATCACATGAAAATGACCATTTGTTATCTTGCTTTAAATCATCATAACAATGAGTAAGGATATTAATTTTACCTGTTACATTTATTAATCAAGGTTAAATTAAGTAATAAATTTCTATTTTTATAACATAAATTTCAAAAATATCTATTTATATTTTATTAAATATTTTATACTAAAATATAGTGTTATAATTACTAATTTGTTAGATCTTAAAAAGGATTATTAATTGATGTTATATGGTGTGTGTTCATAATAGTGTCACGGGTGGATTTACCGGGCAAGAGGGGTCACGGTCTCCGCTACCAATTTTTTTTATAAGTATAATAATATTTTTTTATAAATTAAATATAAATAATTTTATAAATATAAATAATTTTTATTTTATAGTTTTATTTATAATAAATATTATATTTATTTGTTATATAATTTTTAATTTATATTTTTTTTACTTTCTTCTTCTATCTTTATTTTTTATTTTTATTTTTCACTCCAATTTGTTTACAAGACATTAAATTATTTTTATTATTCATTTATGTTCGTATTCATTTTTCTTTAATTTTAATTTTTTATTCTCTAATTTTTATTTTTATTTTACAATTTATTTTGAGGACATAAAATAAGAAGTTAAAAAATAAATGAGATATCTCATAATAATTTTTATGAAATAAAAAATAATAATTTTTTTTATTATTGTAAGAAATTATTACTTATAATATAGAATATTTATATAAAATTGTTATTTATTATAAACTAATTAGTTATTTTAGTATTTTTTATGTTTATTTTAATATTAAAATATGAAAAAAATTAAAGATGTTTTAAAATAAAATTATATATTTATTTTTTAAGATAAAATAAATAATAAAATAAAATTTATTTTCTAAAATATAAATTTAAAACTGATAAACCTTTTATATAATATATTTATTTTTATATGATTAAGAAAAAATTATTTTTTTTATTGATGCAAGGACATTATCAATCATAATTTGCAATGTCTTAATTGAGATTGAAGAAGGGTTTTTAGTTCATTAATCTAGAATGAAAGTTTAACCACGTATCCATATTTAATATTTATAAATTTATTGGATTGATTTAATAATAATGTAAAATTTAAATTAAAATTAGTGTTTTTTGGATTTTAGTGAGTGAAATGTTATACACGTTGTATAAATAATATATCTAAAATATAAAGAACTGTTAACCTATGTAAATATTTGATTCATCCATTTACATGTACCAATCTTATGTATTTAAGTTTTTAAAAATTAGAATTTTTTAACTAAAAAAAATTACCTTTTTAGTATAACTATAGTCTTGTATAAATATTTACTAATTTTTTTAAATTTAATTAACCGTGTTAATAATTTTTTTTAAGTACATTCTTTTTTTGTATATGACATAACATAATGCACTGGTCATAAACACCATGGTAACAAAGTATTGATAAACAACGTAATAACAAAATGATAATCCTAATTTCAATGATACCAATTATTATATTTTGGTTGGTTTAATAGAATAAGAATCCAAAATTACATGGTTGTGGAATATAAATTGATTGATATTATTTAATCATGTGTCTTAAATTCCAGTGATATCATTTCTTTATAATATATATATATATATATATATTCAAAAAGAATCTAGTTAATTTTTATATAAATATTTAGAGAAAAAATAAAAAAGAGAAATGAATACTAATAACTATATATTTATACAAACAAAAGTAGAAACTAAAATGGGTTGAAGCCCAATAAAAACGGGTCAGCTATAACTCTAAAACAAGGAAACCCTAATTTAAATTTGATTTATAAAAGCTGTGAACAAAGTATTGTGTGTCCTTTATCAAGAGATAAATTAAGTTTCAAGAATATTATTGATTTCATGCTTAAAATTATATGAATAAAATTTAGAGTATCTTCACTAATAAAAAAAATTGAATTAAATAATCAAATTAATGCTTTTAATTTCGTTTGAGTTGGTTTTATTGTTTATTAATGTTAATTTATTAAATTATAATTTAAAAAATTATTAAACATTTTGATATAAAAAATTCTTAAATAAAAAATGACAATTTAATGATATAATAATATATTTTATATTATTTAAATATTTATTATAATATAAAATAAAATAAAAAATTAATCATACTAATAAAAATATAATTATGCCAATCAATTGATTTATACTCTCATTCTACTATCAATTTTATATATATAAAAAATATTATTTCACTCAAATTAGTCACTTTTTATTTACATAAACTTGGTTGATAATTAATTTTAAAATTATTATATTATATTAAATTAAATTTATCATTTATGTTGGTTCTTAATATGAAATTCAAAATCTAAACAAGATCGAAAAATAAATATCGTTAATAGTTTATATATAAATTGATATTATTTATTGCACTGATATTATTTGAATATATAATAAAATATATTTTAGGTTTCCCACGGTAATTATATATATACATGAATTTGAAAAAAAATTAGGAAATCAAGTAATTTTTTATGGAAAATTATAAAAATATTTAGATTGCTTTTTTTTTAATAGTTACAAATTTTATATTCTAATGCATTAAAATAAAGTAAAATATAGTTATTATTTCTGATAGTTTGTAAAATTACACAAACATTCTTAATACTTATATAATAATATTTCTATGAATATAATGTAATGCAAAAAAATAGTGTTGATGTAATAATTTTTAATATTTATAATTAATTAATAATATACAAGTGTAGAAATAGAAAAAAATTTATTAGAAACAGAATATATCATATTTAGTTATTGGAAAACTAGTGAGACTCGTATAAAAAAATATTTTTGAAGAATCTGAAAGATTGTTAAAGGAGTTTATTTGTAAAATAAAATAAAATCTCATTTTATTTATTTATATTCGGAAATATAATACTTTCAACGAAAATTTTATTATTCATAATAGTTTTATCTCTGATAATATTTGCAGAAAAATAAAAGGAAAATTGAGCAGAAGAATGGATCAGGCTTCTGCAAACAATTGCTAAAACGGATCGAAGCCCAATGGAAACGGGTTGGACATAACCCGAAAAGAAGGAAAAACCCTAATCTGAGATCCATTTATAAGAACTGTGAACAAAGTCTCGTCTCCCTTTCATCCTACTCAGAGAGAAATTGAATTCTGAGAAAATCCCCCACTTTTTCTATTTCTTTTTTCTTTGATTCATCAATGGCAACAGCAAGGACTGTGAAGGATGTTTCTCCTCACGATTTCGTGAAGGCTTACGCTTCCCACCTCAAGCGTTCTGGCAAGGTTCAATTTTTTTTTTTCATCTCTCATCGTTTTCCCTTTTCCTGGGTCTCTCAAATATCCTCTTTTTCTTTGCTTTCCATTTTACTTACACTTCTGGGTCGTTGTTGTAGTTTGATGTTTATTTATGTTGTGTTTGGTTCGAATTAATAGTAATGATAGTAGTTTATTTTTGCTTCGATTATATTTATTAGTGGAAAGTTGAAGTTAAAAATTATGGTTTGTGCCAAGAGGATCCATTGTTCTGCAGATTTTTTGGTGAACTAATATATAGTTAAATATTCTAGAGTTGAGATTATGTTTTGTCACAATACTTGATTTTGCAGACAAACGCGGCCTTAATTGTGACAATTGAGATCTCAAACACTTGAATTTTTTGCTGCAACAGTGGTCATATGACCATTTTTAATACATTGAAAATTAATTAGTGTATGTTGATTTGTGGGTAGGAAAGTGGAGACTTTTGTAACCTTGAATATTATTCATATGTTGTTTTGTGGGTAGAAATGTGGTGGCTTTTATTTTATATCTTTATGTCATGTATGAGTAACTGTTTGGTGTATGGAAGTTATTTGTTGGCTTTGGTTTTTCATCCCGGGGTCTAGAACTTTTGTTGCTTCTTGTTTCATCGTCATCTTAATTTGAAAGTTGAATCGTGTTTATGTGGTGCTCTGGCAAATGACTGTTAATGTTGTATTTAACCATTTTACCAAGGGGTAATGAATTTACGGGGATTTGAACCTTGAAGGTTTTTTGTTTACCGTCTCACAGTTGAGTTGTATGTTGTTATTCTACAGATGGAACTTCCTGAGTGGACCGATATTGTAAAAACAGCAAAATTTAAGGAATTGGCTCCTTATGATCCTGACTGGTATTACGTTAGAGCTGGTGAGTTTACCTAATGCAAGTTTGTGACATTCAATTTGGCATTCTTTTGGTAAATGTTTTTTGTAATATTTACTGCTAAACTAATGGTGTTAAACCTTGGTTGCAGCTTCAATGGCAAGAAAGATCTATTTGAGAGGTGGTCTTGGTGTTGGCGCTTTCCAGAGGATCTACGGTGGAAGCAAGAGGAATGGAAGCCGTCCCCCACATTTCTGCAAGAGCAGCGGTGCTATTGCCAGAAACATTCTGCAACAGTTGGAACGAATGAACATTGTTGAGATTGATTCAAAAGGGTAATTGACGTTTTACTTTTAATTCTATAATAAATGCCAAAAGTTCTAATGAAAAAAATGTTAAGTTTTTCAACTCTAGGATGTTCTCATTCTATGGTTCTGCCGTGGCAGAATGGCATGGTGACTTTTTTGGCAGCCACCATACACAATTTGTGAATGTGGTTGTAAGTTCAATGGTGTGTTTATATGGTGCTATGGTGGATTATTGACTTTCTTCCATTGACAACATTGATGCCATTACATTGAGATGATGTTTGAAACATCCTTTCATCTCGTTGGTTCTTTCAGCCTTTGTTTACCCCATGTAGCTTATTCTGTTCTATGGTATTGAAAGCTTTTTCTGCCTTATTTTTCCATTGCAGAGGTAGGAAAATCACTTCTAGTGGTAGAAGGGATCTTGACCAAGTTGCTGGGCGAATTGTGGTTGCTGCTTGATGGAACATGTTATTCGGAACCGATTATGCATACTCTAGGATTTATGTTTGTCTTAACAGAAGGAAAAATGAAGTATTGTTGCTGAGAATTTTATAATTTCTTTTGTTTAAATTTTAAGCTTTATTCTAGTTGGGAGTTTTGGTTTAAGGTTTTTGACTCAAGTTCTCAACGCTTTATCTTTTCCAACCTCCTCACTATATTGAATGATACAGACTAAAGATGCTTTTCTCAGCAAGGATTTTCCTGACCTGTTATTCTGTCTCAATTGCACTCTCCCAAGTGGTTTTGAAAATCAAACCAACTCTAACTTTAGCCAATAAAAATCTTTAGCTGTGATTGGGTCTGGTTAACAAAACCTAGTGAAAATGCATATTATGAATGTTTCTAACCCAAAACACAACTCAACTTATATTTTATAGTATGCATTTACGAGTGAACGTTTAAATATGAACGATTTGTAATGTATTTGTTAGTTTTTTTGTTTAGTTGCATTTTTAGCCATAATTCCCGAGTAAAAAGCTAATTATATATTTCTTTAGTTTTGTTTCAATTGAATTTTTTTTTTTTTATTATTGGTCATGTGACTTTTCTTTTTTTCCTCCAATTGAAAATTATAGTGAAAATAATGCTTTATTTTTGTTATTGGCGAGAACGGTGAAAGCTTATGCGCACCCATAATTAGTTAACGTTTTCATACACTAAAGGTAAAATGAAAAATTCAACTATGATTATTATTGTTTCAATAAAATATTATTTTAATTTATTAGCATAATAGTAGAAGTGTCATAAATAATATAAAACAAAAGTAAGTTATACATCATATTTACAAATAAGATATGTTCGTAATTATAAAAATTTTCTAAAAATTAATTAAAAAACATTTTTGGAGTTAATTTATTGAATCTTTCAATCCATTGATTTTCTTATTATAAATAGTTTTATCATTTCGATTAAAATGATCAATTTAGGTAATTTTAAAAGGAAATTATCGATTAAGGTCATTTCTTAAAAAATTATTTAAATGGATAAAATCATACTTGATAGATCACTAATTAAAGAAGTCGTATTATTTATTAAATCATACTTATATATATATATATATATATATATATATATATTATTATTATTATTAATATTAAATTTATTATAAATAAATAAAATATTCATAAATAAAACAATTATTTTTTTATTTAATATAATTATTTATTATTATTAATATTAATTTTTTTTATTTAATATATATATATATATATATATATTATAATTAATTAATAATAAGAAGTAATAATTATTTTATTTATATTATTATTATTATTAATTTTATTATTAGATTATCATAGTTATTTCTTTTTAATGATAAGTTTTATAATAATAATTACATTAATAAAAAATAATTAAATAATAATTATTAAATAAAAAATTAAGATTTAACAATAATAATAGTTATTTATTATTTTTATTTTATATTATTACTTTACAATTTAATAAAATTATTAATAATAATTGTAATTATATAGTTAATAATGTACAAACACATTTTTAGTTTTTAATGTAATTATTATAAAATTTATCATTAATAAAAATAATTATGATAATTTTAATAAAAAATAATAAAATTAATAATATATATATATATATATATATATATATATATATATATATATATATATATATATATATATATATATAAAGTGATATTAGATAGGCCAATTTCACTGAAAGATAAAAATAAAAAATGATAAAAAAACATTAGTTAAAAAAAAATTAAATCATACTTAATATTACAACTTATTCTTTATATAATCGTTCTATAGACTTACCTATTTCCCCACAACCAATAGTAAAACATTTTGTAAAAATAATCTACCAAAACAACATATATAAAAAAAAATGTTTGTTACATTTTAGCTATTAAGGAGAGAAAATTTACCACAATGATTCAACAAATTAATTTTAACTTGTTTAGAACCCTTGAATGTGTATTCTTTTATAATAGGGGTGTTCCAAATTCAGAAGAGCAAGAAAAAAGTAAATATATGTAATATTTAGTACAAAGTGAATTTTGCATTTCAATGAAGAAGATACCATCTCCAACTGTGTGATTGTCCATGGCGTAACATTAATATACTTAGCAAAACAGAATTTGCAACCATATATATCGAGTTGCCCATGCACAAAATTTTGAATATTGTGGAGTGAATTATGGAGAAATGAAAGAGTATTCATTCACTTCATCATATCAGCAAATGGCCATTGGATGCTTAGTTGAGATACGAGTATGAGTTCATGTCATTCCACGACAACAAACACTTGATCTTCTTATGTTGATGTTGGGGTATGTGAATCTTGGGTTCTCTGGGTATTGTTGGATGCTTCATTGACCTTTCATACAGAAAGAATAGAGTAATACTAATAATCAGGACAAAGGAACAAATCAGGCAAAAACATGTTCTAAGATGAACCATTACCTCCTTGGGACAAAAGGTCTATCAAAGTACGGCATTGGTTGAGCTTTTGGAATGAGTTCTTTCCTCAACCTTTTGATCTCTTCCTCTTCTGCCAACTGTAGAAAAGAGTGAAGTACAAGAAATCAGCATTTTAGACAAAAAGGAAACATGGTAACTCAGTGGATGTCTCACTGAGTAGTGATAGAAAGGTAATAGTTAGATAGTGTACCTTTTGTTGTCTTTCCCTTTCCAACTTGAGTTGTTCTATGAAGTTCATTTTTTCTGCCACCTACACAAATCAAAAGTCCATCAAATGATTCATACTGTTTTTTTTTTTTTCAACAATAATGTATTTTGCCCAGGATGAAAGATATTAGTGGCTCAACTGAATTTGGCAGTTAAAATCATGAAGACTAGTAGTAGTATGTAGTATGTACAGCCACAAAAGATTACACTTTACAATGAGTAAAAACTAAAGAAAATACTAGGTAATAAAAAAAGAAATAGAAAGAGAAAGGAAGAAATGGATGAAAGAGACACACCTGTTGGTCAAATTCAGCACGATCAACTGCCCGAATATCACTATGAAGCTTTAGATCAATAGGCTTTGTGCTTTCTTTAACTGTAGGTTTTAACAAGCACTGTAACAAGTGGCACCAAAAGAGTAATATTGAGCTAAGTAGTCCATAGTAAATAGCAAGTAAATATGACAAAGAACTGTAACATGTGACACCAAAAGACTGATATTAAAGCTAAGTATTCTATTATAGTTAGTATGTAGTAAATATGACTAGTTCTCAAACAAGTGACACCAAAAGAGATTAAGCTAAGCAATATTTAACAAGTAACTGTAGGCTAAATTTGTCATATGACCCCAAACTGACTTGTGTGAACAAATGACCTCACCTCAGGTTCATCTGTTGTCCATGGAAGACCTTGTGCAATTGGTATCCTCATCTTTTCTTCTTCAGCCGTCATCTCTTGTACTTTCTTCATAAATTCTTCCTCTTTCAATTTTCCCCTTTGCTACATTATCAGTATCATTGCATTACAAATGTTACTCTCCAGACTCCAAAGTCATTCACTGAAAGTATAAAACCAAAAGCCTGTAAAAACTCAATCAATCATCATCAATTACCTCAGTCCTTAACATAAATGGTTTTTGCCTAGTGACTCTTAATTTCTCTTTCCTCTTCCACCTCTTCCCTCCAAAATTCCCCGATGACCCTGAGCTCTGAAGACAACGAATAGTTAAAATTCAAAATCCCATTAGTGAATCATTAACCATTCTTCATTATTTTGATCATAATAAAGAAGGCAAATAAAGTCTTACATTTCTCCTGCTCCTTCTACCCCCAGAAGTCCTACTGGACACACTGCAGCATCAACAAAGACAACAAGCAATACACGAATCAACAAAAACCAACATAATAACAAATGACACACAAACCAAGAAAGTGAATGGAGACAACATTAATCTAAGGACAATTCTCAGATACCATATCAGAGGAACTTTTGGTACTGTTTTCTAATAAAAATTGAAGTTTTACCTTGGGGAATCTATGTTGATCTTAGATGCAAACTTATATTGTAAGTATTACCAAAGTTAATAAAAACAAATTGCGTTTGGAGAACAATACCAAAAATACTTAAAAAGCTGCAGCTAAAGTTTTGCCCTTAATCTAATAAAATTGAGCCTAATGTCAAACCTTGCACGGCTACTGTCCCAAGACGAAGAAACTGATGTCCCCTGATCCAAGCCAAGGTTCTCAGATGTCAAAACCAAATCAGAAGTATAACAAAATGAAGAAGAAGAAGAACCAGAACCAGAAGCTTCATCGGTGGCTTCAAGTGCCTTATGTTGTTGTTCAGATTGTAATCCAGGTAATGCCCATTTCATCACCCTGTTCTTATCCCCTTTCTCTGTAAGATCCTGGACCCGATCCTGATCCTCCGTCTGATCTTTTTCCTTTGAACTTTTCGGTATAGTGAGAAGCTTCTCAAACGCCTTCACCAAATGCAAAACCTTCCCAAAACCATTTTCAGGAATACTGTTCCTCGCCTCTTCCAACAACCTGTCCCTCTCTCTCCTTCGTTTCACATTAGAACCTCCTTCTTCTTTTTGATCACCAATTTCTTCACCTTCAACAGTCTCACTTTTTGTTCCCTCGGCAAAATCATAACCCTTCTCATCTTTTGCCTCTTCTTCTTCTTCTTCTTCTTCTTCTTCTTCTTCCTCCTCATCATAACCCTTCCTCTCTTTGAGGAAAAACTCTTCCTGAGAAGCCCTCAGGGTTTGGTACGCCACGCAAAGACACTTGGCGCCACCGTTGTGTTTGCATTTGCATGAAACGGCATCGTTTCGAGAATCCTTTTGCTTTTTTTTCTTGGCCACCACAAACTTCCTCTGCCGGATCCTGTTATGCGGCGATTGCGCAACTGGGTTGGTGTTGTTCGGTTTGGAAGGTCTCAAAGCAGGGGACTTTGAAGAAGGGCTTCGATGAGGCACATTAGGGTTCAAATTCTCTGTGTTTTTTGAGATTTTCTTTGAAGGAGTGGTGGTGGAGGTGATTGATTGATTACTGTTGTTGCTTGCAAGTTCCATTTGCAGTCGATATGGGTTCTGAAAATCAGAGAGAGAGAAAAGAAAACGATTTTGCTTGAGTTGGATTGGAAATGGTGAAGAGAAGAACGAACGAAAATTTTTATGTGCAGAGAGAAAGAGAAAGACGCTCTTTGTTGTAACGGCTAGTTTTGGTGTGAGTGAGGTTTTTTATACATGTGATGTATTACAAATTCTGTTTCCACTCAAGGTTTGGACCGTTATATTGTCATGATCCCATTTATGCAGAGATTTTTTATATACAATTTTATTTCTTTTAAAATATTAAAATTTGATGATTTTTTACTCTTATTTCTATTTTCTCTGACATTTGAAATAGTTCTAATTTTAGTATCCAAATTTTAAAAAGTTTTTTTGTTTTGCAAATTGAAAATTTAGGATTGAAAATTTAAATTTAAAACTAATTTTAATTTCTCAAATTTTGTATTATTTAAGATCTAAAGTCATATTTCTTTTTAATCTCGTATGACTAATTCTAAATTTGGAAATTAAAATTAAAATTACCTTAAATTTTAAACACCAATATGCCATGTAGTCCTAACTTTAATGATAAAGATTAAAATAAATAATCTACAAAATAATATTATTAACGTAATTTGAACATATAATCTACATATAGTCAAACTTTAACGATAAAGATTGGAAAAAAACTACAAAAGATTTTAACAAACTCAAATAAATTTGAACATATGTTTGGAACACATTAATTTGTAATTTATTTTAATAATACCATAATATAGTGCCATTATTAATTTACATTTTTATAATGATATTAATAACAATTTCACAATGCAAACTGAATGTTGTGGAAAAATGAACATTAATTATAACAGTTTTCGAGTTTCTTGCTCTCTATAATTGAATTTATAACAAATTCGCAACCAAAAGAAAAAGCAACATTTCATTACACAATACAAAAAGAAAGATCATCATGATGACTGCAAAAATGAATTTGCAACTATATATACTGAGTTGCCAATGTACAAAATTGAATATTGTGGAGAGTTATGGAAAAGGAAAGCATTTCACTTCATATCAGAAAATGACCATTGGAAGCTTAGTTGAGATAGGAGGAGCAGGGGTTCATGTCATTCCATGACAACAAGCATTTGATCTTCTTATGTTGATGTTGGGGTGGTATGTGAATCTTGGGTTCTCTAGGTATTGTTGGATGCTTCATTGACCTTGCATGCATAAAGAATTATAATGAGAAAAAATGAGTATGAGACAAAGTTTGCAAAAACACGTTGTAAGATTTTCAACCATTACCTCCTTGGAACAAAAGGTCTATCAAAATAAGGCATTGGTTGAGCCTTTGGAACAAGTTCCTTCCTCAACCTCTTTATTTCTTCTTCTTCTGCCAACTATAGAAGGGAGTGAAGTACATAGACATCAGTGTTTTAGCTAATGAAAGGAAACATTATGGTAACTCAGTGCATGTCTTTTGTCGTGGAAACATGTTTTAGAAAGATGGTAGATATTGTTTACCTTCTGTTGTCTTTCTCTTTCCAACTTGAGTTGTTCTATGAAGTTCAATTTTTCTGACACCTACACGCAATTAACAAATTAAATGATTCATATTTGGTTGTGTTTTTGACCAAATGAAAGATATCAGTGGCTCAGTTGAACTTCGCAGTTAAAAAATCATGCATGAAGACAAATTGTAGTAGGTAATGGAAAGAAAATGAAAGGAAGAGGCACCTGTTGGTCAAATTCAGCACGATCAACTGCCCGAATATCACTATGGAGCTTTAGGTCAATAGGCCTCGTTCTCTCTTTAACTGTAGGTTTTAACAAGCACTGTGACAAATGGCACCAACAATTAGGCTATGAATTCCATTAACATGACAAACACTGTAATAAGTGGCACCAAAAGTGTGATAATAAGCCAAGTAATTCATTACAATTAGCAAGTAAATATGACTATCACTGTAACAAGTGACGCAAAAATAGTGACATGATAAGCCAATTAATTCATTACAACCCAGCAAGTAAACATGGCTAGTACTGTAACATAACAGGTGACACCAAAAGAGTTACTTAGCTTTATAATGCATTACCAATTAACAAAAACATGACAGGCTCTGTAACAAGTGGCACTATAAGAGTGATATTAAGCTTATTAATGCATTATAATTAGCAGTACACATGACTAGCAGAGTAACAAGTGACATCAAAAGAGTGATATTAAGCTAAGAAAACTTGGAAGACAAATTTGTCATAAATAACCCAAACTAAGGACTTGCATGAAAGAATGACCTCACCTCAGGTTCATCTGTCGTCCATGGAAGACCTTGTGCAATTGGTATCCTCATCTTTTCTGCTTCAGCCATCATCTCTAGTTCTTTCTTCATCAATTCTTCCTCTTTCAACTTTCCCCTTTGCTACAGTATGATTGCATCACAAATGTTACTCGCCAAACTCGGAAGTCATTGAAAAAAATACACAAAAAATCAATCAATCATCATACATTACCTCTGTCCTTAGTTTAAATGGTTTTTGCCTGGTGACTTTTTGCTTCTCCTTCCTCTTCCACCTTCTCCCTCCAAAATTCCCAGATGACTCCAAGCTCTGAAGAAACCCCACCCCAATCATTAAATTTCAAAATTGAATTAGTGGGCCATTACCCATTCTATGACTTAATCATATAATAAAAACAGGATCTGAGTCCTTACATTTCTCCTGCTCTTTCTACCAGTAGAAGTCCTAGTAGAATCACTGCAGCACCAGCAAAGCAGCAATACATAAATTAACCAAACCCAACACAATATCAAATGACACATAAATGAAGAGAAGTGAGTAGTAGAGACCTTAATCTAAGGACAAAACTATACAGTTCCGTGAGTGTGTTTATCATAGTTTTACAATCAGAATTGAAGTTTTCCTTAAAAACTGTATGTTGACCTTTTAAGCAAAATTTTATCATGAGAATTGCAACTCTATTTTGATTGGAGAAGTTTTGTGCCTTAGCTAACCACAATACTATGCACCGAAAAGCACCTTATAAACTAAATGTAAGTTTTATCCTTAACCTAATCAAGTAGAACCAGAAGTCAAACCTTGCACCGCTACTATCCCAGGAGGTAGAAACTGAAATCCCTTGATCCAAGCCAAGGTTCTCGGATGTCAAAACCAAATCAGAAGTACAATTAAAAGAAGAACCAGAAACAGAATCTTCAGCCACTGGCTTATGATGTTCTTCAAATTGCAAGCCAGGTAAAGCCCATTTCATCACCTTGCTCTTATTCTCTTTCTCTCCATGACGATCATCCTCCTCGTGATCTTTTTCCTCGGAATTTTTGGGTATGGTGAGAAGCTTCTCAAAGGCCTTAACCAAATGCATAACCTTCCCAAGTCCATTTTCAGGAACACTCTTCCTCGCCTCTTCCAACAACCTCCCTCTCTCCCTCCTTCGTTTCACATTGAAACCCTCTTCTTCTTTTTCTTCTTTTTCCACACTTTCACTCTTTGTTCCCTCAATTTCAATAGCACTCCCACTCTCATACTCAACTTTTACTTCTTCTTCTTCTTCTTCTTCTTCATTACCATCATCACAACTCTTATTCTCTTTGAGAAAAAACTCTTCTTGAGAAGCCCTAAGAGTCTGGTACGCCACGCAAACGCACTTGGAGCCACCGTTGTGTTTACACTTGCACAAAATGTTGTCGTTTCGAGGACCCTTTTGATTCCTCTTCTTGGCCACCACGAACTTCCTTTGCCGGATCCTGTTCTGCGGCGATTGCGCAACTGGGTGTGTGGTGCTGGACTTGGAGGAACTCAAAGCAGGGGACTTTGAAGAAGGGCTTCGAATATGACAGTGGGAGACGTTAGGGTTTGCATTCTCTGCGTTTCTTGAGGGTTTCTTTGAAGGTGTGGTGGCTGTTTTTGATTGGTGGGTGGTGGTGACCGCTGGTTCCATTTTGAATCGGAAGTGGGTGTGAGAATCAGAAAGTAATGAAGAGAAAATGAAAATGGATTGGAATTGGAGTGGTGAAGAAACGAAACAGAGTGAAGTCTGGGAGTGCAGAGAGGAACGGAGAAAGAGAGGGTTGTCAATGTAACGGCTAGTTTTTGTGTGTGATTTGACATTCTGTTTCCGTTTAGGGTACTGACCGTTGTATTTGTCATCACTCAACTTCATTGCTAATACCCTGTCATTATTTATTTATTTATTTTTAAATATGAGATTTTCCTTTAATTATTGATTTATATTTGAAAATTCATAAATTTAGTATATTTTTTATTTTGCATATATACACATTTATATCTTATTTAAATCATTTTTTAATAATACCTTAAATAAATATGTCGGATTTAAAGCGTAATTTGGACCAAAATAAAATAAAATAAATAGATGTTGAATTGTAGATTGAATCAAATTTGGAAAACATTTAAACATTAACACTAAAATAGAAAAATAAAATTGGCAATCAAAATTATGGATAAAAAAATTTAAAGAATATGAAATTTATTTATATAATTTGTGTTCCATAATAAAATTTTATAAATTTATTTTAGAATATGAAAAGGTTCAATCTAATTTTTTTTCTTAAATTATTTATAGAGAAATTTGCCCCAACATAATTTTAGTTACTTACTATTTACCAACAAAATATTGAGACTCATGTCACTATATTTAATATTGATCACTATGTGATTAAACAAGAACTTTATAGATATTTATTTTTAATATTAAAACTTAATAAGATGAATTTGTGGTGATTTTTTTTTTCGGAATTAGGCACTTGTATCACTAATTTAAATATAATGTTACGGAAATATTTTACAACCAGCGATTAAATAATAAAAAAAAGATACAAAATATTTTTTAATTCTAATTTAATACTAATTCTTAAATGATTAAGAAAAGTACAGGAAAGATAAGAAAATAAAAACATCATAGTTGTAAAAAAAACTGTTAAATAAAAACATAAAAACAACGAGAATAGATTAAGAAATTTCAAATAGAAAATAAAATTTAATTCTTATGATTTAATAATAAAATAAATACATAAATAAAAGCATGATTAATATAAAGAGGAATAAATTTGATAAGATAAAAAAAAATTCAATGCTAAAGATATTGTTCGATTTGTAACTTTTGTTTGATTTTATCCTTAAAAAGGTATTGATGGATTAAGAAAATAATGTATATAAATTATTCTTATGTGATGTAAGACTTATGAATATATCGGAACATAAGTCCTAAGATTGAGGTGGTAAGAGTAGAATTTTTAATTAATATTTTTATCATTTTTTTATTTTTATATCTAATATCACTTTATATATATAAATATAATTATTTATATTTATTTATTATTAATTTTACTATTTGTTATTAAAATTATCATAATTATTTTTATTAATGATAAATTTTATAATAATTACATTAAAAACTAAAAATTTGTTTGTACATTATCAACTAAATAATTACAATTATTATTATTAATAATTTTATTAAATTTTAAATAAATAAAAATAATAAATACTAATTAAATTATTTAGTTAATAATTTATTTTAATGTTAAATCTTAATTTTTTTATTTTATATTAATTATTATTTAATGATTTTTTATTTTTAATGTAATTATTATTATAAAATTTATCATTAAAAATAAATAACTATGATAATTTAATAATAAAATTAATAATGATATTTTTTTAATAATAAAAATAAAAATAATATTAAAGATAAAAATATAAATAAAATAATTACTACTTATTATTATTAATTAATTATAATAATAATAATATTTATATTAAATAAAAATATTAATTGTTTAATGTATGAATATTTTACTTATTTATAATAATAAATAAATAAGTATATATATATATAAATAAAGAAAGTATGATTTTATAAATAATACGACTTCTTTATGTAGTGATCTATCAAGTATGATTTTATTCATTTAAATAATTTTTTTAGAAATGGCCTAAATCGATAATTTCCTTTTAAAATTACCTAAATTCATCATTTTAATCGACATGATAAAACTAATTATAATAAGAAAATCAATCGATTGAAAGATTCAATCAATTAACTCAAAAATTGTTTTTTAATTAATTTTTAGAAATATTTTATAACTTACTTTTGTTTTATATTATTTATGACACTTCTACTATTATGCTAATAAATTAAAATAATATTTTATTGAAACAATAATAATCATCATAGTTGAATTTTTTTATTTTACCTTTGTTGATTTAGTTGAATTGTGCATATACAAATTTAGTGAATTAAAATCAATCTGATTTGATTCACGAAAAAGAAAATTAAAAATGAAAATAATTTTTAAACATTCTAAATTTTTAAAAGAATCTAGAAAGTACTTTCGTAGTCCCACATTTTTTTTCTTTTTCTTTCGTATTAAACATTCTGGCAATATTTGAAATAAAAAACGATAGTAATTATATGATTTTAAAAGAGATATATTATATAAACACAACAAACACAGAATGGTGCACAAAGATTTGATCTTTTTATACATAATTTTTCATGATCTGAATGTGTATCAATATACAGAAAACATTGTATGAAAATGATTTAAAGAGCGTTTTTAAAAAATAATTTTACAAAAGAAGAATTAAATTTGAATAGCCAAATAAAAAGTATTTGAGAGGGAGACTTTTGTATGAGAACTTACCTTTGTTAGATTATTATTGGTAATAATTGACAATTTTTATTAAGTATTTTAAAAAATTATAATTAATAGTTTGTAATCTCTATGCAATTACGCTATCTTACTGTAATAATCATATTAATTTAGTTTTAAATATTTTAAATGAAATCATTTTTTATTATTGTATATTTTTATGTAATTTTATTCATTATATAGAAATAATTTAATTAAACATATGTAATTAACCTCTATGCAATTACGCTATCTTACGCTGTTTCCTCTTTATATCTTCACATGCACTCAACGTTTTTCTAAGTTTTGAAGCAAAGTGCAGCCTTCACTTTGAAGTTTGCACTATGTGCTTCATTCTTAAAAAAAAACTGTTTTAAGTTAAATAAACATTATTTTATTTGAATTTATTGTGATTTTAACATGTTACAATTTAAAATAAGAAAGAAATTGTTCAAAATAAATATGTAAAGTGTAAACAAGTGATCAATAATTATCTTAAAGAAGTAATTAATTTTTATAATAATTATCTTAAAAATAGTACTGAGAATAATTTTGAATTAACTAACAATCAATAATCAGTAAACTCTACAAATCTTATTTCACTCATAAATCACATAAACGCAACTAAAAAGCGTCAAAAAAATTGCTGGTTGGAATGAAATTAAACTGAAGATTATAAATAAAAGTCTTGAGTTTGATAAATAAAGTGTTGGGTTTAAATATTATTAATAAATACTAAATTCTGAAAGACATAAATTTTTATATTCTCGTCCAATGTCTTGGGAAGAAGAAGGTGATGGTGACTAGTGACATGAACAAGGTTCCTGAAGTTGACACAGAAACTGAGACAAAAAAGGTGGAAACGTGCGAAGATGTCCATTGGCACTTCTGTGAATTCACTCGTATTCCCGACATTGCCCTCACTTTTACTCTAGAAGAATGCCCCACCAGAATACCATAGAAAGCCTCTCTGCACCAAACACATCACTCTCACAAAGAAAGCTTGTCCCTTTTGGTAATAACAGCTACCCAACCAAGATTTGTTTACAGTATATATAATCTGTATATGCACTTCTCCCACATAAGCTTCTCTCTTTCTCCTTGTTCCTCTTCTTTATATTCTTTTTTAGTTAAGGAGATTCAGTCATCTCTACAGGTAAAGTTTACTTGACTCCCCATTCCTGATTCGGTGTTTTATGTTCAAGTTCTTGTCAAATTTTAGATCTTTTTCTAGTCTGATATCAAGTTATGAGTTGAATCATCGTGGGTGTAAATTTGGCGCTAATAATTGTAATGGGGTGTTGTCAGTTCTTGCTGATTGGTGAGTTTGTCTACGAGTGTGTAGATCTTTAGCCACTTTCTTTGATCTACTGACAATACTTTCTTAAGATTGATCTCTGAGTGGTCAACCCATAGTCGTGTGGAAGTTTGTCATCAAATCATCATCCCCAGGATGAATCTGTTAGATCTGGATATTTTTAATCTCTTTTCTGAGTACTTGCTGTATACTAGAAGAAATGAATTGATTCCTATTTTCTCAATGCCATCCATCTCACTTTTAGATTCCACTAGTTGTCAATTCTAAACTATGAAATACATTAGTTTCATTTCTATCCTGTTGAAACAGGTGACATGTAGTTTCTGTTGCTATTGATTCTTCACAGAAATTTGATGTATGTTGTAACATTTTTCATCAACATATATAAAGTAACTTCTGAAGACAAGCTATGGTGCCTTGTCTCATTGTCCTTTAAAATGGATATAATTGCAAATTGTGTTCCCCTTTACTATGCTGTGTTAGAACTATCAAGCAAATTTATATGTCAAACTCACCAACAAAACATAGATGCAATTCTATAATTATTTGTAGTGTTCTTCTCTAATCAGAATTGGAGTTTCACTTGGGTAATCTATGTTGACAGAAAGCTTTATGAAGTAAATTACTAAGATGAAATGTTCACTGCAATTGAAAAACAAGTCTAAAAGATGTATTAAACTGCATCTATGATCTGTCAATTGTTCTTTTGCACTTTACTTGTATATACTGATGCATTTAAACCCCGCATTGGATAGGTCGTTTAGAGAAGAAAGATGGTGAAGATTTGCTGCATTGGTGCTGGATATGTGGGGGGTCCTACAATGGCAGTCATTGCACTGAAGTGCCCCTCCATTGAAGTGGCTGTTGTTGATATCTCTAAATCCCGCATTGCAGCATGGAACAGTGACCAGCTTCCTATCTATGAGCCTGGCCTTGATGGTGTGGTGAAGCAATGTCGTGGCAAGAACCTGTTTTTCAGCACTGATGTTGAGAAACATGTCTATGAGGCTGACATAGTGTTTGTCTCTGTCAACACCCCAACAAAAACACGTGGTCTTGGAGCCGGCAAGGCTGCAGATTTGACATACTGGGAGAGTGCCGCTCGCATGATTGCTGATGTCTCCAAGAGTGACAAAATTGTGGTAGAGAAATCCACTGTCCCCGTGAAAACTGCTGAGGCTATAGAGAAAATTTTGACTCACAATGCCAAGGGCATCAAGTTCCAAATCCTATCAAACCCTGAATTCCTTGCTGAGGGAACTGCAATCCAAGATCTTTTCAACCCGGATAGGGTCCTCATTGGAGGCAGGGAGACCCCAGAAGGGCAAAAGGCCATTCAAACATTGAAAAATGTTTATGCTCATTGGGTTCCTGAGGAAAGAATCCTAACCACAAACCTGTGGTCTGCTGAACTGTCCAAGCTTGCTGCTAATGCCTTCTTGGCACAAAGAATTTCATCTGTCAATGCAATGTCAGCACTTTGTGAGGCCACCGGGGCAAATGTCACTCAAGTGTCCTATGCTGTTGGCACTGACACAAGGATTGGCCCCAAGTTCCTGAATGCTAGTGTTGGTTTTGGTGGCTCCTGCTTCCAGAAAGATATCTTGAACCTTGTCTACATCTGTGAGTGCAATGGCCTACCAGAGGTGGCTGAGTACTGGAAACAAGTGATCAAGATCAACGACTATCAGAAGAGCCGATTCGTGAACCGTGTAGTGTCATCAATGTTCAACACAGTTGCAACCAAGAAGATTGCCATTCTGGGGTTTGCATTCAAGAAGGATACTGGGGACACAAGGGAGACACCAGCAATTGATGTGTGCAAGGGGCTACTTGGTGACAAGGCACGCCTAAGCATATATGATCCACAAGTGACCGAGGACCAAATTCAGAGGGATCTGTGGATGAACAAATTTGATTGGGACCACCCCATTCACTTGCAGCCAACTAGTCCTACAACTGAGAAGAAAGTGAGTGTGGTTTGGGATGCATATGAGGCTACAAAGGATGCAGATGGTGTTTGCATCCTGACTGAGTGGGATGAGTTCAAGACTCTTGATTATCAGAAGGTGTATGACAACATGAGAAAACCAGCATTTGTTTTTGATGGAAGGAACATTGTGAATGTGGAGAAGCTACGTGAGATTGGTTTCATTGTGTACTCAATTGGGAAGCCACTGGATCCATGGCTCAAGGACATGCCTGCTGTTGCATAAAAGAGATCTCAAGGATTCAGACATTCAGTTTGGTTCAATTTGTTATTAATAATTTTTTTTGGAACAATTTTTCTTTGCCATTTTTCACTTTCCCATATAGTAGTTGGCACAAATCAGTATAAATTATGGGAAAGTAGGAGGCCATATGTTTTGTGTTTCTCTCTGCTGCAATTAATCACTGTTTGGCTGTTATGAGTTTACATTACAAGGAATCTTTTTTTATTTGATTAGTATGATGTTACTATCATCATTTTGGTGAATGTTTTGGAAATTTCTATTTGAGAAAGTTTTGGACCTACACCAACCATAAAAGTTGCTTTTAGGCTGCATTTGACACAACTGCAATAATTATATTATTTTAACAATTGATTATTCATATAATCAATTACAATCATAATAAATTTTGTTGTTTTTATAAATTTGTTAACAAGTCATTTAAGGATAGTTAATTTCTTTTAATGAAAAAAAAAGTTTTATATATGAAAAGAGTATATATGTAAAGCTGAAAGAAAAAAAATTATTGAAAAATAGTAATTAAGTATAAACAATTAATTATACAATTTTTTTTTCAAAAAAACTTAGTAAATATTCATTTTTTTAAAGAGGCTGAATTTCATCTATGCCTAACAACTTCAGTTTATTTAAATTAGAATAATACGTGTTTCCAAATGTACTTTTAAAACATATTTGGAAAAAAATATTTAAAGATATTTTAGTTGTTTTTGAGATAAAAAGACTATTTATATTTTCAGAAGTTAAATTTCTAAAATATCTTTTATAATTTTTTTTATAAATATAAAAATTGAAACTTATACTTATTTTTCTAATATTATCTTTCTTACGAAAAACTTTATTTTATTGTACCCAAATAAAAATGATTAATTGATTATTGAAATAATTTAATATTATCCTAAGCACATCCTAAATCTTTCTAAATCTTAAATTATAAAGTATTAAAAACTAATTTCAATTTATTCATTTATATTATTTACTTATGATATTAGTCCTAAATTTATTATAATTTTAAACTTATTTCCCTAAAAAATAAAATATTAAGATTTTAATATGCTAAATTTGAGAAACTAAAAAGTGGTTTTAAACCTGAAATTTTAAGCTTTCTCTATACCTTAAATCTAAAACTCACTTAAATTCTAAATCCTAAAAATTCATTTTAATCCTTTAAAATTTCTAATCACAAATTAAAATTATATTTATTCAGTTTTAAGATACTAGAATATTATATATATATATATATATATATATATATATATATTTTTTTTTTAAATTTGGGAGACAAAACCATAATTACTTCAATTGCAGTTGTAATGATAGTTACGGTCATTGAATAATCTTTCAGTTACAAAATTTACAAGCACAGTGCGACAATGAAAATGTAAAAAAGCCTATCAATTATTGTTTAATATATATTATTTTATGTAGTTAATTAAAGTTTAGTATGTACATGAATTTTAGTTTTAGATATTTATAAAATAATATTTATCTATACAATGTTTTTAAATATTATGTAGCATTATTTATTATAGCTTCCTTTGCAAATACAAAAACATGATTACCCAATTTCAAATATAAGGCCGGTGCATAAGAAAAAGGGGGAATGATTTCTAAAAATACCTTAATAAATTCCACATAATAAACAAGAAGTCAGGGTATGAAACTATGAAAAAAAGGGAAATTAGAAGAAAAAATAGAGATAAGAGTATCAAATGCAATTAAATGTGAAACATATAATTATATGAGATTATCAAAATTATAATTATAAAAAACCGATTGCAAAGACAATGAATAAAATATAGTTATTAAATGTGATAGCATCATAATGCCCAATCATCATGCAACCAATAATTGGTCAGTGACCATAGATAAATAAAATAAAAAGTTAAAACAAAACTCCTTGACAAAGAAGAATAACAATCTTTCGCTACAGCTATAACACCTTTTTTTTGTGAATGAGAGAAAAAAAAAATTGAGTGAAGAGAAATATAAACTTTTCCTTCCGATTCAAGTTTGTATCTGAATCAACTGAAAAATACACCCAATAAAATATAAATGTGCAGATACAAAAGTGAGGGGGAAAGAATATTAAAAATATTAGCATTTTTAAAAGCATCTTGTCAGATACACTTTAATTTTGCATGTAAAATATCATCGTGGAGTATCACCTTACGATTCAAATAGCAGTGATGTATGCAGAATCACATACAATTAGGAAACAAAAATGTAACATGCTAGACATAATAGCCTATATTAACTCACTTTATAAAAAATAGATTAAATTGACATTAAAAAATAATAATAATAACGAAATTGAAAAAAAGAAAGGATAGAAAAGATATTTGGCAGTAATATTAATGTCGTATAAATAATGTTGAAACGTACAGCAGTTGAGAGTTAACAAATAGATGTTAATTTAGAAAAAGGAGTGTGTGAAAGTGGTAGAAGATGGTTTGCGGATTTTGATAAGTGAAAAAATATGGATAGCAAAGATACATACATACATGTGACTATGTGAGAGGAAACACCATTACATATATCAAGTGAGAGAAGACAGTTAGGGAAATGAAACTTCTCTTTGTAGATTAGTACAAAAATTGATGTAAATTGCCGAAACAAAAAAAAATCTTGGCAAATAACATAGATACTTATTCAAATAGAAAACTTATCACTTCCATAAAAGTTGTTAACGTATTAATTTTTATAACAAAAATATTGAAAGTCATGTATAATAATTTTTAAGCACTTTTAATGGTATAAATATTGTACATAAAATTAAACTAAAATGACTAAGATAAGGCAGGCTTAAGAAATGATGCGTGAGACAATGTCATAGATAAGGGAGTGAGTTTGGAGATAAAGTGAATTGACAATTATTATGAGAGAAAGGTCTGCTAAATAACAAGAAGTAGCATCCATAACAGATATATTACAGAACTGCAAACTTATTTGATCAAGAGCACTGCAAAATTATATTTGTTTTATTTATTCTCTGGTACGAGGAATTAAGCTAACCAGTGATCATCAAAACCACGTGGCATCAATCCTCTGCTATTCATTATATACCTTTCTACAGCAATTGGGCTGGTTCGATGTTCCATATCTCTCGGGCATATTCATGAATCGTACGGTCACTGCTAAACTTGTACGAGCCTGCTGTGTTTAATATTGACATTCTTGTCCATTTCTGCATCCACATCATTTACAAAGGTTAATGTTAAAAATAACATCAGACCAACACGCCTGATGCATTCAAGTCTTGTCAAGGTATATAAAGTTGCATGAAGGAACAAAACAACCATGTACGACAGAGCTATACCAACTGAATACAATTCATAAATATGTTGCATGGCATAATATTATAGAACATATAAAGCGAAAATACTTCTGACTAAAAAGAATTTAGTAAAAATACCAACACCTTCTAACATACTCTGCTATTAGTTAAAATTTGTCAGAACTACAAAATCACGAGTGAAACTCATTAAATATGAAATCGAATAAAAAAAATCGTATTACTAGCATTCTCGTCAGACATGCCTTTATAATGAACATGGAATTGGTGCATGCTTCCAACAGGCTAGCAGATGAAACAAATATTTACTAGCAAATAGCAAGAAGGTCCACAAACTCACTTTTTGGTCCCTGTATGCTTCATCAACCTTCTCTTGGCATTCTATGTAGCTGGGGAAGTCCTTGCCCACAAGGAAATAATCTGCTCGACCAAAACCTTCATTCCCCTCTAAGGATCCTATCAATTCGTCATAGTTGTAAGATCCAAAAACACCACTTCTGACAAATTCTTTGACTTCTTCAAATCGTGGATCGGGGACAAACTGAATTAAAAAACATAGTGGGTTAACATATATTCATATAATTTTTTATGAAACCCAAGACCGAGATTTCCTCAAACAAGAACTTTGTTCAAAATACTCGAAAGCATATTATGAATTCCTTCAAACAAATTAATAACATTCGAAACTTAAAAACTGTGGAATTCTTGTTCTAATGCGGGTATGATTCAAACAGCATGGTATTAACTATGTTCCGTAGTAATTAAAGTACACAAATTAAGACAGACCTTTCCCTCTGCTCTTTCTTTCCTCAGCCCAGCAATTTCATGAGCCTCGGCACCAAAGAGGAAGAAGTTGTCTGCACCAACCTCTTCTCTAATTTCAACATTGGCCCCATCTAAAGTTCCAATCAATATACAGCCATTCATTGCAAATTTCATGTTGCTGGTTCCACTTGCTTCCATTCCAGCAGTACTACACGATAGAAACATGGAACACAGGTTAGTATATGTATGTTTTACCTGTATCCTATTCCACAATGCACATCGAGTGCCAAGTTCACTCTCACGTGTCATGACTGGATGGATTTCCAAACACAGTATTAATTTGCAAAGTTTCACTGCAAGCAACAATGGATAGGTCACTGACACCTTGGTCATGAAGAGGAGTTGGTGAGGTGAGAATCATACTGTTTGACCATTTGGTCATGAAGACTTACATTACATTTCAAGAACCATCAGACTAAATGTTTAAGCTGTTAGGGGCAAGTACATGAATGGTTGTATTATATTGGATAAATTCTTTACCAGAATTAAACTGGTTTCCCTAATCCTTAATACAGATTTCCATTCACAATTTAACGTATGACTATATCCTCTGCTTTACGTACTGGAAAAGGACTTGTCAGTGTCAATGTCAATAAGGGACTTGAACAAGATTTTCAGAGTCGCCTCATCAAACAAACCTGTAAACTCAATCTGGCTTTGGAGGGTAAATTTTATTAAAAATAATAACAACTTAAAAAGTTTGGGTTCTTAATTTTATGGAGCAATCTTGGTTTTGTTGCCTGGGATTCTAGAAACTAATCTCAATCTATCCAGGCAGTCAGGAAATTGCCAGTACTTCTCTAACAGGTCCCCATAGAACACCAGTAATTCAAGGGATGAAGCTTTGTATATTGAGATTCTGATCTGATATTCAGCATTTTGCTTATACGTTTTGAAGATGCCATATATGTCAAATAACGATAACTGATAGAATCAATTGGCAATTGGGAGAAGATTTAGGGATTCCAAAAAGGATTACAGAAAGAATACAAATTTCCAGAGTATGCACTACAACCACCCTCCCCTCTCTGGCCAACCTCCTATTCTAGTAGGCATCACTAAAGGGAGTTGTCAACAAGAGTTGCTTAGGAATAAAAATAAATATTTATTATGGATCCCATGTTTTAGTTGCTTAGGAATAAAAATAAATATTTTATTTTAGGTCTGATGTCTGAGTTGCCTAAAAATGCCTAAAAATGGAGAAAATTAACAAAGTTGCTTATATAAGCAAACCAAGTTTTAAGCAACTCATAGGATTTATAATAAAATATTCAATTTTATTTTTAAGCAACTCTTGCTAAGAACTCCCTTTTGGAGATGCCCTTATAGAGCAGATAATATTAATGCCCTTATAGAGCAGATAATTTTAAGTATAATAACTGCTGAGTTAGTTACAAATGCTCTAACTACTGAGTTAGTTAAAACTGTATTCCCTGTCCATATTTCTATTCTTCTGTATTCTCACACACACTTTCCTAATCAGGCAGAACGTTTTCTTGATACTTCCTACAAACCTAGGTTGCATATGTAATATGATTGGACACAACAGAAACAACTTTCACAATTTTTCAAGTATTTTCTTCAAGATAACATCCATCCGCAAAGTAAGTAAAATAAGTTTTTGAATGAAAAAGATCCCGATTTACATGTGAATAGTATACAGATTGATGTAATTGGCTCAATTTTACAAAGGCTATTCATGTCAAAATTTAACCAGCTGGAATTAGTACAAAGGACAGTATCATGTTAATTATTAGATGTAGAACAACATTTACGTGAAATATAACTACCTGATATGTTGTGATAATTCACTTGCCGGAATAAGCATCTCAGCAACACTGACATTGTAATCAGGGACAAAAATAACCTGATCAAATATAAACACACAAATTAACAATATCTCTTACCATCCATTTGTAAAAATTTGATTCGGAAAAACTGTAGGATGTGAACAAAGTATCCAAGAATTTTAGAAGTTTTGTCTACTAATAAAGGAAATAATATCTGATAAAGTAACAGGCTTTAAAGAACTTTGGTAAAGCATTCCTCCCAACGACTCCCCTTTCCCTTTGAGAAGATTTAATGTTCCTATAAATTAAATGGTACAGACATCAATTTCTTCTCTATATTTAGTATATTAGAAAACTGATATAAGGAAAATCTTATTTACAGAGGGCCTAAAATTCAAACTAGTGAATGGAATATGGATCTCTGTACACAACAGCATCGGAATGGCTGCGACCCTATCTTATTAAAAGTAATTGGAGAGTCTCCAACTTCACAATTTAATAATTTAATCAAACCAATTTCGCAATTTAATAACTTAATCAATTAAATGGTCAAATAGTCGATTATCAACTTGACATAGTCAATCAAATTATAAAAATTGAGACTCTGTTCAATTATAATGGGAGGGGTTAAAGAATGCAAGAATATCCCAAAATTGTTTTATTATTCATGTAGGACCACAATTATCCATTAAGAAAAATGTATCCAAGGGGGCCACCACCTATGCCATATGACCAAACAATAACCTTTGATATGACCAAACAATAACCTTTCATCAAAGTGGAAATTTGATAACTTTAGTAGCCAACAAAAGTACCTAACATTTGTTATGTTACTGTTGCTGCTAGTGATGGGACTCTCCAATTATCAGTCTCTCAATCTCCCCTTTTCCTAACCGTAAGTGTCTTTTTATCAATATCCCCCTTTCAGCCGTGGTCCTCTTGGGTCCATTATTATTTTGTGAGTTTTCCAAGATAACAGGCATGATTTCCTGGATATGTCAAGATATCCGATACCTACGCCACAAAGATACCTTCGCCACAAAGATACCTACGCCACAAAGATATCGGCTAGTTGACGAGATGGATGACTGGACACTACAGTTACCATACAGTTGGCAACTAGCCGAGATGGATGACCTGGACACTACAGTTACCATACAGTTGGTTTTTGCCTTTTCCTTTCTCTGGGTACATTTATTTTTTCTTCTATATTTGCATGGTAGAATGTCATACCATAAAGGCTTGCATAATTACATTTCTAATGAGGTGTTCATGTTAAATTATACTAAAAAATCTTTATACAAAATGCACATTGATTTCAATTTACCAAGGGAAACTTGCTTATAGCTAATAAAGTCAGATATAGAACCTAAAAAGGATCCTGAGGCCCAAGTACTGGCAAAGGAATAATGCTTTACATCTTTATTTTCAAGAATATGCCGAAGAACTGTAGGATAAAACATAACCAACAAATGAAAAAGAAAAAACATAATCAACAAATGAAAAAGAACAGTTGTAGTTGTGTGTACCTTTAGTAGATCTCCTATTTCAGGATCATGATTTACGGTTGCCCCAACATCTGTAATAAATTTCACAATTCTTTTGGCTTGCACATATGTCGCAAATGCTTTTCCCCCAAATATACAAACTCTAGGAACAAAACTTTTTTTCCTTTCTGCAGCACTCAGTTCTTTCATTTTCTTGTATCGGTAAACAATTCCAAGTATGTTCAATAATTGTCGCTTATATTCATGGATTCTCTTCACCTAAACCAAAGTAATAAAGCCAACAGTGAACAGTTTAGGAAAACTACATTGGAAACCTGATGGAATGGGTAGTAATTGAATTCATAAGTAACAAATGTCATCACTTCAAAATACAAAATTTGATGTTTAAAAGTAACTTATCATCTTACCTGGATGTCAAACATTGCATCAGGACTGACAGAATATCCTGTTTTTTCTCTGATTAATGCTGCAACTTTAACTTTGTTACTCCTCTTTGCTTCCTTCCACTGCAGTTGTAGATCCTCATTGTCTACAAACTATTAATAAATGACACTAGTGTGATCAGGTTTAATGACAGGAACTTGAAGAATAGGTTGAAACCAATATGATCAAATGATGCTTTAGACATACAATGGAAACATAACGTAGTCTATAACACGCTCAATGCTAATTTACCAAATTCAGAAAACGCCCATAAAATTGTAATCAAAATACCATATTGATTCCTTTAAGATCAAGGAGCATACCAAATTTACAATTCAGTTAAATATTCTAAGAATGCTGAATGAAATTAAGCTAATCCTGGAACCCATAGGAATTCAGATTTAAAAACTCAACAAACCCGATATTTCATAACTTCCTGAATAGTGCATAACAAGACATAATCTATTCCATTGAAAATTAATTTGTGAAGGAGACCAGCAAATGCAAGAAAGTTGCACTCTATAGGTTAGATAGAAGCAATTACACTTATTTATAGCTAAATCTTTGGGGATAACTTGTATCAATAATCATAAAACTCCAAAATTGGAGATCATTTGTTTCCAAGAAGCATTAGGCTATGCGGTAGTATAACTGGTGTGGCCAAACGTGACATTAAATAAACATTAAATTAAAAAAAGGAAATAAAAAAGAAAAAGAAAATGCAAAGCCTTTTTAAATTTTAAAAAGGAAAAGTTCAAGAGTAGGATAAGATTAATAAAGCACAAACTGGTAACTACCTTCCGTAGCTCAGCCAATTTTTCTGTATTTAGGACCCAATCCTCTGTGCCTATCCACTCGGTTATTATTTTACTCAGATCTGGATTGCAAAACCTGATCCATCTCCTTGGTGTCACACCATTTGTTTTGTTTTGGAATTTCTCAGGCCACAACTACAAAAAATATGGCAGAGGTCAACGATATGTACAATTTTCCTAGATCTTGTCATAATATAAAGAAAACATAAAATGATGAATTGCTATTAGAGGCCCAAATATTAAATAGATATCATTAGAAGTTTGAGAAGTTGCTTTCATCTTTTAATAGCAGCAAGCGTGGAGCAATCACTTTGAAACAGGAAAATGTGGAAATATCCATATTTTGTGGTGTTATTTTGCCCATTGGGCAAGAATAAGTTGTTTCCTCCCATTGGACATAGATAAGTGTTGACTGCTAAGAACTATTTCGTGATTTCAAATGGAAAAATGTAATTGCAGATATGTATTTAGAAACATAACTCAGTAATGCACTACATAACACTGACAGACCAATGAAACGTTTACCTTATAAAACGCATTGAAAACTTCATCTTTTACAATTTCACTATGTATCTCGGCAACCCCATTCACAGCATGACCACCCACAACACAGAGATTTGCCATACGAACCAATTTTGGTGGTTCTGGTACTGGCACAGGCAATTCTTCTTTCTCATCCTCAATGGAACTTTTATCTGCTCCATTCTTTTTAGCAATGGCTCCTTCCACTTCAACATTATCATCTTTTTCTTCTTCTTCTTCTTCTTGTTCTTGTTGTTGTTCTTCTTCTTGTTCTTCTTCTTGTTCTTCTTCTTGTTCTTTTACTTGTTCAGAACTTTGCAGTACCTCACTAGGAGTATCAGTGGTCTCTTTCGACTTAACCAGTACATCTGCAAATTCTTCAGGCAATTCAACATTTTCTAGTATTCTCATTTCCTTCAATTTATTCTCCAGCAAGTCTGAATCTGCAGTGCCATATTCTGCAATTATGGTCTGAATCAGCTGCAAACCAGGAATATCAGCAACAAATCAATGCCTGTACCCTGAAAGAAGGATGTTTATGCACGTATTTCAGTATTACCTCAGCATCAATCATCTCTATTATCTCAACATGGCGTGGAAGCAGTTTCTGCATAAGATCCAAGCTCCATTTCTCTAATGCCTCAGGAAGAACAGTATGGTTTGTATATGCTACAGTCCTAGATCACAGTGGAAGATAGTACACATTCAGTTAACCCACTCAGGTCATGCATTAACACATAATAACAGATCACCAGATACCTCTCTATCCCACAAAAACTAAAAAAAAAGTGAAATAAATAAGGAAGGCAGAATACCTTTGTGTTATTTTCCAAGCATCTTTCCAACTTAAACCCTTTACATCTATTAGGATTCTCATCAGCTCTGGGATGCACAAGGTTGGGTGAGTATCATTCATCTGCACTGCAACCTTTTCAGGAAACTCTTCCCAATTCACATTTGCTCCTGATCTTCTCTCAAAACGAGCAACAATGTCTTGAAGAGAAGCAGAACATAAAGTATATTGTTGCTTGAGACGAAGGATCTTGCCCTCTATTGATTCATCCCCAGGGTAGAGTATATAGCATATCTGTATTTGAAAACAAAAATACCATAAAATGTCCTTTTATTAACTTGCACTCAGATTGTAACAAAACTAAATTAACTGGAAAGCCTACATATTATCAAAAGTAACTCTTATTTTCTACACAGGACTTAAGTCCACACTCATATACAGACTGTAAAATTGTATTAATGAATATTAGAATGGTTACAAAAAAGTATACTAAGCTTTTGTGCACAAGTAATATATATAAAGCAGAAGGTATAGCTACATAAGGTGCATCTGTGACATGCAGCTAACCAAATAAATCAACACAAAATCATAGAAAATTGATATTCTCTTATATTCTCCTACATAGGTCATTATAAAAGGACACTCCAAAGACAAAATAAGAAAAATACACATTACACTCAAATGTATGGAGAAGAATGATTTTTATAATACTTATTTTCTACAATACTGATTCTAATACCATTATTCAATGGTCCATTTTTTTTAGAATGTGAGTTTAAGTCTAAGTCAACTCTACAAGACTAACTGACTTGTGAGGTGAGAATTACTCCCCTTTATATATTTTGTTCAAACTCTATCCCTAGCCGATTGGGCTTTTTCCCATAAACTCCCTCATGACTAACACCATTAAAATGCGGGTTTAGACATAACTCAACCCACAAATCCCATACAATCCCTCACTATTAACACCATTAAAATGTTGGTTTAGACATAACTCGACATTGTCATCCTCACTAAAATATTTTTTGCAAACTCTATCTCTAGTCAATACAGGACTTGGGTTTTTCTCAAATACATTTCTAAAGATTCATACATCTCTTACTGTTTATAAAGGACTTTACACTAGCTATATCATCTAACCTTTTCAGCGTTTGCTAGAGCCTCAGATGCTTCAGTGTGCCTTCCAGCATTAAAAGCATATAAATCAAATTCTTCTGATGCAGCTTTTGTAGACCAAAGTCTCAAGTTGATTGTAGTCTTAGTTTTATATCCTGGTATGGGAACATCATGTGCAACAGCTTTTATATCTTCTCCTCCAATCCAATGTTTCTTACCATCAGACCCTGATTCAACCTTGCCATAGAACTTTACAGGATACGAAATATCATTTCTAACAATCTCCCAAGGATTGCCCATCTGTTATACGAGGTCACAAACAAAGAAAGAAATATTAACAGAACAGAACAACATAGTGCAAACATTATAATTTTAATTTTGAAGTACAGGCCATCAGCTCTTGTCAAAATAATGAAACATACCTCAAGCCAATCTTCAGCAACTTCTTCCTGCCCGTCTTTGGTTATTCGCTGTTTAAATAAGCCATACTTATATCTCAATCCATACCCCCAAGCCGGATAGTTCAAGGTTGCCAAAGAGTCCAAGAAACATGAAGCAAGTCGCCCAAGACCACCATTTCCAAGTGCAGCATCTGGTTCCTATCAATAGCCAAACAAAATGATTTACTAAACTATAGCAAAGTGCACCCCAATATTAATTTTGATTAGATTACTCCTGTTGCTGTAGGTTCTCAGTAAAATAAAAAGGTTTGTCAGTTTGAAATGTTTTGGGGAAAATGTAGGTAAAGGAACTTAATAGGAATATGACCCATATCAATTGACTTTCTCCAAAGCAAATATGCTATCGGAACAACATTTGTTTGTAAAGCGCATCAGTTTGTTTATCTAAAGAGGTTAGTTGATGTTGACTTATAAGGTTCTGGTTATATCATCAGTAAATTTGAGAGAACACTGAAATTGTTAGGGTATTAAGGGAAGGAGAAGTTAAGAAGATAGTTAGCATATTAATAAGTTAGTTAATTGCATCAGGTGTTGTTTAGATATAAATAGAGTGTGAAGGATAGCAGAAGGGGGTGGATATTCTTTGTAAATTGAGCATTAGCTCTTTGTAAAAGGAGAAATCCTTTGTGAAGGGGAAACCCTTGGAGGAGAGTCTTCTCCTATTTCTTGTTCCTTTCATTCTATTCAATAAAGAAACTTTCTTTTATTTTTCTGTTTAATTCTTGGTTCCTAACAATTGGTCCGACCTGCCGGATACAACCTAGAGGCGTTATGGAAGGAAGATTGGGAGTTTTAGAAAGGTGGGCAGAAAGGTGGACCAGCGAGCAAGAAAAAGTAAACGCAGAAGTCAAGAATTTCATTCAAGAACTCAAAGAAATGTTTAAAACATTCAAGAAGAGTGAGAAGGGATCCGAAAAAAGTGAAATCATGGAAGGAAGAATTGCTGTCTTGGAAAAATGGGCCAGCGAGCATGGGAAGACCTTCTCGGAAATACAAGATAATTTTCAAGAAATCAAAGACTTGTTGAAACACTTCAAGGAAAAGGAAAGAAGCTCGGAGAAAGGTGAGAATTCTACAAATGGGGGAAGAAGAGGAGAAAGGACGGTAATTAGTGAGGAATCTGATTCAGATGGTAGGGAAGAAGAAGTGCAGCTTCACTTGATGAAGAGAGTGGAGCTGCCAACTTTTGAAGGAAGTGATCCAATTGGTTGGATTGCTAGGGCTGAAAAATTCTTTGAGGTACATGAAATCGATTCTTTTGATAAGCTGCAATATGCATTCATGAGCATGGAAGGTGTGGCAATGCATTGGTTCTATTATTGGTACCAAGATAACTTGAATTTAGATTGGGAATCTTTTTCAACAGCTTTGATAAAAAGGTTCAAAGATATCTATGACAGCCACATCTTTGAAAGATTGACTACCATGAAGCAAGAAGAGCAAATTGAGATTAAAACATGCAGCAAAATAATGGAAACTTCCACAATAGTGTATAAAGAGGGTGACCCACATCTGGTTGAGCAAGAAAAAAATAGCATGGAGGGAAGCAGGTCAAAATGCATTGCAGCAGAGATTAGTTCTTGGATAAGAAAGATGGAAGTACCCATATTTGCTGGAAGCATAGAAGGGGAATTTGATTCCCAGAATAGCAGTTTTGAGAGTGATAATGATCATTTTCTATTCTTGAAATCAAAAAATAGAAGTAAAGAAGAAGACTCAATAAAGTATCACACCCTTGATAGTGCAGAAGAAACCAAAAATGAAGAGAATTTAGCAAGAGAAGCAAAGATTATGTCATCAAGAAAGACTAGGAAGATGATGAATTTCCATATAAAGAATCAGGAATCATTGTTGGACCCAAATCTGATAGGGAAGGTGGTTGGAACAACAATGGCATTAGAATTTTGGAATTTTAATTTTCTTGGTGATTACAACTTGCCAATGGAGACAATGCAGAAGCAAGGTTTGAAAGCTGTTATAAAAAATCCACTCTCATTTCCACCACCACCACCCAAGCCACCTGATCTGAATTTGAATGCATTAGCCCCTGGTCCTCATTCCTATACCAAAAAAAAAAAGATATCACATGCAGACAGAAAGGGTAAATGAAGATCATGGTAATAAGAATAAGCAATGGGATCAAGTTTCTACTACACAACCTTGAGGACAAGGTTGATTTTTTAGACAGGGTGTATTGTTAGGGTATTAAGGGAAGGAGAAGTTAGGAAGATAGTTAGCATATTAATAAGTTAGTTAATTGCATCAGGTGTTGTTTAGATATAAATAGAGTGTGAAGGATAGCAGAAGGGGGTGGATATTCTTTGTAAATTGAGCATTAGCTCTTTGTAAAAGGAGAAATCCTTTGTGAAGGGGAAACCCTTGGAGGAGAGTCTTCTCCTATTTCTTGTTCTTTTCATTCTATTCAATAAAGAAACTTTCTTTTATTTTTCTGTTTAATTCTTGGTTCCTAACAGAAATACTCAGACATTATAGAATAAAAATGAGAAAGAAGAGATACATTAGGGAATGTCGCACCTGGTATGCCACATTTTCTAATTTATACCCAAACTTGGTCAAAGCCTCCGCATAAGGACCAGTTAACTCTAGATTGCCTAATGCATTTAGTAATGCTCTACCCTGCAAAATAGAAAAATAAATAGAAACAAGCATTAGATGTCAGAAATGTTATAAATTATTCAAATAATTATGGTAGCATCCAACCTGCAAAAATTCCATCGAAAGGTAATATGCCTGCTTAACATTCAGCTTCTCATAGTAATCATAGGTAGCATTCCAGTTTATAATGAGAGCATCACGAACACTTTGTGCAGTAGCGAAAAAAGCCTGTGGTAGATCAAAATTCTCTGGAGAAAACAATGGAGTGAACTCTGAATGGTATTTAATACTTGAAGCAATAGATGAAGCATCTGGCGTCAAGGAGCTGGGAGAGGTTGTAGCTTCTAAAAGAAATAATAAATAAACAAACACAAAAGATTAATCAGGTCATAATGAACTTCTTGGACACAAGATAAGATAACTTCTGGTATCTTGTTAAACTGTCAGGACTTGGGAATAATCTGTCAAAAGCTCCTTTCCTTATTCTAACCAAAAGAGAATATAACAAAATATTAATGAGCTTTGGATGATGTTTAATTACTACATGTTTGGATGGAGAGAAAGAAAATAAGTAGTTTTTTTTTTTTTTTGAAATTGAAATTTTTTATATTTTGGTTAAAAGAAAATTCAAGAAACAGAATCATCTATGCAAGCTTTCCCTTCATTTCAATTTGAAATTTTTTTCTCCTCTTTTGTTTTCTCCCATTTCATCAAACCAACAGGCTAGAGATGGAACCCTGGTTGCAGTCCACAATAAACCATGTATTTCCATGTCAGCATAAAAAATTATCCAAACTCATAAACTCCTGAATAACAACTCAAAACTGTAATAATAGCCATCTTAATAAGATTATTTTCAACAATTATACCTACAAATAAGGGAGGGGGGACGTAAAAAAAATATCAGAATAAATAAATAAAACACACAAACTTCTTTTTCAGTTGTTAAATCAAAACCAATTTAATGCATCTATTGTTGAAATACAGATATCATAAAAAGCATGACTGTGAGCTTTACCGACATGTTACCAAGAAAATACTGGATGTCAATCCTTTTCCAATGCTAACAAGGTATCACAAGGAAGAGGCATGCATATCACACACATCAAAAGAGAGGGAAGTTTCTATTTGAGGGTGAAAAGAACAAATCTTAGACCGTTTTAGATATTACATAAAAGATCAAAATTAAAATATAAAAGTCAAGATACTTTTTTAAAATGATCATGTGAACTTTTAATAGCTTTTGGTCCTGACTAACACTGTAAGATTGTTTGGTCACAATTTACTCTTCTCACTTTATACACACACTTCCAGTTATTTTCTAAGTGTATTAAATTTAACAACCTATATTTTTGAGAATATTTTAAGAAATCCAAGTCGTAAATATTTTAACACTTCAACTTATTTTAGAAATAAGTGGAAGTATACTAACACCGATGAGTTCTATGTACATCAATTTTTTCCATATCATTTTCACAAGTTCAGAGTTATAATTTACTATTTTATATATATATATATATATATATATATATATATATATATATATAATTTTTTTTAATTTACTTATTATTCATATATTTTCAAATTAAGATTATTTTTTAATTAATTTTAATCTTAACTATCTACTTAATAAGAAGATTCAAGGTTATAATTATTATTATTTAAAAATTTCTCACTTAAATCTTCTTATTCAAGTGGATAGTTAAGACTAAAATTAATTAAAATTAATTAAAATAATCTTAATCTCAACATATATGAATAATAAGTAAATTAAAAAAAAAGTACATATATAACCAAAAAAAATAAATTATTACCAATAGAAAAAGTGAACACATTAAAAGCGAAAAAAGTGAGTCTTACCCTAATGCCTTACAATTATACATGAATAGTCAAGATTATTTTAATTAATTTTAATCTTAACAATCTATTTGAATTATACTATTGAGATTCGCTCTGTTTACCATATTAACCATCCATTTGAATATGATGATCCAGACTCGTAGTTCTCATTACAATAATATAGTTTTTTAATTATATACAGAGAGAGGGAGAGAGAGAAGACATGGTAACAAATAAGTTTTTTCTATTATCAGTTAACTCTCCAATTTAACACTAAACTGCATCACTCTACCGCAACCAAACCAAAAAATCCAAAAAAAAAAACGAGCAAAAGAAAAAGAAAAATGAAAAAAAAAAGTTATATATATATGGAGATATATATAGACAGAGAGAGAAAAAGTGAAAGATATAGAAGCAAAAACTTCAGACCTTGTGGTTGAGCCACGGGATCGTGTAGTTTCCGCTTGGCCTCGCTTCCGGAGACGCACTTCACAGAGAAGAAAGAGTTCCGCCTCCGGAGGAGGCTCAAATTGAAGCTCCTTCCAATAAACCTGGGCCTCGATTTGGCGGAGGATCTCGTGGCGAAGGTTATGAATCCAGTGACAGAGTTGCGGCGGGGAAGCGCCTCAGCGCCGGTGGAAGTGGCGGAGAACCGCATTGTGGTGGAAGCCATTGCGAATCGCCAATCGCAAATCGCAATCCTCTCTGTTCTCAAAATCAATAATCGGTGAGAGAGAAAGAGAGAGCGAGAGAGAGTGAGAGAGGTGTTTGTTTGTTTTCTTGCTCACGAGCTAGGTAGTGTGAGTTTGTGTGAGTGTGTTGTGCGACTATAATGGAGATGGTGGTGTTACTGTATGTACGGTGTCCATATATGATATGACCGATATGTCATCGAATCACGAGCTTCTCGCTCCTTCAGACTCTATTTTGTTCTCTGTCGTCGACCTCACCGAATGCCCTTTGCAACTGCTCTGTTGGCGCTCTGTATCATTGCCACGTAAGACTACACCGTCAGGCTTTTGTTTCCTTTCCCTTAACACCTTCCCCTTTTTGTCGTCACCAAAATTTCGTATTCCAATTTTACAACTAAAAAATATTAAAAACAATCAACCAATTTTTAAATGAATTTTAATCCTTAATTAAATCAAAAAATATTTTATATAAATAAAATAAGTGAAAATGTTTAATAATCCACAGTGTATGATGATTAATTTAGTCTTTGTACACTTTTTTACTTAATTCTATAATTTTTTATTTTTAACCGGTCTAAAACTAACTTGAAGTAATAATTTATTAAATATTTCTAATTTAGAAACAAATTCAACAACCTTTCACTACTAACTTCCGAATTTCAGTTACTAACTAATAATTTTTCAGCTTTAGTTTTTTCAAACATGGTGAAAGTATATATTATTTTGTGTACAAATACAAAATAAATGCACTCTTGAATTATGTAAATATTATATGTTTAAATTACGTAAAACAAGGAGAGAAATAATGTTTGATCACTTACTGCTCAAAATTAATGATGTGATGTTTCGCCTTAGTAATTTGATATAATTGAACTCTTAAAATTCTAATTAATAATTAAATTTTGTGAATTTATATTTTATTTTAAATTTAAAATTATAATTATTTCAGGAAGATCGTGAGTCAAATTTCATATTTAAAATATTATCATTTTCGTTCCGAAAACTATATCTAAATTATTATTCATCTCAAATTTTGAGAATACATGACCTGTACCGAAATAATAATAATAATAATAATATAAAATATTATATAAATATATCTATCTAAGAATGTTTTCACGATCCAAAGTGCCGCCACATCACCTGGAAAAGCTAAAAAAAAAAGCAAGGAGATATGAAATGTATTTTTTTATATATAAAAAAAGTAATATATAGGATGCAAAACTATCAATTTAGAACAAATATTGAAAAAAATATTATTTTTCAAACTTATATATCAAAATATTATATTATTTGAGAATAATAATTAACAAATAATAATAATGATAATTAACCCTAATTTTTTTTAATTAAAAGACATTTATATAAATAGAAATATATTTAATTATTACCATTGAAGTCATTTGGTAGAGGCATTTTAGAGTTTCAATGGCATAATAATACAGCATAGATATTTTTCTTGGTAGACATTGATATTATTATTCTCTGATAAATTTTGGAGGCACTTGTGTCCAACCTTAGCAAATTTGGATCGTTCATTCGTATTAATCAATAATGTCACACCCATCACGTGCATGGGTCTTTATGTGAAAAAAGCTTACCACATAATTGTTTATGGAACTTCTATTCGGCACGTCCATTTGCAAGGATATCATAAGTCTATGTTACTTTTCATGTCTCATTTATTTTATTTTTATAAAAAATAATTTTCTTATTTTTCAAAATAAATATAGAATTTAATATAAATTCTCTTTGACTTAAAGTTTTTTTTTGTTTAACTGTTGGTTAGACTAAAGTAGTCTAGAGGAGTTTTTTGGGTTAATTTTGTGAAATTTAAAAATTCTCTTTGTTTTTGTACGTTAATTTGTGATTTCTGTTTAATTTTTTTTTATCAAACTAGTTAAGAGGAAATATATGATTCCATTAATACATAGTCACTAAACTAAAAAATATCACTTAATTTTTACATATATACTAGTATTTTTTATGTTAATATTAGAGTTTTTTTTTTCTCTTTAATTTTTTTCTCTAGATAGAACACTTTTTTTTTTCTAAATATGCTACACCCTTTAAAAAATATAATGGATTAATACTCTAATGCAAAATGTTTGAATTTATATAATATTTATTGCTTCTAACTTTTAAAAAAAATAATTATACTGCTTTCATAGCTCTTAAAGATAATTGTTTGAGATTTTAAAATCTTTTTCTTTATTTTATTTTTTTTGTCTACGTACTTTTTATGTCTAGATCATACAAAAAATTATATATAAAAACAATATTTTTATATTGATTATCATTATCATCACTCTCCATAATTGAAATATTTTACCTATTCAAACTCCTTTTTTTAACTATTTTTTAATTAAATAATATTAAACATATGTACCAATATTAGACGTTGTATTTAGTATTGAAGAAGATCGATGGATGCATGAATTGCAATTACTTGTCAAGAAGAAACAATAATGATATGACACCATAAGTTATGTCCTATGTTAGAAGATCATTGTATAATGTAATATATTGTTTTAATTTAAATTACTAAGTTTATCCTTTTTGTGAGCATGGTAAATATACGATATAGAATAATTTTTGGTAGATTGACAACTAGAAGTAACTATATAATATTATTTATTTAAATGTGTGAGAGTCCCGAAATGTTTCTAAGAGGAATATAATATTTTGTGATTACGAAGACATCAGATATATTTCTAGTATTCAATAAATTAAAAAGAAAATATAAAAAACAAAATGTAAAACTTAAAACATGTATGAATTTTTCTTGTGAAAATAATAGTTTAAAAAAAATTATTTAGAACAATTCATACACCTTATTCAATCCATTTAACTAAAACCTTTTTATATATAATAATAATAATAAGTAAGTTACAAATAAAAATATCGTATATAATATAATTATAATGAAAGAGAAGAATGTCATTCACCATATTACAAATAAAGTATGAGTACGTATTGAAATATTGCATGAAAAAAAATATAAAACTTAGTTCCCATTTTTTTCTCTTTTAATCTTCTTCAATAACTATACTATAGTTAAGTAGTTAATTAACAATGAATAATACAATTAGTTTATTTGATAAAATTAGTTAATATAATTATCAAGATTAAATAAGTTTTTAATCATTAAAAAGGTAAGTCAATATTATTATTATTGTCCATCAATTTAATAAATTCATTTTAATAGCATGGTAATGTTTAAGTTAAATACTTACATACTTTGATATTTGATCTCATAGTCTCATAATCTAGTATTAATTATTGTTAGACAAAAAAACATAAGAAGAGGGTTATATTATATTTTTGGTTAATTTAAAAAACAAAATCAAAAGTGTTTACCGATCAAATTGTCTGGCTTTTGGTTATTTAAAGAAAAGATAAATTTAAGGTTTCACTTAAAGTTTAATATAGTTTCACAAAATCAATTTTATGTGAATAACTTATACATGATTTTAGGTTAGTCTCAGTCTGAGATTACATTCAATTCTTGACAACATTTCAAGTTCTACTGGACAACACTAAAAATAAGATTATTTTATATATAAGCTTCTCCACATTTTACAAGTACAATTAGTCTTCGGTAAACTTCTCCAAACTTTATAATTAGACTATTTTTTATTCTTCTCTAAGTTTTACATTAAAACTAATTATAGGGATTAATATTCATAACACTTAATTTATTTATTACTTAGTGTCTGCTTCACATACGACAGATACAAAGAATAAACCCTATAAACGAAGATATATCTATGTAACTAAGTTTAGAGTTAGACTATTTTAAAATAGTTAAAATATATGGAAACTTGTTTATAATAGGGTTTATAATAGCATTTGAATATACATAATCTTTATTTTCTCTTTTTCTTCTTATTTCTTATTTATTATGTGTAACTCTTGAAGAAAATACTTAGTTATTGTAGTGACTCGTTGTTGTCTTTTTTTATAATTATGAAGTAGTATTTTTTTCTCTTCTTTTGTGTCTTTAACTTTCATTTGTTTTTCATTTGACAATACATAAATGTAAAATAAATGTGTTAAAAGAATTTTTTCAATCCATTAATAAATATTTTGTTAGACAAATTATATCTAGAGGGGGTCAATAAATGTACAAATTAAAATAGATGTCAAATTAAAAATTTATTTGTGAGTTAATAATTTGTTTGAACACAGATAAAGCGAAAATGATAATATAATCAAGAAAAGAGAAATAGATAAGGGAAAGAGAGGAGCACACAATAATTTATACTGGTTCAAGTATAGTCAACCCTACATCCAGTTCCCATTCAACTCTTAAATATAAGAGTGACTCCCAATTCACTATCTTTCAAATTCAGTTTACAAATTACAATCAACTCAACAGAAGAACTAGTAAAAAGTAAACTTATTAAAAAAACAATCACCTCCTTAGAAACCCACTAAGGATGAACACCTCCTCTGAACAAATCAAAGGATGAAAAACACTTCTTTAGAATCTCACTAAGGATGAACACCTCCCTAGAATCACACTAGGGATGAACACCTCCCTGAACAAATCAAAGAGATGAAAACAACTCCTAAACCCACAAAGGATGAAGGAGTAAGATAAGAACATTCATACATGGGTAATGGAGACAACAAATTGTAAAAACCTGTAAAATGTTAATCTCCAAGAACAAGTGTGATTAATAATGAAAGCACAGAAGACAGTAGAAAAGATGATTTTCTCAGAAGGTGTAAAATATCTTTATTGTCTTATTCAAAATTCTTTTCTTAAAACTGATTGAATGTAAATTGTATTTTCGAATTTTGTAATTGTGTGTTTTTGATTTTTCATCAAAACGTAATTAAATAGAAAAATAGCATCAGAAAATGGTCGTTGGACATTAATATTTTCGTGAATAAAAATCAGGATATATTAAAAAATATTTATTCTTCAAAACAGATATATTTTTCAAATTTAAATTGTCATAATTGATTATGTTACCAGTATAATAAATTATGACAGAAAAAATCATTTTTCCATTTCTGATGCATCATAATTGATTATGACAGGGAAAAATATCATGTTATGTATTTTATCACACTTGTGCTTTGGAAGCTTATGCATAATATTATTTCATCAACTTATATCTCCATATCCAGTATTCTAAGACTTTATCTAGTCTTCAGGAATCATCTTATGTTGAATAAAATATTTATCAAAATCATATCTTGGGCTTGCTTGAGTCTTGAATGTTATTGACTTTAATCTTGTTGACTTGAATCATCATCAAAATCATCTTTTGGGAATGTAGGGACATGTTTTACATTGTCACTAATCTCCCCACCTATTGCTTTCATATTTAATGTAAATCCTTTTTGTTTGACAATATGCTTATCAATTTGGAACAAAACATATTTTGTTTTCTTGTACGAGGATATTAGTTCATTTTAACATACTACTGTAGAAATACCATTTTACGTCACCTAATTCTCGTTGGATAAAAAAATAACCGACTTAAAAAAAAAATGCGGTGGTAATTTTATAAATATTGGGTGGGATTTTTACGTCGAATCCAAAAACCTCTTTTATATTACCCATTTATGGATTTGACGTTAAAAATTGGACCAGTTTTTATGTCGGACCTAGGTCCGACGGAAAAGTCGCATTTTATTCTATTTCTGCACCACTCCTCGTATCGCGCAGCAAAGGTTTTTTAGAATGAAAATGACAACGACGATGACCAGTTCTTCTCAAGATACATTTCGACCACAACGAGTGACGAAAATACTTTTATTGTGTCCCATTTGTGATGGTTGACATTTCTCTCCGATTGAATTCGAGTTTTACAACAGTTTTGTGTCTTGTTTCCTCTTTTATGTTGAAATTAAATGTTTCCACGTAATTATTATTGATATTGAACTGTTGTAGTTAGTGTTCTATGCATTTAAATCATACTTTTTGGTTGTTGTAATTTGTATATTGGTGTTTTAGATTATTGTTGTTGTTTTGTGTATTAGGGTTTTATGATGAGAAGAAAACAAAAAATATTCGAAATAAGATAACTTTTGACTCAGATGTTTGATTTAGACGCACAACATATCAAAACGAAGAGAAAAAGACGAATAAGAGGAGACAAATCCTAAAAGGGATTTGTCCTAACAATTTTTTCCAAAATATGCTCCTAAACACATATAATACACAAAAGTTTATGCAAGTATAACCAAATGTAATTGTTTTCAATATTTGTTAAATTCATTTACCTTTGTATGTATTGCATGTTAATTGAAGCCAAATTAATATTTCAGATATTTTAAAATTCATCCATCTCCACTATCAGGACATGATATTACAAAATAATAAGGTTTTTCATTCAATATTTCTAGTTTGTATTGTATTATGTACTTTAACATTTCAAGTCTTCAAAAAAATTTGAACCTCTGAACTGTCTGACTATAATTAATATATGTTTGCAGGTTTTTGTTGTAAAACAAAATAAACCCAATAATAAAAAAAATGACGAAATTTACATCGGAATATGCATGTTCGACGTAAATTTATGTCAGACATACACATGTCCGACGTAAATTTTTCGTCCAATTTTAATTTTTTTTTGAAGTATTTTACGTTTGTTTCGTCATATATATAACATAAATTAATGTAAGATCTCGATATTTAATGTAAAGTTACGTCGGTTAAAATATTTGATGTAAATTAATCTCGATTTTATATGAGACGTAAAAAATTTAACTTAAAATGACCATTCTACACTAATAATATGAAATATATGATATTCACAAACAAACTTTTTATCTTTCTCGCATCAATCACATGTTTCACAAACAAACTTTTGAGACACATCTTTCTTTGTTTTAACTTGATAGATATTTTTTTGCCTTTTTGAGCTTTCGGTGCAATCACCATTATAAATACTCTTATCTTTTGTTAAAAAAAAGTACATTTATATATTATAAAAAGATAATTGTGAATATAAATAATACCATAAAATCAAACTGGTAATAATTATATACTATAATAAATTTAATTCTTAAATAATATTAATATAATTATTTTAATTAATATAGTTATATTTTGATTTATATTTTAAAATAAACTATAAACTAATCTGAACTTATATTAGATTAGGAAGTTAACTGACTAATTTTAATTTGATTAAAAAAGTATTAAGATGTTTTATACTAAAACAATTAATTGAAAAAATATTTAAGTAAAAATTAAAAATATATTTTTAAAATTTAATTTATATTAATGAAGTTAATTTTTATTTAAAATATAATAATTTAATATATGAATGATAAAAAATAAATTAATTCAATTTTAAAATAAGAATTAAAAATTTATTTTCCGTTTTATTTTTTATTAATTTATTGATAATAATTAAACTTAAATATTAAATTAACGAGTGATTATTAAATATTTACTTTTACTAAAATAATTCTGATTCAATTTAGATTATAATTTTTTTTACTTATCTTAATCTATTTCTCATTCCTTTTACTCAATCTAGTGAGTTAATTTTATTTTAATAGCATGATATATATGTGTTTTTACTTTAATAAAATTTCACTATTATTTGTTTTTCATCTTTCAAAATAATTTCATCTTAAAAAAAAATACTTTAATCGATTTATTGAAATAAAAAAATCATAAAGAGACACCTCTCAGAAGTTATTTAATTTTCCTCTTTGATAATTTTTCTCTCCTAATTCCCTTCAAACAACCAAAAAAAATCAAGTACATTTAAATTTTTATTCAATGTCTTTTTATATATAAAACATTAAAATGATAATATGTTAGATATGACATTTCTTCAAATTTTTATAATAGGTTGAGAAAATTAGGAAACAATTCCTAAAGAACTTATTCATCTATAAGATATTTAAATGTCTTTCAAAATATTCTAATTGGAACTACAATAAAACACATCTATAGTAGTGCAGCAGGGTTCCATCAGGACAATTACTTCAACATACTTATTCAATTCTTTAAATATATTTTTCATTTTATTTCCCATGAAATTTTTTATATAATTTCTATTATCATTAAATAATACATGACATTTGTTTTGATGTAGAGATGAAAATAGGTTAGACATTCTGTAAAAACTTGTGGTCCAATTTATCTGAATATATTTGATTTGCCTCAACCTTTTTAATAAAATTATCATAGTTATATTAACTTTATTTGAATTAACTTAATCATTATAATTTTTATTGAATAATTAAATATCTTAAGATTAAATTATTATTTTTAAAATAATCATATAATGTCTAATAATGAATAACATGATGGTTCAATAAAAAATGATTATTTTTTCTCATATATATATATATATATATATATATATGTTATATTACTTTTTTTTATTTGGTGACAAAATGTTATGCATTTTTTAACTTTATTATTTTTTAATGTATTATTTGATACAATGTTATTATTTTTTAATATTAATCTCTTTAGAGTTTATGTTCTAATTAAATTTGTTAAACTTTATTTGTAAGTCTTTTTAGGTCATGTCTAGAATAGGGACTATGATTTAGGGAGGGTATCTAAACCCCTTATTTCACGTCCTTTCAACCCTAGTTAGCAAGGAGCCATGACACAGTTCATTGTTAGTTCCTCCAACTTAGTTAAAAATGTGACACATAGATGCTTACTGCACTTGCATCGTAATCATCGAACCTGCACTTGTAAAATGTGAACCAAACCAAAGTGTTTGAATTCTCCTTTGTATTCTCCATCCACCTACATTGCTCTTTTTCACCCTTTTCGTGTCTTCTCATATCCCTCCTCACACGCATACCCTCTTCGGTCTCAACGCCCTTGCCTTATATTCTCACCATTTTTTCGCAGATCACGCACCTCTTTGGGAATAGACAAAGGAAAGTCTGGTTTTTGATTCGTGGGGTGGTTTCAAAATGGCCTCTTTCTCAGTCCCATGCCCCAAGTGCCCTTCTACTTCTTCTCCCTCTTTGGGGTTGAAATCCCAACAGGTTCCATTTCAAAATGGGTTGAGCTTCAAGCCTCATCTATCATTCAGATCTTTGTCTGCTGAATCTGCTTCATCTAGGATTCAGGTATGAACTTGGTTATATACAGAGCGAGAGAGATAGATAGATAGATAGATAGAATTCTTTTGTCTGTAGATTTCTGTTTGTTGTGATTGAATTTTTGAGCACTTAAAGTTTGAAGGATGGCACATTATGTAATCCAAAAAAAAGCATAGTGTTTATTCTCTTCGTTACTTTAGTAATGCTAATGTTTTGTTTGATAGACTTATTTTAGTTATAAATGAAGAAAGGATATCAGTGATTTAAGGATGACACATTATGTAATCCACACAAAAGAAGTTTTTCTTATCTGATTGCGTTAATGTTTTGTTCAATTGATTTTAGTTGTAAATGAAGAAATGATACCTTTATCAATGATTTAAGGATGTCACATTATGTAATCCACCAAAAAAGAAATAAAAAATTCTTAGACACAATTTTGTTGTAGGCGATCAATGTTTTGTGAACATTATTTGCTGTAATATACAATTTTTTTTATCTTAAAGCATGGTAAATATTAATAGTTTATGATGCCTATTAATGTTTTATTATTCTCACAATACTCCTTTCATGTTTATTTTCCTACTTGGGGACTACAACTGAAGTTTTTCGGCATCTTACCACTTGTAGAAACATTTTCACTGTTATTGATGGCTCTGAAGCTAAACTGCATCTAAAATCCATTCAAATTGTTGAGCTTGTTGTGTTAGCCGATTTGCCGTTAGTTTTCAATGTGTTTAAAACTGGAGAAATTATAACTTGTCAATTGAAACACTTTCAGTTTGTAGATGGTGGATGATTCACCAAATAAATAAAATTTGTGTCGAAAGCATCACAAATATTCCCCTTTTCCTGATTAATTAATTATTCTATTGTTATTTGTTGTCTCTTGCAGTGTCCTAGCAGGAAGCAATTTTCTGTTCTGAAGGTCAGTTTACACCGAGTCTTTTTTTTTTTTTTTAGTTCCCATTGAGTTTTATTCTGAATTAAATTTTATCCTCCCATTGATTAGATTCATAAAATTTTGCCCTAAGCTACCCTGCTTTGTATATTGTAGGCTGCTAAAGTTGAAAATGCTAATTCTAATTCTGCTCCTGTAACGGTCGATGGACCTAATGTTGCTTCATCAAAAGAAAAAGAAGTGCTTAATGGAAAACTCTCTAGTGGCACTATTGCAGATGAAACTTCAGCTACTGCATTCATGTCTCAAGTTTCAGACCTTATAAAGTAAGATTTAGCAGCTTCACTTTGCATGCAATCACTTGCTCTTATGTAATTATCATGTCTATTGTTTGGGTATGCCTTGTTCCATAGATTTCAGTTAATACTATTTCCATGGCTAGGCTTGTTGATTCAAGAGATATTGTGGAACTTCAACTTAAGCAATCAGACTGTGAGCTCACGATAAGAAAAAAAGAAGCACTGCAGCCTCCACCAGTAGTCGTCCCAGCATCACCACCACCAATGCACTATGCCACATTTCCACCACCGCCAGCGCCAGCAGCTGCTCCTACTAGCTCTTCACCTCCAAAACAAGTACCTGCTTTGCCTTCCCCTGGAAAAGCAAGCTCATCTTCTCACCCATCGCTGAAAAGTCCGATGGCGGGAACTTTCTACAGGAGTCCAGCACCCGGTGAACCTGCATTTGTCAAGGTTTGAAGACATACATGGTTTAAATACCACTCTTTTTTCTGTTGAGGTGTCAATTTGCAAAGGATAATTTATGAAACTATTTATTGCCATGTTTATGATGTTAATCAATAAAGAGACTAATTATTTTGCTGTTGCTTCAGGTGGGTGATAAAGTGACGAAAGGCCAGGTTATTTGTATTATTGAGGCTATGAAACTGATGAATGAAATAGAGGTATGTGTATCTCTTTTCCTATATTTTCTAGTATATTTTTACATATTTTTTCTCTTTTTAGTATGTCGTTTACTTTATGTTTTCGCTTATACTTGGGATATTCATATTTGTCCAATTCTATAGATTATCCTCCCATGTATAGTACTATACAGAAATCTCTGATACAAAAATTTGGAAGTTAACAAATCTGTAAGCACAGACTTGGTAGAGCTGCTCAAATCTGCTTCTGTATGGCCACCTGTTTCAGTTGCATTAACAGTTAACACACTAATCATTTGAAAAATCCAATTATCCTACTCTATGGTTGAAATAAAAGCGAACTAAAACTATGAAAAAAGAATGGGAAACATGCATTTCTTGTTTTTTAGGTTTGCTGATTTTTATTTTAACCGTCTTAGGATTTATTAAACAAGAAACGGGAGAGAATTCAAAACCCTTTTTATATATATATATATATGAAAAAAAATTCTTTTAAAACCTTTAAAATCCTAATGCATTACACTAGGAGTGGTGTGAAGGATTAGGATATAAGTAAACTATGTGGTGGTGGAGAACATGGGAAAGCAAATTGGGGGGTAGTTGGTTTTAGTGGATGAGTAAAATGAAAAGGAGAGTCATTAAAAGTATTTTATTAGGAGTATCTTCTGGACATGGAGGAAAAACAGGACCCTCTTGAGAGCCTATTGGACTCACATTTTGCCACTGTAATATAATGATTCTCTTTCAAAACCAGTTTCTATTAACCAAAAACCAAATCCTTTCTAATTTCTTGGTGGCAGGCTGATCAGTCCGGAACAATAGCTGAGATATTGATTGATGATGGGAAACCAGTCAGTTTAGACACGGTATCCTCTCTCTCTCCCTTTTTTTGTGTGTGTATGTGATGTTTGTCTCGAAACTTCATGCTTCATTGGTTAACTGATATACGTTGTTTTCCATGCAGCCTCTTTTTGTAATTGTTCCTTGAGTACCACCAGAAGGAACCTTGCTTCGAAGATGAAGTGAAATGTCGCCTGTTTGATATCATGGTATTGGATGCCTGAGACTTTCTGTTCTGAAATTTCATTAGTGATATTGTTTCTCATTTGAGAAATCTTTACCTTCTCTACCCCCCACCCCTGATCTTAATTTGTTGAGATATTTTGGACATAAAAGAACATATCAGAATGAATATTAGACATTTAGTCCTATGCAGTTTTGACATTGTCTTTATATATATTTTCTTTTTTCTGTTTTCTGATGGGACCCTCTTTCTTATTGTATAACCCTGTTGGCTGGATTTTGGGTTGTTAAAGTAATTTGTTATGCATCTTTCTTGCCCACAGATGATTTATATTCAAAACAAGTTTGATTCGTCTTCCACATTTTTTCTACCCATAAAAAGATATCGACTTTAGTATTATTGGTAGGGTATTATCAGTGATGACATGTTTAATCCCAACTTGCAAGAAAGTGAAGATCTTAAAATGGTATTACAAAAGGATGATTGATGATATATCCGTCACCTTTTGGTTCTCAAAAACCATGTGCAACTTTTACAACTGAGTTATGAAACAGATTGTAAACATTGCAAAAAAAAAAAAAAGTTTTTATGTTCTTAGAAAGACGTGATTTTTTTTAATGTTTCAAAAATGTAAATCCAAATGTCTCAAAATGCACTCTTAGGATGTACTTTTTATATTCTGAAATATTTATTATTTATCCAGAAACATATTTTTTGTGGCGTGAAAAACTATTTTATAAATACATTTGCGGAAATTATAATACATTATACTCCAAACCCTAAAATGGTTATTTTGGAATGTGAAAATTTATTCTATTTCAGAACGATATTCAAGATATAACAAATTCATTATGGAATTAACATTCGTAATTTAAATATATATATATATATATATATATATATATATATATATATATATCTACATTTTTTAAGCAAGAATGAAATATAGAATAACTTCATACCCACGGGGAACAAATTCTCCAGGGTGGTCTTTCAATTTGGTTAATCAGAAATTTTTTTAATCTGATTTTGGCAAAGTTGTATTCAGTAATACGACATGTTCTATTAATTTTCTTAATGCTACCTCTGTTTCAAATCATTGATGTTCTATTTTTTTTATTTATTTCAACCTTATTTATGTTTTATAAATTTTATAAATTTCACATTAATTTTTTTACACTCTTATTATCTAATAACTAAATTTGATTATTACCAAAAGTATAACAATTGCAACTTACATAAGAAAACACTTAGAAAAATAAAAATAAAAATCCAAGGCACTTTATTTCCTATGTTATATATAAGAATAGTTCAGACTAAATACATTAATAATGTTTACACTTTTAATTGCCCCTTAACACTAGATTTGGAATAGATACAATATTTTAAAAAAATATTAAATAAACATATAAATACATTTAATATTTTAAAAACATAAAAAATATTCAATACTTACCATTCAAAACAAGTAGAAAGTTCAAACAGAGAGTTGGAATCATTCATTTGTAAAATAAATTTTGCTACGTATAATTTGGAATTTTCTTCATGTTGGTTTCAAAATAAAGGATATGTTATAAAAAATATAATAGGACTTTTTAATAATATTTTTTTTTATCTATATGACTCGACTCTGAAATTTATGTAAGAAAAAATAATTTAGTACCATTCTATATACAACTTGTTTATTATATTTTTATTATCATGATCATATTTTAGAAAATTTGTGTTTACGTAAATAATTTAACTCTTATTTGATGAGTTTGTATTCACTCCAACAATTTCAACATCTTCAAAAATAAGATAAATGTTTAATTATTTTCCTTCTATTATTACAACCCCATCATATAATTTGATATCGTAGTTACATAAAATACTATCCTAATTTGGTTAATAAATAAATATATTAAATGATTATAAATAAATCATATAAATTATTTGAATTAATCCCTACTTACATTTTCTAATTAAAACTGAATTATAATAAAATTTGTAAGTTTTGAAATGAAAAAAATAGGTTAATAGAAGTTTTTATTTTTTGTTCAATCTCCATTATACAAGAAAAGATATATAATTTTCATGTAGATGTGATATGAAATTTTTAATTATGATAAAAAAAGAAAAGGAAATAACTCCACCTTGCAACCAAATGCTTTACTTGATAGGTTTATAAAGTCTCTTATTCCTCCATTTCATCCACATTGATGCAAGGAAAGATACCTAATTTGGTGAAGATGTGTTCATCAAATGCTCAAAAAGTTTTAGTTCAAAAATCTCACTCTATGATGTTACCATACAAACCCCACTTTTTTTTTTTTTTTTTTATGATAGACTTGTTAAAGCTTCTCTCTTCCATTTTACCTTTCTTCAAGCAACAATATTTGGTATAATTGCACCACCCCTTTGTCAACCTTTCCTAGCTCTAGTATTATTTATGACATCTAAAGAATTTCAGGTAAAAAATAGTAATCTAGAACCAAAGATAACTTTTTTAAAATATGAAAATTTATTTAACAAATACTTTTGCATATACTTAAATGATTAAATAAAATTATTTTTAACCATATAACTAAGATCATTTTCAAGGATTTCATACATTACACCACATTTTGTCACTACACAAACACAAGAGAGATTAACTAAAATTAACCACCACTTGCTCTCAATGCTATCCACATAATCCTTAAACACCTGTCCATAAACATAGGAGATACCTAAAATAAACTGCAAAAAAACAATGTTCTACTTCCTAATCTCAAGGTCAAACACTCACCCCACATTTCTCTCTCCTCATTCTCTCTCTCTCCCTCTCTCACACACGCAGACACACTCTCTCTAACCCCAACACGGTTTTGATAACAAAGGTTTTCATATTTTTCTTACCTTTGTTTTTATTTTTTTCATAATTTTCCGGAAATAGAAAACATATTTTCTCTCTCTGTTTCTTGCGTCCTTCTCTCTCACACACCATTGTTCTTGATCCATGGAAGAAGAACATCACAACCCAGAAGAAAGTTGATTCCTTTGGTGGAGAATCGGATACCCAATTGGCTGGAGCCTCCAATGCGGGCTTGGGGGAGACCCGAGAACGATCGTGGTGGATCTGATGATGGTGGGTTTAGCAGGGACATGGGTGATGAAGATGGTTTCAGGTGGTTGTAGGGTTGTTGTGGGGGGAAACGCTCGGTGGCGGTGCGGCAGCATAGACAACGATGCAGCTTCACTTCTCGCGTAGCATGAGAAGCATCACGATATCGAGCAACAATGGAACTATTGACTTGATGAAGATCAAGGTCGCAGCTTGCCACATTTCCTATCGAACCCTCTTCCACACCATTCTCATCCTCGCTTTCTTGTTGCCCTTTGTCTTCATTCTCACTGCTCTCGTTACCCTTGAAGGTGTCAACAAGTGCTCCTCATTTGGTACTCTTTTATTTTCTTCTTTCCATTGTTGATTTTATTGCCCCCTTTCATTGTTTTTTATTTGGGTACATTCTGTATAAGTTTTGCATCTGTCTTTAGTCCAACTAATGTTGCGTGATCCATGTTGTGTGCACATGTAACCAATCTCAATCTGTGGGATATATTATGGTCTTTCATCATTCTCCTGGTTACATTGTGTATACATATGTATTTGTTTTTCAGTCTAACTAAATGACTTCGTGTGGTCCATATAGCCAATATCACCATGTAGGATATCTTATGAAATTTTATTTATTCACTTGGTTACATTGTGTATGCATTTGTATTTTGGTCTTTGGTCGAACTAAATGATGTGATGTGATCTGTGTAGCTGACCTTACCTGATTGAATATTGTTAAGGATTTTGTTGTTGTTGTTGTTGTGTAGATATGGTTGGATTTTGGATAAGTTGGATTGACATGCGCTTTTTGTTTATTTGTTGTTCTAAGCTGGATCTTGATTTGGATATCGGGGTAAAAACTATGTTCATGTGTTCGCTTAGGGGGGGCAGGAAATGTTTTATTGCTATCATAGATTGTTTACCTTATGGTTGTCTTGTCAATTTTCCTTTTTCTAGCTGAGCTAGCATTTGCCTTCATTTCAGGATCTCAAGTGTAACTGGCCACTTTAAGTGTCTCATGATCATTTGGGGCATAGCTTTAATGCACTTAAACTTTGGATTAGTATTGATGATGACAACGGATGTTGATTTTTCCTGACATGCATTGCTGAATTTTGTACTTTGCTTCTTTCAAATGATTACGTGCTTTGTGTATTAGGACTGAAAACTGTTGTGTTATTGTAAATTAATTAAATCTCGATGGTATTTGTGTTTTTTGAGCTTCCTTTCTTTATAATGCTGGTGTTCTATTTTATCAATTGTTGATCAAAGTTTTGATGGATCTTTTTCCATCATTTTTGAAATATCTTCTCGTGTCTTTATATCTTTCTTATCATACACATATTAGGTTCTGAAAGTTCATTGTTTTGTCGCAACATTTTGTCTTCTGATCCTTGATTGGTTCCTTGCTTTCTATTCTCCAGATTGTTTAGGTAGGCGGTTGGGACCAAGGTTTCTTGGTAGGGTTGATGATTCAGCGGTAAATAATTTTATTACTTCAAATAGATTCTTTGTTAAGTTATCACATCTACTAATGTTTTGGTTAAATAACTATTATCTGAATTCTGAACTCATCTTGTAATGATTGTAATGGTGCAGCAGAGACTAGTTAGAGATTTTTACAAGATCCTTAAAGAAGTAAACACTGGGCAAATTCCACCTGCTCTAGACCTGCCAGATTCTTTTGAGCAACTGGTTTCTGATATGAAGAACAGTCAATATGATGCGAAAACGTTTGCATTCATGTTAAGGGGAATGGTAAGTTGCTTGTTATGCTTGCATTGAGTATCATGTATTATTTTATTAATTGGTATTAAATGGAGAAAGAGCTGTCTAAAGTTGAATTCTACCGATGCTTTCAAATTTTTGTCATAATACATGACTTATATTGAAAACACATATTTTAGACATTACTGATATTTGAATATCAGGTTAGGATAATTGATGTCCTATATATGAATTGTGGCTATTTGTTTTCTCACAACACATTGTCTGCTGATACAATGCTTCAGCTTCTAACATCTCTATATTTTCTTCTTTTGTGTATATTTATTTTAACCTGCAAGCTGATGACGAAGTCTAGTTTTGGGATGTAGCTCCCCTAGGATGAGATGAGGGGGATAAACTTTAGAAAATAAAGTGCAGTTATAACCGGTGATTAGAAATCAGTGGTTAAGATTTTCTAGTTTATGATTATAACTCTTTTTTCTCCTAAGCATAGACCTCACTTTAGGGAGCTAAATCTCGACCTGTGTGCTGTGTTTTAGTAGCATCTATACCAACTGTCGTACATCATATTCATATGCGGTTTTGCTTGTATGGTTATTACAATGTTTAGGGTTTGCAACTAAAATTATATGACATAAAAAAAAGTTTCGCCACAAGTTCATTTTATGCGAACTGAATTTAGGATTTTAAAGGAATTTTTTGAAATTATTTTGTCCCTGTACTTGGTCATGTGTCCTATTTGCATGTTACCTAAAAGATTTAGTCTGTGCTTCTTACTACCTACTTTATGCTATGTCATGGTGAAAGTCAATCAGGAACACTCCAAAATTATGTAGATTGGTTTAACCGATATGTATTTTGGTCATCATCTACCATGAAATTCAATTTATAGTTTAATTCCTTTATACAAAGTATCATGAGTGATTGACCTTACTTTCAGTAAAGAAATCTTTTACTTCTTTGAACAAAAAGGGTAATGAATGTTATGAAGTCAACAGATGATAATCACATATTAGCAGCAGTTAGAAATGCGATGTTCTTTCCTCAAACTACTCATTTTGGTTATCTTTGACACTTCTTTTAGTCTTTATCTGTTTAATTCTTTTTGACATTTATATACCTGACATCTTGTGATTCTGATTAAGATTTCTCTTGAAATCACTTTACAATATTTTTTTATTTGGTTTGTTTATAACAAGTGTTCTTTCTCTTTTCCTTTTCTTGGATTATAAAGTTCTTAGGTTTATGTTTTTATTCTCTTTTTCCTTTCTTTGTTTAAAATTTAAACATTATTTTCGTTTCAATTATCTAGAGCTGTTGAAGATTTAATGTCTATTTATCTGCAGTTGATAATATATAGTGAGTAGTATATTGCATCATTATTGTTTCCATCTTCATTTGGTTTATAACTCTAATTATTCATGAATGATAGCTGTTTTTATGCTAGGATTTTGAGAAATTAGTGTATATGTGCAATACTGTTGTGAATAGCTTAGCATATACATGTTCTTATCATAAGCTTATTATTATTATTATTATTATTATTCCATAGACTTACATGTATTGTGATTGATATTTCAGTTCATGTGTTAATAGTGGTGCTAGATTATGATTATATTGATCTTGGCCACACTGCATCGTATTTTTGAACAGATGGAGAAATTTGAGAGAGAAATCAGAGAATCTAAATTTGCAGAGCTGATGAATAAACACTTTGCAGCAAGTTCAGTCCCTAAAGGGATTCATTGTCTGACTTTGCGTTTGACTGATGAATATTCTTCGAATGCTCATGCACGCAAACAACTGCCTCCTCCAGAGTTACTACCTACACTATCTGACAACTCTTACCACCATATTATTGTTTCAACTGATAACATCTTGGCTGCTTCTGTAGTTGTTAGTTCTACTGTGCAGTCATCTCAGAAACCTGAGAAGATTGTCTTCCATGTCATCACCGACAAAAAAACTTATGCTGGTATGCACTCATGGTTTGCATTAAATCCTGCCACTCCTGCCATAGTTGAAGTCAGAGGCATTCACCAGTTTGATTGGTTGACGAGAGAAAATGTTCCAGTACTTGAAGCTGTAGAAAATCAAAATGGGATAAGGAATTACTACCACGGGAATCATTTTGCCAGAACCAATCTCAATGATACTGAACTACGTAAATTTGCCTCAAAATTGCAGGCCAGAAGTCCAAAGTATATATCTCTACTCAACCATCTCCGCATTTACTTGCCTGAGGTAAGTTGGATTCGACTATTATAAATTTTCTGCCTTTGTCCGGCTGGCTATTCTCTCTCTCGCTCTCTCTATGATTATTGTTGAAATTGATTCTTTTCAAATCATAATTCAGAAAGAACTGGGAACAATTCATTATATTGAATCTTATATTGTATTTGATTTTTATTTTTGATTGTGTAGAGCGAGTGAATAGAACTGAAAATGATTGATTGACCGAATACCTTAGAACATGGCTTTTATACTACCTCATTCCAAGCTGAGTATTTATCTGTAAATTCAGCATTTTAAGCTCATAAAAGCTTCTTAGCTGAATTTGTAGAGGAAAAAGTGGCTTGTCAGTACCAAATATCTCTGAATTCTGATGAACTACAATAATTACAGAAAACGTAAAACTAAGTGTTAAAACATGAAGAATTACATTGAACTATTTCAAGTAAAATGCCTGGCCCAAAGTGTTTTACAAGTGGGGCTAATTTATTAAAGGAATATAATCCATGAAATGAATGGAAATTGCTCCCCCTTCCCCACAGTTGTAGGGTTGTTCCTTTTAATAGATAATTGTAGGGTTGCTCTCTTATTTATGCTGATTGTGTGTTCCTTGTGTGTTGAACAGCTTTTTCCAAACCTTGACAAGGTGGTTTTTTTGGATGACGATGTTGTGGTTCAACGTGACATTTCCACGCTTTGGGAAATTGATCTGAATGGAAAAGTTAATGGAGCTGTGGAAACTTGCAGAGGCGATGACGACTGGGTAATGTCTAAGCATTTTAGGAACTACTTCAATTTTTCCCATCCCCTCATTGCACAACATTTGGACCCTGATCAGTGTGCTTGGGCTTATGGGATGAATGTATTTGATCTAAGTGCATGGAGATTAACAAACATTAGAGACAAATATCATACCTGGTTGAAAGAGGTAAAGCCCATATAAGCTCAAACTAATACAATCCATTTGTTCATTATTTTTCTTTTCTTGTCACTAATATTCAACTATTTAAAGTTCTAGCAAATTCTGAATTTTAAATTAAGCCTGTGGTACTGGTAAGGTTCATGCGGATTCATACATACATATATACATTATTATTATTATATATATATATATATACACACACACACACACATATATACACATTATTTTTAGTATAAACCATCAGTTTCGTCCTCAAAATATTACCCTCTCTCTTAAGTGATCCCTAAAGTTATAAAATTATTGAAATTTTCCCTGAAATATTAAGTATTCATCATTTTAATACTTTAGTTGATGTATAGTAAAGTTTAGGGACCAATTTGAACGGTTTCTAGTATTTGAGGGAATACTTAGCACAATTTCTAACACTTTGAGAACTGGCTTGGTAGTGTTTTTTTTATTTGGATCACTTAGGAAAGAGGGTAATACTTCAAAAATGAAATGGCTTTTTATATATACTTATGTATATGTGTGTATTCAATGGTGTCTGTATATATGTATGTGTATGTATGCATGCATGTATGTATTTATTAGTGGTAGTATGAGAACACATGTGACCTTTGGTTTCTGATTTTCTATTTTGAATGACAGAATCTGAGATCAAACCTGACGATGTGGAAGCTTGGAACCCTTCCCCCTGCTTTGATTGCATTTGAAGGTCATGTTCACCCTATTGACCCATCTTGGCACATGCTTGGCTTGGGTTATCAGAACAAAACCAACATTGAGAGTGCGAAGAAGGCTGCTGTTATTCATTACAACGGCCAGTCAAAACCTTGGTTGCAAATTGGCTTTGAACATCTTAGGCCATTTTGGACCAAGTATGTCAATTATTCAAATGATTTTGTTAGAAACTGTCACATCTTGGATTCATAGTCTGCCATGAGATGCACTATGGTTTGAAACAACAGTGCATGCATACTACAAAAGGGACGAGTAAATACAGGTTTCATAAAAAATTTTGCGGCTTGAGGCTTTCTTCAAGATGAATTTTGATAAGGCAATAGAAAATTGGTTGAGAGGGCAAAGTGATCAGGACATGGTGGGTGGATTTGCTTCCACCCTGTACATTTTTCACACACAGTTGCCATCCTGGCTTGGCCTTGAGAATCAACCGTCTTGTTACATACAGACATGTCCTATATATTTGGTTGGTCAAACGATACTATATCAGAAATTCCTTAGTGAAAGTTGGAGAATAAACTGAATGCTGAACATAAAAAAGGGTCATGGTCATGCGCCTGTGTCATCAAACTAGTTCATTGTTTAGAACACAAGTTCTAGGACAGTTAATTTGTGAGGTTCCCCCACTAGTGCAGTGTTCTCCCCCATCATTTTTTAGTTTGTTAATTTTTGTTAGCACCAATTTTTACATTCACCCTATTGGATTTGACATCATGATGGTGAATTGTAGGAGCAGTAGTTCTTGAGATTGCTTTGTTAAGGTCCATTGAATTGGGGAATTGTCTGTAGGATATATCTGTATCTATATATTGTTATTCGTTGTGTATGATTACCAGACATTGGAAATGTGCAGATAATTCTTTTTCACCCTTCTCCATTCCTGTTTTTCCTTTAGTATTTGTGTTCTTGATCTATGCAGCTCATGCATTCTCAAATTTGCTATTATAAAAAAGCAAAACAAATAGAACAAACGATTTATACAAATTGTCACATATTAAGTTTATGCTCAATTTTTTAAACTGAATTTTTCTTGAGGATTTTGATCACTCATTTCTAATCATTGCACATTGTGTATTTGGTTCAACTTTGTACATTATCATAATCTTTTTTAGCTTCTTCCAAGCACTGTCTTCTGTTTTATTTCTTTTCTCTTTTTATATGATCACTCCACTGTTTTCTTTTACTTCTTTTGGAAAAAAAAATCTCGGTCAAAACAAATCTCTTCTGAATGCGTTTCTTTCAACAGTAAATAGATAACATGATTCATATGCATAGATTTTGAAGCAATGAGTAGATTTAATTTATTCACCTTGTTCACGTAACTCCAAAAGTACCAATGGTAATGAGATTCTACACGATCAAGTGATTGTTAACTTTAAAGTACACTTAGCATTAACCAAATAAAAAAGAAGAATCTGAAAGAAGGATTTTGCAAAGTTGGTGATGACGTGAATTCCATTTACAACTATTCGGCCTTAATGAATAATGATCCCTTCAAAGTGCTTGCAGGATCTTATCTTTCTTTTTTTAGGACATTTAAAATCAAAGTTTGGACCTACCATTTCATGTAATGTTATGCTTTTCTCATTTTCTTTTAATCATGTTGATTAGTTGCATAATTAAAAATTAACAAGTGTCAATTACTTTTGTAGATATTGGAATACCTTAATCTTCTAAATATTTGAAACATACAAATGATAACAACCTACTGTTTTTAATATCCTCTTTTTCATTATTATAATTTAAGTTTAAACATTTTTTTTAGTTTACAAAATATGTCTGGATTTTTACTTTAATCTTTAACAAATTCTTCTTGCTTCAATCCCTAAAAAAACATTTTTTATTTTATCCATGTTGTTATGTTGTTGACTCTGTTAATTTGCGCATTATTATATGTTACAAAACATTTCTGACAATAATTAGGGACCACTAATTAAAAAAAGGATTCAAAAGAAAAAAAATTATATTTTTTACAACAAAAACATATTTAAGTCTAAAAATTATTAAAATTTACAATTTTTTTTTAATTTCAATGAGTTTCATTCATAATTTTATAATTTATAATTTTGAGCCTTCATTAGGTGGAGACTATTCCTTTGATGAGTTTGTTAGCACATCAAGTTTAGAAGTTGAATATCATCTCCATCACAATCAGAATAATATTGGCTGCTATAGCTGTTGATGAATCTCTTTATACCAATTTTAATGGTCAAAAAAGAGTTTTAGCATCTTCTTTTTTTCCTTTATATAGGACAATCATTTGGCAGTTGAATATGAACATGTTTGTATGAGTTTTTCTATAAATACTTTTAAAGAAAAAATATAAAATGAATTTTATCTTATAAAAAAATAATTTTATCTTTTTGTTTTTTTTCTTTTCATGTATTTTGAGGAAGAACTTGTTCATGTTTTGCTAGTGGGGTCAATCTCACTCGAGTTTAGAAGGATTTTTGGAAATGGTAAAATTTATATATTAAAAGCTTGAATTCAAAACTTTATTTTGTAGATTTCAATATATTTTAATTTCTAAAAATATATATATTGAATTTTGATACAAACTGTGTTGCTTTTAGTCTCCAAAAATTACACAATATATTCATGATTTTAAATAATCATGTGGCATGATTATATAATCCAATCTTTACCTTAAAAAAAATCATGAATTTTTTGGAAAAATAACATGAGTTACTGAATATGTATATGGATTAAGTACTTTAAAAATAAACCATTATTAATTTACTCCACTTAATAATATTTAATAAGTATTGAATTATATTAATATATTTTTGGAACCATGGTATTTATAAGAATTAAGCAATGTTATATGTATGATGATAAAAAATATTTTGGCATGCTTCAACAGTAGTTGGATTTACAAGATTTTCCATTTGGATAAAAAATAGTTCTTGTAAAATTTGTAAGAATGTTTTTGTTTTACCTTGTATCGATGGAATGAATTCATGCTAGTTTTGATTTAACGTGACATTGTTGCATTGACCTGCTTATAGAAGACGCTGTTGGAAATCATGGTAAGTTCGCAGATGTTAAGAATGTGCGAGTGACACACACATGTTTGTTTTTGATTGATTGATTGAGTCTTTTGAACAGTTTCTGACACCGAAATTCAGCCAAAAATTGACCCTCTTGGGACGAACGAGAATAACATGTTCCTCCCTTTCCACACATTAATAGAACAACGAGATTCCAACAGTTGAAAACTCCTAAAACACCCTTCTCTCCTTCCTTCTTTCTTTTGTTTCCTGTGATTTCAACTTGTTGCGCGACAAAACGCCACTCACTTCTTCTTTCATCACCCTTTTCACTGAATTTCTCTTATTGACACAATTGCCACCCAGATCAGTGGTTGACCCAACTGAGACAAGCCTTGAAAGTTCCTTTTTATTTTGATTTCTGTTTCTGCAGGTGGCCGAGTTGGGAATTCGAGATGGTTCTTGATTGAACAAATGGCTTCTTGAGTATGGATTTGGTTTTGGCTTTGGCTTGTAGCTGTTTTGGAAAGATTCCTTTGTCAGTGTGTTGAATTCTGTTATCATGTTCCCTTCTAATTACTACTTGTTTGTTGGATTCAATCTTTTTATTCTGTTTACGTATTTGGAAAGTTCCAGTTCATTTATTCTACATTCAAAATTTCATATTCTTATGCCTGGGATTTTAATCCATGCCTCTTCATAGTTTCCACGGTTATCTACTATACCAAATGAGATTTTGAATACTATTTGGGTATTGAGTGTCACTTGAGAGGAGAGACGACTAATAGTTTTTCTTTTGTGTCAAATTTTGCAGAGTACTACTCCAGTGAGATACTTTGATTTAATTACCTTGTTCATGATTGACCCTCAATTGAAGTGATTCAATCATCCTCTTGGTCTGAGGTTGAAGCTATTTGAGTTCTGAATTTTGCAAGTTTCTTAGTCTCAAAGTATGGCTGGGAGCCAGGATCAGTTAGAGATCAAGTTTCTGTTGAGTGATGGTTCGGATATTGGCCCTAAAAGTTATGCTGCTGCTACTAGTATTGCAACACTGAAAGAAAGTGTTCTTGCTGAATGGCCAAAAGGTTAGTTTTGTGTATTCTTTCTTTTTGGGAATATCTTTTGGTCCTCCTACTAATACTAAGATGTCTATGTCAGAAAGTGTTATACTGTTCCTGTTTGTTATCCATTTTGGTGGTTTTTTTCTGTTTGCTACAATGAACTCGGTAGTAGTTTGGATGTAGATCATGCATCCAAGAATGAAATATATGTTGGTTATAACAAAGACGAGAAGAAATTTCCATTTAAAGGAATCTCGTGACTTTCTAAGCGTGTCAGAGATATGCATTTCTGAAAATCCTTGTGCACATGCATGCATGCTGAGAATGTCTGTGTTCTGCCATGGTTTAGTGATCTCCCCTTTTGCCTTCATGGAAAGACACTCTATAGGAGTTTTAAATTTCATAGGAAGGCTTCAACTAAACAAAGAAAATCACATGCATTAGCTGAATAAAAGTGATCACATTTTTTAACAGGAGATTTGCTGCCATGCATTCGTGATATTTGTTTTCTTTTTAAGTGATACATACGAAGTCTGTGAATTTATGTTTCTGTTTTGAAGATAAGGACTATGGACCAAGAACTGTCAAAGATTTGAAGTTAATTAGTGCCGGACAAATATTGGAGAACAACAAAACAGTGGGAGAATGTCAGAGTCCATTGTGTGATCTCCCTGGTGGAGTTACAACAATGCATGTGGTTGTGCAACCACCCTCTGTGGAAAAAGGTTTAGTATTACATATTACTACTTATTTTAAAGGCATGCCAAAAATCTGTTTTACTTGTATATAGTCTATATAGCTTCAAGATAAAATGATCTTCTTTCAAAGTTGGACTGGACTGAGTTCAAGTTGTTTTCATTGCTTGTAGCTGAACATATTCTTTTCAAATTGTGAGTAGTGGTATAATAACTGAACGGTTAGCATTAGAAAAACACTTTTTTATTGAAAAACTGTCTTACTAGTGAAATTACTAAATCTAAACCCTCATTTTACAAACCAGTTTTTTGAAATTGAATTAGATCTGAACTTATATTCTAAGACTGTATATTAACCTGATATATATAATGCACATTACTCCAAGCGAAAACGGATAAGTAATAGTACTTGCTTAGTATTTATTTGAGAGAACTTACGAAAACAACTTATGATAAGTTCCAAGGTGGTTTTTAGCTTACAAGATAAGCACTTATTTCAATAAGTTTTCCATGACAGTTTTTGGAAACAGCTGACAATTGTAATGCATACATACCACAGTACGTTCATATAAACTTCTTAAACAATTATATGCAAAGAAAACAAGAAGAAAAAAAGAAACAAGTTTTTGAAGAAACTAATATGAGAAACCTTCTGCAACTAATTCATGCATATAAGTGATTATAAAGAAGTTTATCTAAATATACCCTTAACTCAGTTTCATCTTTAATTGTATAAAAAACTTATATATATAAGTGCTTATAGGATAAAACGTATACAATAAGAAACTAATTATGTTGCTCACATAAACAAGTCATAAATATAGAACTTCTGCAGTTATGTGACCGATAAATTTTGAGTTCATCTAGTTTTGGTGCTATATCTGATTCTTTTTGACATTCTGGTCTTCTTCTCTTGAAACAGATAAGAAAGTAGCAAGTGAAGCAAAGTTGAACAAATGTGTTTGTGTGATATTATAGTGTCCAGATTGAATAGAAGATGTCATGTACTTAGGTGGTTAAAAGTCACACTTGTATTCATTTCAAAAGATTTCCTCTCACACAAACTCTTTGGTTGCATCCTCATGACAACCACAGGTAAAAAGTTTTTGGCTTGTGAAGAAGAAGGCACTTGCTTCTTGGTTTCTCTTCTGTTTCTGCATCTAGTTGCTGCCTCATTGTCCACTTGGTATAATTCTTGATTGAAAAAAATGAACTATACAATTGTTCTTGTGCTTCAGCTTGGTGCAAAATGCTTCAAGAGTTAAAATTGTTCAAATATGCTTTTACTTTATGTTTGTTTGTGTGCTCCTATAGATGTTTGAAATATAAACCTTTCCAAAAATATAAGGCATGTTTGAACAAATTTTTCTTTAAACATTTATTGAAAAAAAATTATATATAAGTTAAAAATAAAATATTAGAAAAATTATACGAGATAATTTCTACAAGTATAATGTAATTTTAGATTATGGAAAATATAATTTCAATATTTTTTTATATAATTTTTCTTTCTTAAAATTTTGTAGAAAAATTCATCCAAACAAATTATGTAATACAATATAACTCGTGTCGTGTACGTATTTATAATTCATAATATTTTTTTCTTTTTATCATCATTTTTAATATATTTGTCTATTTTTTATTATATAAATCTATATTAATAGATATATATTTAAAAATAATAATGGATAATGCAAATAAATTTATATTTAGATGTCTAAGGTTATAGAAGGGATAGAGTTAATTTGTATTTGTAATTATTAGAGTTCTTAACTCGGACTATTTAGTCCACTTTGACATATTCTTACGGTCAGGTATAAAAAATTGTCGGTCTAACTTAATCTATTGATTATAATATTTAGTCCAATTTTATGTTAAATGAATGGACTAATGAATCAAAATTGATCTGATTAAAAATTAAAAGATAATTAATATTTTTATACTAAAATAATTAATTAAAAAATATTTAAATAAAAATAAAATAAAAAATATATTTTTTAAATTTAAATTATTTTAATAAACTTAATTTTTATTTAAGATATAATAATTTAATACATGAATAATAAAAAAATGAATTTATTTAATTAAATAATATCAAAATAAAAATAAGAGTTAAAAACTTACTCTTTTTAATTATAAATCTTATTTTTATAATTTATTAATTTAAGTTAATAATTTATTTTAATTATTAGTTATTATAATAAGTAATTATTAGAAATTTATTTTTGTATTTATTTTAAAAATAAATAATTTTTTTATTAAATTATATATATATATATATAATAAAATATTATTTTTATTGAATAATCAATTATTATTTTTTAAAATAAATTGATCCTTCGAACTAGTTAAATCTAAGCTTATATAGACTATGATTTAAACCGGTAAAGCTGAGCATAATTTTTTATTTTTTAATATGACATTTTTTTAATTTTTTAGGTCAATATTAAGACATGATGTAAGTTGTAAACTAACCTCCATCAATAATAATTCAAATTTATTAGTTGTAATAATGTGAATCAACCCACTGATTTTTATTTTCTTTCTGAAAGAAAAAAAAAAGAAGAAGCTTGTTTCATTTCATTAATAATGAGAGTTTTAACATAACTTGGTACCAACTCAAACTTTTAGTAATTATGAAGAGAGAAAATATAGATTTTGGAACAAGAAAATGAAAAAGTTCAACTCTGATTAATTTGTCATCTAATAAAATTCATAGACATTTTGAAAAAGTAAAAAACCAAAATAAATGATAATGATATTTTTAATTTGAAGAAAGAGGTTTTATTTATCTTCATAGTTAATGAATCTTGATAATTACATACAATTGTTAAGAGTGATTAAAACCAATATTATTATTAAGAATATTTATATAAGTTTCTAAAAATAAAAAATAAATCGATATTGTTACAAACTTGAATTATGTACCCCATCGAACGAAATAATAAAAGTAATGTAGTATTTTTTTTATTGCACTAAAAAAATAACTCTAAAAATTCCAAAACCCATGAAAACACTTGGTAGAAAACATAGCTAAAATATATTATTGAAAATATTTTTTTAATAATATTATTTGAAAAAATTAAATAAAACAAATATTGAATTTCTTTTTAATTTCGAAATTTATATTCTTATAAAACAATTTCATGAACAATACTAATATGAACTAATTTTGATATATTTTTTAAAATAATTTTCAATTTTATAGTTTAAAAAAATATTTGATAAATATTTTGTTAAATAATTTTTAAAATCTTGTTCTGTTTTTAATTTTAAGTTATTTTAGTTTCTTTTTTTTTAATATGTATCAATATTTTTATTAATAATTATATTAAATCATTAATTTTTATTATTTTATTATTTTTCTAAAATAGTTTTAAAAATATATAATTATTAAATATTTTTTAATTTATTTTAAAAAATATTTTATACAACTTCTTTAAATTTTTATTTTAATTTAAATTTTTTATCTCGTAACTTGTACATAAATTAGTTTTAGAATTTTTTTCTTTCAATATTTAACCAGAAACTCTTCCCAACATACATTTAATAAGTCATTTTCTTCGATCATTTTTTATTTATTTAGAAACACTTCTTAAAATTAAGCATTGAGAATTAAGTAGCTATACAATAATATTCTTATTTATTGAAGAAATCAATTGGATTATTCAATAAATTGATTTATGATATGCAATTTTCAAAGATTAATTCACATGCTATTAGAATTTCAAACACTAACTTAATAGTTTATTATATATATTTTTATAATATTTTATATTTATTTAAATAAAATTTAATTTTAAAGGTCCAAGTCGAAGCATATCTAAATGAACAACGTTTGTGAACATTGTTGAGGTCGCGCACTGCGCACTCGGCTTATCCAACACCCTTGCATTTTAGCATCGGCTCTCCACAAATTAGCATGGTTCTGCGCCCACGCAACTGACACGACCTTCAACACAACAATACACAACCTCGCCGGAAAATTCCTCGCCGTTTCCGGTCTGGGCGATGGCCTCTGCAACGTCGTTTTCGGGCCTCGTGCTTCGTCATTCCGTTCCAATTCGCAGCAACAGAAGCCACGCTCGATTCACGCAGTTTCAAGTCTCCTTCGGATTTCCCGCGAATCCCACTTCGCTGAAGAGTTTGAATTCGGTGCCGTGCAAGAAAAGAGAAGCTTTCTCCAATGGGTCTCCTAGAACGCGAAGAAATCTGGCGCTGTTCTCTGTTCGCTGCTCGGTTTCATCAAGTGGAAAAGTATACATGCACATTCATAACCATATTCATTACTATAATCAGTCTTTTTAGTTGTCTTTCGGTTTTGAAATCAGTGTTAATGAGCTTATGAGAGAAGAAAATACTTAATGGATGAGGAAATTATGCTCACTCCCTAGAATTTTTTCAGATTGCATGACACCTCTTTCTTAATGTTTGATATTTTTCAATCAATTAAGAAAAGTTAGTGTAATGAATAAAAGACGCGATTAATATTTTTTATACATTCAAGGGTAATTGTAATGACCGAAAGAAGAAGAGTCTGGTGTGCTGAATAAGAGGAAGTGTTAATGTAATTATTTCCTTGATATTACTTCTAAACAGTATTATTGTCCCTTTTGGGTTCAGTTCAAATACTTTGATATTAAATACGGGTTAAATTTGGTTTTAGCTCTTGTAAATAGGAAAATTGTTCCTTTTTAGTTCTTGGAAAAAAGTATGAAACGTGTAAAGGGTAGGGATAACATTAATTGAAGTGGAAAAAAGGACAAAAACTACACCTGCTACATTTTTATGATAAGGAGACATGAAGAGATTAATAATTAGATAAACTGAACAATTTTTATTGTTTCATTTTTGAAACATCTGAGCCCGTTGTGTTAAAGGTTTGTGCTTTATTTTAATTTTATATGAATTTTATCTGCTGTATTATGGTTGAGAAGTGTGTATATTTTTTTCTAAAACTTGCCCCACAACCGTGCTTTGTAGTTGGAATGGGTTCCTTGCCCGGTGGAGGTTGAGCTTTCACAAGTTCTGATAACAATTTATTGAATGGATGGCTCAAATACCTTTTTAACTCCTGCAAATTTTTTGCTTTTACTTTGTGTAATTTGTTTTGTATATGATCCTTGAAATATTCAGACCTTCTTTTGTCCCTCTCATTCATGCTTATCCGACTCCATTTGGTATTGTTACTCTAGCATTTTCATAACGACTGATGGAACCACCCTTGTGTTTTTGGAACAAAAGGACCAAAACCAAAGATTTGGATGTTACAAGGATCTTAAACAAGTTTACAGATTAAAAGAAAAAATCAGTATGTTTGCAAGAATGAAAGGTTTTTAAACCTAAATATATTAATGTTTAGTTTATTTTTGGTCTTGTTGGTCTCAAAATAGTAATAAATTATTTTTAAATAAACATATGTAAAGTACATTATTGTGTTAAATATAAGTCATTGGTTTATGAGTTTAATATAAAGCTTGTCATTAGCTCATGCAAGTAAGGTCGAATTTGGCTTAACTCAATTGAACTTGATTCGTTTCAATTTTAGCAATCTGAATTGTTTGTGATTTTGGGTCACTTGTAATGCTAATTGAGTCTAGTTGTAGTGATTGATATTGGGTTTTGGTACAATGACAGATTACACAACAGGAATTCACGGAAATGGCATGGCAAGCGATTATCTCAGCGCCAGAAGTTGCTAAGGAGAACAAGCATCAGATTGTGGAGACTGAGCACTTGATGAAAGCTTTGTTAGAGCAAAAGAATGGACTTGCTCGCCGGATCTTTTCTAAGGTTGGGGTAGATAATACTAGGCTTCTTGAGGCCACTGATAAGCACATTAAGCGACAGCCTAAGGTGATTGACCAAGTCAAATAAGCTTTGGTCCTCATAGTTATGTCTTTATCTTGTTATTATAGTCAGACTCCCTCTTATTGGCTTATTTTAGGCATGAGATGTTATTGGTTTTACACATATTCTCTTGCAACTTGGATTATGGGTGTACTTTTCCTTCAAAATTAAGACCAAAGTGGAAATTGTATTAAGTCCTCAACATTTTCTTAGTAAAAGGCAACAGAAGCTTCGAAGTGGGAAGGAAAGTTATAGCCATTTACTTCTGTAGGTATAATGTTGTAACATTGATATGAATCATGAAACTAATATGGGGCTACCTCATATGTGGTTATGGTCTGACTTATCTGCATAGTATATGAAGTGTTGTTCTCATCCAAAGCAAAAATTGCAGAGGAAAGGAGTAAAATGCAAAACTAATTTTGATAAAAAAGTTCATATATCAGTGATATGCAATTCAAACCCTTACTCTTGTCCTTTATTCAAATTATATTATGTATGAAAAAATCTCTTATTATTTGTGCTCTTGATTCAGTAAGATTGTATGGAACAGTCTAAAATGAGCTAGAAAGGACTTCTTGCATTGGTTTTGGAAATATTAGTCATACTGTGGATCTTTGTGATTGTTCAATTATATTAATAGCACTTGAATTCCCAAAGTCGCTAATAGTCAATATACAACTTTGAGCATATGCAAATGATATGTATAAAATACACTTGTATATTATTAGCTGGTTGAGTAAACTATTAGCCATGTCTGTAGTCCAAGAACCTGATTGTTAAACTCTTGTCCTATTATTTTAGGTTCTAGGGGAATCAGCTGGTTCAATGTTGGGGCGTGATTTGGAGGCATTGATTCAGAGAGCCAGGGACCTGAAGAAAGAATATAGGGACTCATTTGTGTCAGTTGAGCACTTTGTTCTTAGTTTTGCTCAAGATAAACGATTTGGGAAGATTTTGTTTAGAGATTTTCAAATATCTGAGCAAGGTCTTAAATCTGCCATAAAGTCCATAAGGGGACGCCAATCAGTTATTGACCAAGGTCATTATAATTATAATGCATATTATGGTGGTGTCTCTTGTCATTACGTTTCTCTTTGTTACCTGCTTTTGTTTTGGTGGAGGGGTTATTGCCTGCTATTAAAAACTTTAGGGTCTATTTGTTTCTGTTTTCATTTTCTATTTTATTTTTAATCACAAAACTGTCATGTTGTTTTCCAAGATTTGTAATGGACACATTGAAAACAATTATTTTTTGTTCTCTCTTTCCTGTTCAAATCTTTGAAACAGGAAACAAATTGAAAATAATTTGTCAGTTTTATAGTTATAAGTGAAGACAGAAAATAAAACAGATACGAGCCCATAATGTCTTCGAATGTTCTGGAACCTGTGCTTGATGGGCTATGAGTATCTGTGCATGCAAATTTTTTCATTTTGGAAATATCTTATGATTCATAAGTCTCATTTCAATTTGTCTAGATCCTGAAGGAAAGTATGAAGCCTTGGAAAAGTATGGGAAAGATTTAACAGCAATGGCTAAAGCAGGAAAACTTGACCCAGTCATAGGAAGAGATGATGAAATACGCAGGTGCATTCAGATTCTCTCCAGAAGAACAAAGAATAATCCTGTGCTAATTGGAGAGCCTGGTGTTGGAAAAACAGCAATCTCTGAAGGGTAAGTGCTTAGGTCTTCCTCCCAAGCGTTGCCCTGTGTTTATCTTATTTTTTAGCATTTTACTTTAAATTATTTTTTTTACTAAATTTTACATGCTGATACTGTTATCTGTTACCTGAATTTCATAAGTAACCTGTTTCATGCATACAAGATTGTGCATACTGCCATGGTGTGAAATAAAATACAAAATTTATTTCAACATGACAGTACAATTTTGATTAATATTTTTAAGAAGTAAATGATAATTGTTTTCTGTATGAAAGTCTAATTTCAAATTCAAGTTTCATAAAATTAGGTAAGTTTAAGAGATTGACATAATTTAAAATGATAGTTCTCTCTTCTGCTTTTGATAGAAAAGTTCCTTAAAACTAGGAATTTGGTGTAAGAGGTGATTCATTGTTCGAAATAACAACTTATTCCTTTCGTCTGTCATACTAAAACCAAACATTTAGGCATTTCCTTTTCTATAGCAGAATAAATTAGAATCAATGGAAGAAACAACGTAATCAATCATATGGTTATTGTGACCACAATCTATTTAAATTGCAGTTGCAGTTACTGTGATTGCAGGCATTGTGGCTACTGCAAGCGATGTCGTTGTGGCATTTTTTCCAAGCTTGCAATCACGAAATGTTATTTTGTTTAAACAAAAAAGCAACATTATGGCCATTACGGTTTTTCTTGTGAATTCAACCTGCAATTGCAGGGTGATGTAGTTGCAAACACTGCATCAACTGTGATATTGCAGCCACATGAGGTGATGTGATGTGATATAAAATCTGAAATCATGCTTAGTATACAAATTGATGCTGTTGAGACATTTTTGTTGAACCAGACATCCTGGTTTTTTTCATGACGGTGTCAAATGTTTGTATATGTGATTGGTTCTGGTAGTTTTCATGAAATATTGACCTAGCAAGAAATGCCTTGGAAACAGACTAGCTCAAAGAATTGTTCAAGGAGATGTTCCTCAAGCTTTGATGAATCGAAGGGTATGTGCTTTATTTTGGCTATTCTAAATTTCTAATATTCTTGATAAGCTCAAAATGGAAGATAAAGGGGCAATGATGGGAATGTGGGATTTACTATAACTGTCCTTTTTAAGTTTGTATTTCATTTTCACTACATTGATATCTATTATAACCTCTAAATTTTACCCGTAATTCCAATGATTTGTTTTATTAGTATGCAATATTTATCTTATTCTGTTCTCCATTTCGAGCTGTGTTGGCCAGGAGTTGTAAAATTATTCTGATACACTTGCCATTTTTCAGCTCATATCCCTTGATATGGGTGCACTAATTGCTGGAGCAAAGTACAGGGGAGAATTTGAAGATAGACTGAAAGCTGTTCTCAAAGAAGTAACAGAATCTGATGGTCAGACTATCCTTTTCATTGATGAAATCCATACAGTTGTTGGGGCAGGTAATGAATTTCAGAATTTGCCACTTTTAGAAGCTGATTTTTTGGTTTTGAAAAATCTGTTTGAAGGATCTGGACAACTTTCCTCCATTTCTTTCAACTTTTTTTTTTCTTTCTGTCTGTATAACTGGTTTGCAAAAACCCTTCAAGTCAATGGATATTTAAATCGGAGAAAGATGATACACTTCAATTAATATTTTTCTCACAAAATATTGCATTTATCTATAGCAATGGTGATTTGAGAAAAGAAATTAAACATGTGGCCATTGAATTTGATTGCAATTATATCTATCATACGCCAGGTGCTACAAATGGTGCTTTGGATGCTGGTAACCTCTTAAAGCCTATGCTTGGTCGGGGGGAGCTGCGATGTATTGGTGCAACAACATTAGATGAGTATCGAAAGTATATTGAGAAGGACCCTGCACTTGAGCGTCGTTTCCAGCAAGTTTATGTTGACCAACCATCAGTTGAAGATACCATTTCAATACTGAGGGGACTGCGTGAAAGATATGAGCTGCATCATGGAGTTCGCATTTCTGACAGTGCACTTGTAGATGCTGCAATTCTCTCAGATAGATACATAAGTGGGAGGTTTTTACCTGATAAAGGTATTAATATTGGCCAAAGACTCTTGACAAGTGAATATATGTATTACACAAAGATTGAGAAATCTCATTGCATTTTCTTCTGGAAAATAATTACTTATAGTATTATGATACCTTATTACTTTTAAAAGAATGAGGTTTGGATTCTGGATTAGGTTCTTAGTAATAAAAGACATAAGGTGTAAGTTGAAAGTGTTCTTAAGAGCTTTAAAGCTATATAGAACTGCCTCACTGTTGCGAGCATTAGTGACCATAGTAAAAGGAAAAAAGGAATATGAGGAAATGATTGTAATGAATTTTCTGTATTGCATCAGAGCAATGATTACAACTTATATAGGAAAAAGAATAACAGAAAAGAGAGAATAAAGCATATTCCTGTACTATTTACAGCTCATATATTCTAGAATGTACATCTGGGTAAGAAACAGAAAAGAGAATTAACTACTGTATTATGCTCTAATTAATCACGGTCTTCTTCTTTTAGCCCCCCACAAGCTGGAGGTAGGTAGATATCAACTAACTGCAGCTTGGATAAATTCACAGTGAAAAGGCGAGGTGGGAGGGCTTTGGTGAAAATGTCAGCCAATTGGTTTGAAGAGGAAACTGGAAGCAGCTGCATAAGACCAGCCTGTGATTTCTCTCTAACTAGATGACAATCAATATCTAAGTGTTTTGTCCGTTCATGAAAAACGGGGTTGGCAGCTATGTGAAGAGCGCTTTGATTGTCACAATAGAGGATAGGTTGAGGTGAGTGAAGAACTTGCAAATCTCTAAGAAGAAAAATGAGCCATTGCAGTTCACGGGTTGCGGAGGCTAGAGCGCGGTATTCGGCTTCGGAAGAGGAACGAGATACTCGTATTCTGTTTCTTTGTCTTCCATGAAACCAGTGAATTACCAATGAAGAGGCAGTAGCCGAGTTATGGATCGTCTAGAGTCTACACGAGTTGCCCAATCTGCATCACTAAAAACGCGGATTTGAGTAGTACAATTTACGGGAAAAAACAAGCCTTTTCAGGGACAACTTTTGAGATAACGGAGAACCTTGATGGCCGCATTGTGATGAGCTTTAGTGGGGTTTGACATAAATTGGCTCAATTGTTGCGTAGCAAAGGCTATGTCGGGCCTAGTGCTAGTAAGGTAAATCAATCGACCAACCAACCTTCGGTATGGCGGCGGATCGGGAAGAGGGCTAGAGGAATCGGCATGGAGTCGAAGAGTGCTATCCATAGGTGTAGAGGAGGGCTTGCAACCAAGCATCCCGAGTCCTTGAGAAGGTCAAGACAATATTTTCTTTGGCATAGTGAAATCCCCTTTGCTTGAATGGGCCACTTCGATACCTAAAAAATACTTCAATGTGCCGAGATCCTTAATGTGAAAATTGGAATGCAAAATCCTCTTGATGTTAGTGATTTCACGAGGAGAATTACCAGTTAAAACAATGTCATCAACATATATAATGAGGGCGAGTGAACTCGGAATGATGATTCTTAATGAAAAGACCGTGATCAGCATGAGCATGTTGATAGCCATAAGTCAAGAGAAGGGAGGATAATTTCTCATACCACTTTACGCTTGCCTGTTTCGAGACCATAAAGGGATTTGCGAAGTTTGCAACTCGAGAGGGGTTGAATCCGAGCGATCCAGAGCGATATCATCATATAAACATCTTCGAGATAGTTCTCCGTGTAGAAATGCGTTACTCACATCTAATTGTTGAAGGGTCCAGTGATTAATTGAAGCTAGAGCAAGCACCACACGAATTGTGGACATCTTGACCACAGGAGAGAAAGTCTCAAAATAATCCACACCTTCAATTTGAGAGTACCCCTTCGCAACAAGACGTGCTTTGTACCGTTCGATGCTGCCATCAGGTAATCTCTTAATTTTGTAAACCCATTTGCAGCCAATGGGTCGAACACGAGGAGGAGTCCGAACAATATCCCAAGTCCGGTTCATCATCAAGGCCTCAATTTCATGACTCATGGCTTCTTGCCAACATGGATGTTGAGCGGCTTCGTGAAAGCTGGTGGGCTCGGACTCGGAGGACGAGAGACATGATGTACCGATGATGAGAGGGAGAAAGCATGTCATATGTGATGGAGGATTGTATAGGAAAAGAGCACGTTGAAGTTGATTGAACGGTTTTTAGAGGTGGAAGATCGCACTTGTAATCGGAGAGGTAAGACGGTGGTTGGCTTGGTCGATTTGAACGACGAGGTAGAGGAGGGTTCTCATGTGGTGATGAATTTGGAGATGAGGGAGAAGAATTTGGTGTCTCTGGATGCATAAGGAGCGGCGAAATGGGATTTGGAGAAGAGGGAGGAATCGGGCCTGGTTCATTGGAGATGGTGGATCCGTCTAGTTGAGTGGGAGTGGTGAGGTTAGGAGATGTGTCTTGGGCTATGGGTGGTACTGGTATGGTAACCATTTGTGGGCTTATGGTTATAGTGTGTGGGCTGTCTTTGTGAAAGGGAAATTGCATTTCATGAAACAGGACATTTCTGGAAATAAAAATTTCTTTGTTGCTTAAATCAAGTACAACATACCCTTTTATTCCATTTTCGTAACCCAAAAAGGCTCCCTTTCGAGATCTAGCATCAAATTTGTGTTGAGGGGTGTGTTTTGTAGCAAAACATAGACAACCAAAAACTTTGAGCATAGAAAAATTGGGTTTTTGTTTATACAAAAGCTCAAAAGGTGTCTTGTGTAAAATAACGGGAGAAGGAACGTGATTAATCAAGAAGACAGCATGTTTGATGGCATAAGGCCAAAAATTTCCAGGAATTTTAGATTGAAACATGAGGGCCCTAGCAACATTAAGAATGTGTTGATGTTTGCGTTCAACTCTCCCGTTTTGTTGTGGTGTGTAAACACAACTTGTTTGATGGATTATGCCTTTTGAAGAAAAAAAAATTTTCAGCAAAAATTCCGATCCATTATTAGAACGTATACACTTGATGGTTGTTTCAAATTGGTTTTCAATCAAAGCAACAAAATTCTCTATGTGTGTTTGAACTTCTGCTTTTGTTTTTAACAAAACCACCCAAGTGTAACGACTGTGGTCATCAATGATAGTCAAAAAATATTTATGACCATGAATAGAATTTTTGGAAAAGGGACCCCAAATATCCATATGAATTAACTCAAAAATTTTAGAGCTACGATTAGTGCTAAGAGAATATGGTAACTTCCTTTGTTTTGCTAAATGGCAAACATCACAAATTTCATTAAAATTACTAGAGATGAAAGGGTACGCATGATGTAAAATGTTAAGACGATTTCCAGATAAATGTCCTAATCTAAAATGCCAAAGAGTAGAGTCATTGGTATGGTTGATGTTTATATTGTTGATGGTGGAAGGTGATTGTGAAGGTGATCCTGTGTCTCCGATTTCCAAGTGATATAATCCTCTCTTTAATTTAGCTGAACCAATCATCTTCAATGTGTTCACTTCCTGTATTTTACAAGACATATGAGAGAAAATTATGGAATAGTTAAGATTGGAAAGTAATTTAGAGATGGACAAAAGGTTAAAGGTAAAACCAGGAACATACAAGACATTATGAATGACAAAACTTGACGAAAAATAAATTGTTCCAGATAATGTGGGCTTTAACAAATTGTCCATTGGGTAGATTAATTTTTACTTGGTTTTATTTTAGAGTAAGTGTGAAAGTAATGCGAGGGAACAAGTGATATGGTCCGTGGCCCCTGAATCCATAATCCAGGGTGTCTTAATTATGCCAGGTGTGTGTGTGGTGTTGATAGAAAAAATAAAAGAGGTACCACACGGATCGAAACGGAATTTGGGCTTGAGTGACTAAGGTTGGCCCTTATGGGTACTTCACTTGTATTCGCACCACCAACTTGAGTTTTCTGAAGCAGAGCCATCAGCTGTTAGAATTGGGCCTGTGTGATGTTGGGACTGGGTACTGTAAATGACCCATCATTATGTTCTTCTCCATGTAGGGTTTGTTTTCCTTCACCAGTGATGTGGTTGACAGCGACGCCACCTCCGGAAGTTCCAATCTTGTTGGGAAGGCGAGGTCGACCCGGTGGATATCCGAATTTGACGTAGCATACATCCATGGTATGGCCGTATCGCGTGCAATGTTCACACTTAGGAACGACGTTTCCTTGTTTCTGATAGCAGACATCGCTGGTGTGACCAAGGTGGCCACAGTGGTCGCATTTGCGGGAAGTGGATGATTTGCTTCCCCCTAACTGTAGAACGCCGCGACTTCTACCAGAGACGACGTTGGCAAATGCGTTAACATCGAGTGACGGTGAGGTATTGGTGGAATGTTGTCGTTCGTGTTGAATAACCATGGAGAAAACCCTATTGGCAGAAGGTAAGGGATCTAGAAGTAGAATTTGTGATCGGACCATGGCGAAACGCTCATCAAGTCCCTTGAGAAACCGGATAATGAAATCCTGGTGATGAAAATCCTTGGCTGAGCAAGTGCAAGGAGTCAATGGACGGAAGTTGTCTAGTTCCTCCCACATAGATTTTAGAGTAGTGTAATAATCGGTGACAGAAGCAGAACCTTGCTTGAGAGAGTAAATCTCCTCCTGTAACTCAGCAACACGCAACAAATCACCTTGAGAAAACCGTTCGCGAAGGTCAGCCCAAATGGTAGCAGCATTTTCGAAGAAAATGATGCTCTGGGCAATAGAAGAAGAAACAGAGTTAATCAACCAAGACATGAGGAGTGTATTGCACCGCTCCCAATGAGGAAACAGAGGATCAGTGTTAGCTGGCATGGAAATAGCGCCAGTGAGAAAACCCATTTTGTTTTTGGATATTAAGGCCATCCGAATGGATCTAGACCACGATTGGTAGTTGTTCCCTGTGAGTGGAGGGGTAACAATAATGGAGGTTGGACTTTCACTGGGATGGATGTGGAAAGGGCTAGAAGGTTGCTGGCTAGGGTCGATAAAGGGAGGAGGTGGAGGAGGTGTTTCCTCATGATCAGAATCAAAGGAGGTAGACATAGAATCTTTGAAAAGCTCTTGATACCATAAAAGGAAAAAAGGAATATGAGGAAATGATTGTAATGAATTTTCTGTATTGCATCAGGGCAATGATTACAACTTATATAGGAAAAAGAATAACAGAAAAGAGAGAATAAAGCATATTCCTGTACTATTTACAACTCATATATTCTAGAATGTACATCTGGGTAAGAAACAGAAAAGAGAATTAACTACTGTATTATGCTCTAATTAATCACGGTCTTCTTCTTTTACATAGTCTAATTCATTTTCAATGTCTTGCATTTGAATGATTAATATATAGCTACGACTTCTCTTTTTTTATCATTTATATGTTTTAAAACTTATTTTGTTAAATGTTTCAGAATATATGGAAAAAGCATCTCATAAACTTAGAATATCTTAAAAGTATCTAGGATGTTTGCTTAGGAGTGGTTCCTATTTTTTCACTATATTTCCTAATTGGTTTCCTTAATTGATTAGGATTATGATACTCATACTAGTATGGAGGTCAAGACTAATGTCAAGCCAATATCAATTTTGGACTATTTATTAGCTTATGCTCTCTGTTCTTCCTTTTATCCAAAACTATTCCTAGTTTTCAACAAAAATGTGAGCTGTTACTGTTTTTCATTATTTTGTAGACTTGCATCAACGATATTCACAACGCACTAATTTCTTGTTACTTCTAAATTACAGCTATTGATCTGGTTGATGAAGCTGCTGCAAAACTAAAAATGGAAATTACTTCAAAACCTACTGCACTTGATGAGATTAATCGGTCAGTCTTGAAACTTGAGATGGAGAGACTCTCTCTCATGAATGATACAGACAAGGCTTCGAAAGATAGATTATATCGTCTTGAGACAGAACTCTCTCTCTTAAAAGAGAAACAGGATCAATTGACTGAGCAATGGGAGCATGAAAAGTCAGTAATGACTCGTCTGCAATCTATTAAAGAGGAGGTTTGTTATCAGAATTCTGTTATTTTTTGCTAAATGTGCATTCGGTTTATAAATAAGTTAACTCTTAGAAGACATATTTTTGTGGTGTTTCATCACATTGAACTACTGCAAGTATGTTGGTAAGTATGCATTGACATTAGAAATGTACTTGTATAAAAACATGATTTTATGTTAATTTGAAGATTGAAATCTGATAGTTTCCTATTTTATATATATGCAGATAGACAGGGTAAATCTTGAGATTCAACAGGCTGAGCGAGAGTATGATCTTAATCGTGCTGCTGAATTAAAGTATGGCAGTCTAAACTCCTTGCAACGACAGCTTGAAAGTGCAGAAAAGGAGTTGCACGAATATTTGAACTCTGGTAAGTCTATGTTGAGAGAGGAAGTTACTGGAAATGATATTGCTGAAATTGTAAGCAAGTGGACTGGTATTCCAATTTCAAAACTTCAACAATCAGAGCGAGAGAAGTTGTTGTATTTGGAAGAAGAGCTTCATAAACGTGTTGTTGGTCAAGATCCCGCTGTTAAGGCAGTAGCTGAGGCTATCCAACGTTCAAGAGCAGGTCTTTCAGATCCCCATCGCCCAATTGCTAGCTTCATGTTTATGGGACCAACGGGTGTGGGAAAGACTGAGCTAGCGAAGGCCCTTGCTTCATATTTGTTCAACACAGAAGAAGCACTTGTACGAATTGACATGAGTGAGTACATGGAAAAACATACTGTCTCAAGATTGATTGGGGCTCCCCCTGGATATGTTGGGTATGAAGAGGGAGGGCAATTAACAGAGACAGTTCGGCGCAGACCTTATTCTGTCATTTTGTTTGATGAGATTGAGAAGGCACACTCAGATGTTTTCAATGTATTCCTTCAAATCTTGGATGATGGAAGAGTAACAGATTCACAAGGCCGGACCATAAGTTTTACCAACACGGTTATCATTATGACCTCAAATGTTGGATCACAGTACATTCTCAACACAGATTCTGACACTGTGCCAAAAGAGTCAGCATACGAAACCATGAAGCAGAGGGTAATGGATGCTGCAAGATCAATCTTTCGCCCTGAGTTCATGAATAGAGTTGATGAGTATATTGTTTTCCGGCCTCTAGACCGGGACCAAATAAGTAGTATTGTCAGGTTACAGGTAAGTTTCTTCTCACTAATTTATTTCAAAGTCCATAAATCCACACACCCATAGAACAAAGAGTAAAATATGTTTCTAATCTGGCAAAAATTTAATACAATTTTAGTCTCTACATTTTACATAAACATGTTTATCGTCTCTTATGAGGGACCAGATCATATTACTCTTGTTTATGTAAAGTTTAAAGATATTAAATATCTGTAAGAACTAAACTAAATTTTGAGATATTTTGAAGGACTAGAAACATATTTTACTTATGAGATATATATATATATATATTGATAGCGAAAGTCAACGAGAACTCTGGGAATTTGAGATCACAATACTCATTTCCTACGTCTATTACAGTTGGAGCGCGTGCAGAAGAGAATTGCTGATCGCAAGATGAAAATCCAAGTAACAGAAGCTGCAATCCAACTTCTTGGAAGTTTGGGGTATGATCCAAACTATGGTGCTAGACCAGTCAAGCGAGTGATTCAGCAAAATGTGGAGAATGAACTTGCCAAGGGTATTCTTAGAGGAGAGTTCAAGGATGACGACACAATTTTAGTGGACACAGAAGTCACAGCATTTGCCAATGGTCAACTTCCCCAGCAAAAGCTTGTTTTTAGGAGGATTGGAACTGATTCAGAATCCAGTTCTACTGCTAAAGACAGCAGGGAAAGCTTTCCACAGATTCTGTGAATGCATGTCACTGCTCCTTGTTTCTGTCTGTGCTTGGTGTCACAACAAATCTGAGTATAGGTCCCTTTCTATGCTAGTGCAACTCTGATCCTGTTCATAGCATGAAATAGTTTATAGTTTTTCATACAATAACTTTTATTGGTCAATACAAATACCATGCTTAAGAAGTATTGACTTTATGAAAATAATTTTGTATTGTGAAGGGGCTGCACCTGCAGTAATTCATTTCTTCAATTAATAAATCCACACTTGTAGTGTGTGGTTTATGGATGGATTAGGAGCAAATTTTTGGTATACCTGTAATATATTTCTATCCTAATTGTTTAGGGTTTAGGGTTTTCTCATTTTTATTTTCAAATTAAAACTAATAAAAATTAACTATTCATGTCAAGTGTTTCAATTAAGGAAGAGTTCTGTAAATTTAATTAATTAAGGTGCATCTATGAACCAAGTTTAAGAAATTGTTGATAAATTGATGACTTTATTGTAATTTATATATTTAAATTTTGACAAATTTCGTTCTCATAGTTTTCGTTGTCCCATTTTGGTTAATATATTTTCAAAAATTTAGCAATTTTAGTTGTAGTATTTCTTGCCATGTAATTTTAGATGATTTTGAAGATACTGAAATCTTTATTTTGAATATATTTCATAATTTATAACATTAAATTATTTAGCATGTAAATGTTAAATATTTAATGTTATCATCTCATCATATCATATTTATTAAAATGGTCTAATCTATTTTTTGAAAGTGTAGATTAAAATTCAACAATTAAAGCTATGAAGATTAAAATTGCTATTTTTTAAATGTATAGAACAAAAATTAAGTAATGAAAAATACATACACTAAAAAAACCATGTAACTTAGAGGCTTAAAAGTGTGATTAAACTTATATTAATTTAGATTTAATTAATTTAAAAAATGAAGGAAACAATTTTGCCGAACATGTATTAACGGCACTTGTTGAATATTTATAATTATCTTGATCTATTTTTATTTTAATTGTGTTTCAATCTATAAATATTTTAATATTAATTAGATTAATATTTTTCATGATGTTAATGAGCTAATTTTTCCGTTTGTATTCCAAAATACTTAATAATAAAAATATTTTTTTAAATATAAATATTAAAAATAAGATAAATGAACAAAATATCATCAAAACGACAAGTAAAAGGCAAAGGTGAAGGCAAGTTGCTTTTACCGCCATTAACGTTTCCGTCCAAAGCTCCTTCGGCTTCTCTCTGTTTTAGTGTTTTTTCTTCCTTTTGCTATTTGCTGTGTGGCAGAGCAGAACCACTGATCAGTCTCTCCCAGACGCACAAATGGGTCAGTTTTTTTTTTTTTTTTTTTTTTTTGTTTTTTTTTTTTTTTTTTTTCAGTTCATTGATCTTGCGATTGTAGTGTTAAAAATTGAAACTTTGAGTTTCAATTCGCTTTCCCATCTCTTTTTTACCCCTATCCATTTTTTTTTCTTTTTTTTTTTTTTTCCTCTTGGGTCAGATTTTCGGGCAGAGGAGAAAGAAGAGGGGAAGGTGGAAGAGATGATGATGATGGAAGGAGTAGCATCAATAGCATTGTTGCCATGTGGCTCTATCTCAGGACACTTCATCCAACTTCCACATTCTACTTGCTTTGGCCTTTCTGGCACCGGTATAATCATACATGTGCATGGTTTCTTTGATTGACTAATATATGTTTTCTGCATGTCCCTACATGTGACATTCATTTAGGATCAGTTCCTCTATGAAAAAAAGTTTTGATCCTTATAAGCTTTTATTAGTGCACATAGATCCTTGTTATTACTTGCTGAAGTTTGAATTCTTAACAAACCTAAGTTTTTATCCTATATGCTCTTTTAGGGACTACAGAAACTTCATTCAGGGATTGATTTCTATATGAAAGTCACTGATAAGAACCAAATGATTATAGATTGAAAGATTATCATATGAGAATTATTCCCTCAGAATGGACTTTAGACATTAAGGGGTAACTGCTTTGTGCAGCAGCATTTTCCTATTTCTGTTTTTTGGCTTCATGATCAGTGTAAGCAAACTGGATCAGAATCTTGTATTTGATTTTTATTTAAAATTTTAAGGGCTCCATTATGCTCATGCATTGTATATTATTTGACTTATAATTAAATTAAATTTATAAACTAATTTAACTTCTTGTTAGCCTTTCTGCTAAAGATTGTAGTTATAATTACTAGCTTGCAAGAGTAGGAAATATCCTTCAGTTCGTATACAACATTACTTGTTCATGGTCCTATGTAAGCCGTCACTTTTATACAACATTTTTATACTCTATTATATCCATGTAGTAATTACTTGTACATGTTTCTTTTTTCATGAAAGAATTGGCATGTGAAAGGGAATGCAGTAGGGGTGAGGATTATCGCCTCATTAAACTCACAATCACAGATTTCAATGTAATAATTGTGCCCTTTGTGTTGTTCATTTTTCCTTCCCTTGTATACTTTATTCACATTTGGTTTTCATATAATAGACAAAGAAAGAGCAAGCCACTGTTGTGGAGTGCAAAGGCCACGATGCTGCTCGGTTCCACAGCATTGATCACATTCATGGGTAGAGCAGTGTTTTCATATATAATTTCTTTTTGAGTGCTCTCATCTGTGCTTTATGGTTTTGTTTTCTAATTTTAATTGATTCTTAGTCTGCATTTCTTTCAAGTTAAACTGTTAGAGTAATGTTATTTAGATTAAACTACATCTATAATCAGCAAACTGGTTAGATATAAGTTATAACTTTTGTATAGTGAAGACAACAAAGTCAATCTATGTCATTGGACTCTACTAGTATTTAACCTAGAATGACACCTATAGACAAATAGAGCTTGTTGCTGTTTAGCATGCCAATGCATATTGTTGCCGATTATCCACAAGTCATTATCTAGTTTTCACATGGTCCTTGTAGACAGTATTTTTCTTTTTTGTAGAAGGCACTTGATGGGTGTACTTTGGGATACATTATTTTAGATTGAACAATTAGTCACTATAGTTTCACACAAATTGGATTTTAGTCACTGTATTTCCCACTCATTTGGGTTTTTCAGTCCTTATAGTTTCTACTCATTAAGTTATGTGGCCCTATTTTCTGTGAAGGATTTTCCGCTATAGTTTGCAATGATTAAACTATTGGTCCCTAATAAACTAAAAGTCCAAATGAATTTAACTATCTTTTGTATTTCAACCTGTATTTAACATGAATAGTAATGGTCTGTGTTAGACTTTCTCTATTTATCTCTGATTCTTGTCTTCTGTTGGCTGTTTTTACCAATTATTGTATTGAATTTCTCATCCCAGATTGAAGTTCTCAATCATTTACATTTTTCTTCATTATGAATTTTTGGTGATATAACAACTGATTCCTGGCATATTCAACTTATTGTTGGCATTCACCTTTGAACAGTTGGGGTAAGGATATCACTGGTATGATTGAACAAAAGGATGGGAAGAAAAGAGTCTCTGTTTCATTTGAGTGTGAGACACTAAAAGCTGATAAAGCAGCAGAAGACCACATCACGAAGTTCATGCCCAAATTAGCCGGGCTGGATGCTGTTGGTAAGTGAATGTGACACAATTTAGTTCCACACCTTCCACCTTCAATAGTTTTTCCATGCTTTGCTTTCATTTAGATAGAAAATTTTGGATAGTTCTATCTTAAACTTCTTAGTACATCTGCATTTTTCAATGTTATTATCTCGTTTACCAAGCCCAATGGTGTCATGTGATTCATGTAATCAACCTAATAGGATAAGGATTGTTTAATTGATTTTATATCATCTGAAGAATTCCTTTTCATTTTCTCAAAAATTAAAAAGGAAAATTAAACAGTGGAACAAGTTATGGCATGTACTAGCATGAAACACTTTTCTCTATCACAAAGAATCTTGCACTCTTTTGGACCACCGGTTTGATAATGAGAAGAGCTTCTGTGAAACTTTCAATACCACTTCATTCTTAAAGCTTTGGAATTTTTGTATAAATTCATCAACAGCAACATGATGGGGTTAAGCTTTAGAATATGTAGGGGAAATGGCAATTTCCTTTCCCAGATTTTATTTGGATGAAGTTTGATGCATGCATGAGCTTAAGCACAAAGATTACAACCAGTTTTATTTGTTCAATACATTATATTGTTCAATTCCTCATTGCTTGCTTGCCCAGTTTTTTAATTGATGATTTGAATAATTGCAGTTAACATAGGAAAAATGACAATTTCTGGGTTGGATTTTGGAGCAGAGGAAGATGAGGAGACTGAGTAGAAATTTTGATATTTTGTTAGTTTTGATGAAATAAAAGTATTTTATGTTAATTGTGTATAACCTGTTTTGTCAGTTTATTATTACTGTTTTAGGTATGTAATTGTTGTTTTGAGATTAACAAATGGTAAAAGGAATATAGTAATGTCATAGTTTACAGTTTGTAGAGAACATTTTAGAAACCAAAATTTGATTATTCACATACATAGTTAATCAAAATTTAAATAATAAAAATATTAATAATGAAGATTGAAGGAATTATAAGTGTTAAAAAATATTTGAAAAAATATATATAATTATGTTTCGTTAACATTATAATAATTTTGAAAAGTTAACTTAAAACAATTTTAATGATATTAAATTAACGGTATTTTTAGCTTTCATAAATTGGTTAATTTAGTCTTATATAAAGGATTATATATATATATATATATATATATATATATATATATATTATTCTTGGTATAATTATATAATTAAAAATAAAAATTGTAGGGGTGTTTGAAAATTCGAGAATTGATGAATCTAAATCAATTCAACATTAGCTAAAATTATTTTAGATTGTGAATTTATTGAAAATATTGTTGATAAAATTTTAGAATGTAATTTTTATAAATTAATTATGATTAATTTTATATTATGAATATTGTAAATAAAATTATAGTAGATAAAAATAAATTATTCGATATTCTAATTTCTTATACTAAATTAGAGGATTTATAAATATTTACAAGTTTTTTTTTTAAATTAAGAAAATTTATGAAAGATTTATAAGTTTTAATTTGATATTTGATTTAATATACATATTATGTATATATTTAAGGTATTTGATAAAAAAAAATAAAACACAAATTATTTTTTAAAACTAATTAAAATAAGTGTTTAGGTCAATTTTGTCATAATCTAGATCTTAATTTTGATGTTAAATCCTTACCAATCCAATTCACCCACAGTAAAATTTATGAAAAATCATAAAAAAATAAAAAAAATAAGGGAACATCACTTATACTAAACATTATTATCCAGACAATTTCAAGGAGGAGAATCATAAATGAAGAACTCATTTATAATTTTTTAAACTTTTTTTTCTTTCAAATATTAGACCAATAGAAGAACTCTACCCAGTTTTTTCTGTTAATAAACTCACTGTAAACTCAACATTCATTCTAATTTCATGTTTTTGTAAAAGAGGAAAGTGTTTTATTTTCTATTTGTTAGAGAATTTCTAGTTTCTAATTTTTAATACTAAATTTTTTATTTCAAAAATAGACGATTGTTTGGATGAACGATGAGCATTTTAATTTAATTTTTTTTCTACTATTTTAATTTTCCAATTTTAAAATGGCATGTAATGGAAAAATGAATGCATCAATTTTATTTTATTTTTTGAAAAAAAAATGATGTTTTTCGTGTTTAAACCTACAATCAAATGTGCTTAAAGTTCATACTGTTTCATGTCATTAAATTTGATCCTCTTGATTTAAAAAACATGATGAATTAAATTGTTGGGCATCAACATAACTAAATTTCATGAAAATGGGTCTAGTTCTCAATAATGAAATATCTTCACATGGCATAGAACTGGTTTTTATATTTATAAAAGATGAAAATTAAATATTACAGGAAGTTATGGACTTCACAGATACAGGAAAGTACCTGAGAAGCATCAATATCTTACTCATTTTCAGATACATCTTCTGAATCAGAGAGTGGTAACAATGTGCAAACCCCAAGCAAGTGACCATTAAGACACACATAATACTCAATATAATCTTCATGGGAACCCAATCTCCACTTGGCACTTTGTGGAATCATATTGGCCTGCAGCATGCTCCACAACTTTGCCTTACAATAAGGGCAAATCTCAGTTGGATGGAGCTGTGCACCTCTGTTAACTATCATCCTCTTCACATTTGATGATGCAAACGACTTGAAAATTCCTCTGAAGAATCCTAAATCACCAGCTTCACCTTGGTCAATATGCTCACAAGGCTCAGACACATACAAAACATCATTTGTGCACTGTGGCATGAGAAAGCTCTTTCCTAATGTCTTAGAAAATCTAGTCTTATTAACAAAATGACCAGGAACCTGAACACTATCTAACAAACCACCTTGTGTGCAACCTGAACAGTATATGAGAAGCTTCCCTAGTGCCCTCCAATTTCCATCTGCACTGTGGCTTCCACTAGATTGCAGATCAAGCATCATCTTAGGAGCTCTTGTTCGACAAAACTCTTTCCATAGAACTCGCTTTGCAAGATCATCAAACCATTTGCATGCACACGACAGAGTAGCAATTAGATTGGGGTTCCAATTCAAATGCTGAAACACCAAGAATATCACATCTTCACTTAGATGCCCCTTTGTGCATTGACAGCTAGCTGAATGTACGCATCGATATTGCTTTGTGAGAATCATTTTCTTCACCTGAAGTTTACACAGAACACTTATCAGTTTGTGACAGATTTTTCCATGGCATACTTGAGAATATTCATACATTTGACAAGTTTTAATAACCAAATTTCTTAATTAGGTAGTCCATGGTAATCAAGAAACATCAGGATAACTAATGTAACCAATACTAAACTGTGCAATTTATTACATGCAAAACATATACCATATAACTAGAATTGACCTCATCAAGCTGCTTTCTAAAATACTCAAAAGTTTGTTTAAGAAAATAAATGTTTTCCTCCTCCTCTCAATGTACTGGTTTGTGGTGAACTTTCTGGCTACTGTTATTCAATTACTTACTAATCTTACAATCTATAGTGCACAGATATGACACTTGTAGCAAATTAAAGTGCATAGGTATGACACTTCAATAACATTTCATTTATATCTTCAAACAGAAAATGAAGGGTACAATTTTTTTAAGGAGGAATGAACAACTGATGGAATAATATACATATAGAATGAGGTATTACACGGAACTCAAATGCAGAAAACAAATCCCAGAGAGAGGGATGTTCAGTTCATTTCAATTCAAGCAACAGCACTGCATCTTAAAATTACTTCAAAATCCAACCATCTAAGAGAACAAAACTTTCTCAAACTCAGATAACCATATGTATCAGATGAAGCTCAGCATTCAGAGCTATACGTAAATCACATTTTTCATTTCCCAACACCAATAACCCAATCTACAGCAGCCACGTCACAGAACAACGTTAAAAGACATGACACATGTCAGATGGTACGGAAGTTTAACATAAATTTCTTAATCCTTACTACGTAGACAAATCCAATCTCCAAAATGACCCTTCACAAGATTTCCCGTAATCCCCACACGAAACTAGAAATTCATGAAAACCCTCCAAACAAATGGGAAAAAATAAACTAAAGCAAACAAAAAAAGAATAGAAAAATTAATCGCAGTAACTTGAAATTAGATAAAAAAAACAAGAAAAATAAAGCAAAACAAACCCAGATTGTAGTTTAGCTAATGGAGCCAGCTTTAGCCAAAAAACAAACAATGGTTTGCTTTGAGAGCAAGTAAAGGGAAAAGGGTACATGAGAAACAGTAAAATAAAAAACAGAGCAGGAGAAAGCAACTTGAATGAAAAAGTGGGATTAAAATTCAGTGTAATTTTCACCTCTGAGCAGGGCAACACGGTCCACAAAAAGCACAGAGCAACACACTCATCTCAAAGCAGCAAAGAGAAAGAGAGAAGGTAAGAGGAAGAAAAGCAGAGAAGACGTAGAAAAAAAAGCAAGAAACAGAAACACATGAAGAGAAAAAGTGTAATATATTGCAAGACATGCATAGAGTAACTGGGTGAGTACGGACTGCAACAAGGACAAATGAGAATGTGATACGTGTCACCCATGTCATCTTGGTCCAGCTGGCACACATCATTCTCAAGTGGCATTTGGAAGACTGTATTCAGAATTCAACCCACTTCTCTTCGACACTTTCTTCAAAGTTTATCAAATTGATAAAAAAAAAAAAAATTGTAAATAATTTTTATTATTATTTTGTAAATTATTTTTGTAAACCATTTTCTTTTATTTTCCTTACCTTAGACCTCAAAAGGTTATTCTTTCAGCAACAGACAACTCTGCCACGTGTCTCATTATTAATGTTTCGCCTTTCATTTTCGTTTTTTATTATTATTATTTGTAGAAATTTATATGATTGAATACAACTTGCTACTTTATCTTTTAGCTTTCATTTTTTTTCGGCTCAATCAAATCAACTTGCTTTGAATTTTTGTCCTTTTTTCTCACTTTTCCCTACTCAACCTTTTTTCTTTCTTTATATTGGATTCAATCAAATTCACAGTTTTGGATTTATAAGAAAATAAAAGTACTAACTTCAGTATTTTTTAATTAAATATTTATATTTTGAAAAGAAGATTTATTAATGTGCAACTCGCAGAAACATATAGAAACAACAATAATCATAATAACTTATAAAAGACTAATATATCATACAAATTCTTAGGAGGAAAAAACAAAGTTCATGTGTTAGTTTGAGTAAAAAGTATTCAACTTTTTATTTTTCAATCACGAAGATTATGCTAGAGAAAAAAATATTTTTTTTGTTACAAGTTAAAAAAAAGTCAATTTTAGCTGAAAATTATTTATTATCATTATTATTATTATTATTTAGAATAAAAGCATAATCCTGTATATTCATATTTTTTACATAATTATTTTTTAAAAATATTATTTTGTTTCTTACTCTATTATATTTTTTTATTACTTTTTAAATATATAAATTATAAGAACTATATCGTTAGTGACATTATCATAAAGATATTAAATATTTTAAAACTTTTAATTATCATGATTTTTTTTTCTTATAAGATATTTCAATCAATAAAAAAACTAATATATATAAATTATTAATATATAATTTAAAATCTAAAAAAAATTAATCTTTATTTAATTGAAGAGTAAAAAATAAAAAGATAATCATAAATATATATATAAGTGATGCAGAAAATAAGCAAGGAAAGCAAGTTGCAGAGAGAACATTGAGAAGGTGGCAAGAGAGGTGGGGTTGGAAAAATGGTGGATGAAATGTTTGACAGATTGTGAATTGGAGAGGATAAGAAGGAAATGAAATGAATAAGAGAAGTAGTGGCAGGCAAAGGAGGTATAAAGAGAACAAAAATGTTGAACAAGATAGTGACTGTAGCAAACCTCTCTTTCATCTTCATCTGGTCAAATGCAAACAAGTAAACCTAACGATATTTTAAGAGTGGATTTCTTCAGATTTTTTAAAGACTATAAAATCAATAAGAATTTGTTTACAAGTTGACTTTGATTTTTATTATAAAATCCAATGGAATTTCATTAAAAAGTGTGTTATTAGCGTTTTGTTTTTTTGTTTTTAAAGAGTTTCACATGATGTAGGGGCCTCATCTCATACACTTACTTGAAAAGTGTTCCTAAAAACTAAGTGTGAAAGTTATTCCATTCTTTGAATGGGGTCCTCTCATTTATGGGTTTTGGAAATGTTGATGTGATTATTGAAGAACAAGTGTTGAGAGGAAGCACTTCTTCACGCGTGACTAGGAACCACCTTTCAATCTAATCATTCAATGTCTCAATTTTCCAAATCCATTTGCTTCAAAAATGCATACAATTTTGGCAATACTTTATAGCCAATCAACCATAATCTAACTATTCTTTTTCTTCTCCTTCACATTATTATTGCATTTCTACTCCATTCATTCATTCATTCATGCACCAAAATCTCGTTCTTTTGTTTAAAACTCTACCACCCAATATAAATCATACCTGACCGGAACACTAATTATAATTGTGGCTGGATCAATTTTATTTTCTATAATTCTTAATATAAGCTATCAAGGTATTAATATCATTTTTGAAAAATGTTTAAAAGCTTTTAGAAAGTATTTAAATGTTTTTTTATGGAATATAATATCTTTACATTTTCTTTAATGATGAATGATTATTAATGAGAGTAAAGATTGATGATACATTAATAGTATTTAAAAAAAACTGATAAAATCAACTAACTTGTGTATTTGTTTATGTCTTTAAAATTATATTACATATGCATATATTATTAAGAATTTGAAAAAAGTAAGTTTTTTTACATCATAAAAAAGTGATGAAATGTAACATTGAAGAGTTGCATACATACGATGAACCTGATATTGAAGAGAAACTTATACTCTTTTGATACTGCTACTTATTTTAAGTCTCTCAAATTAGACAATCTTAATTAATTAATTAATTTTAAAAATTATTTTTGTAAAATAGTATATTTCTCTACAATAGAATAATTTCATTAGTTTTCACAATCTAAAAATATATAGGAATGAATCCATTAAATCATTTAAATCCTCCCCTTTCAGTTAAAACTCATAAATAATAATAAAAAAAACATCATATTTTATCATGAATTATTAACATGTCAAAACCACAACTTCACGTTCTTTTGAATCTTTGAAATTTAAACAAACTCTTATTATTTTTTATTCCCAAGTCGTCTAATTAAATAAACAAAAGTGGAAAAAAAATTATTAAAAAGTATTGACATTAAAATCATAAAAGAAAGGTGAGATAGTTGAATATGAACTCAACCCCAACTTTACACGGAGATATTGAAAGAAGAATCATCCAGATTGGGCAGTGAATTTGGGGGTGAACCGGAACACCTCCGACGACCTCCAATTCTGATTATCCTTTTACCCAATAGGCCTACCCACCATACCCAGTAATCATCTTTATAAATAATTAAAGAAATATGGACTAACAACCTCAATATTAACATTGTGATATTATTAATCGTAAACTAATAATTTACATATAACTTTTATTCATTTATCCATGTTTGAACTAACTTTTTTACAAGTATTTTCAAGGAAAAAAATGGAAGTTAAAATTATTTTTTATATAAATTAACTTGTCAAAATTTTATTTTATAACTTTCTTTTTAATTTTAAAATTGTACATAAATTTTAGAGTGCTGATATATTGGACTTTTTTTCATAAATAATACTGTTTTCAAAAATATTTACCAAAATAGCACCTGCAACTTTATTTACACAAACTGTTCACGTAATAATACTGTTTACTGTACACGAAGGGGTAATCTGGGGTAAATTCTCGCTCAAGCGAAGAAACCCTCGCTTGAGCGAAAAATATGATCGATTATTATCCAATTATAGTCGATCACTTTGACATATATGACTTTAGATAGCGGTTAGTTGGCCAACCGCTATCTAATATATATTTTTAAAAGCGGTTGTTATCAACCGCTATCTAAGGTGAATCAAGCGAAAATCACATCGCTTGAGCGAGGACACCTGGAAAAATGGGGGATTCTCGTTATATCCACCAATGCATTGGTCAGAACTACCTTCATTTTGTGACATTCTCTTCTTCACACTGTCAGCCACTGTTGGACCTTCAGAAGCCTCCTCCGTGGATGACTCCCATTTTTCTGTTACAATCTGACCTTCCTCAATATCCGAGCTTTCTTTCTGCCCTTGATCTTGAAGGCTCTGGACCCATTTCTTAATTTGGAGGTTGCTCTCGTATTTTGGGGCGTCAAATTTGATGGCACTTTTATTAGATTGAGAAAAAGCCACTGGAGCTCTCCTCCGCTTCTTAGCAATCCCCTGATTGACATTTTCAAGATTACCATTGGACAAGATTACCATTGGACAAGCAAAACTGTTTTTAAAGAGAATTTTCAAATCTGCTGCAATAATTAATCTGTTGAAAGTTTGTTTTAATCTGTTGAAATAGTCGTTATAATCTGTTAAAAGTCCTTTCAACCCATTAATGCGTTCTTGTTTCTTTAACAGAATGTTTTTAGTTGATACAACCATGTTTATATCAGTTAAAACATTTTACAAACATTTTCTGAGTGATTCAATCGATTGATTCGCGTTTTAATCGATTGATTTGCTTTAAAACTTTCTTATAAAACTTTTCAAGTTATTTTAACTGATACAAAGAAGTTTTAATCGATTAAAAACCTGCACAGAATTTTTCTAAGTTGTTTTAATCGGTTGAAACGAGTTTTAATCGATTGAAAATCTGTACAAAGATTTTCCAAGTTATTTTAATCGATTGAAATTTGTTTTAATCGATTGAAACTCTGTACAAAAATTTTCAAGTTATTTTAATCGATTGAAATACGTTTTAATCGATTGAAATAGGTCTGATCGGTCATAATTCATTTCTGATCGATTATAACCATCTCTGACCGGTCATAATTTTATTCTGATCGATCATCCTGACTTCCAAAGTGGTTTTAATCGATTAAAAGAAGTTTGTATCGATTAAAATACTGTAAAAACACTTCTTTAAACATTCTAAGTGATTTTAATCGTTTCTTTTAAAACTATATCAGTTAAAAACATTATTAAGAAAGTTCTTTGTCAAAATGCTTTTGTTTTTGATTTGTTTAAAACTATTTTTGAGGCATTTTGCAAAATGATGAAGAAACTTTATGCAGCAGAAAAGGTAAAATGGTTTTACCTAAACTTTCTGTTAAGACACACTAAATCTTCAGCTCAATTTTTGACTTTATCTTTGACTTCATCAAATCAATGAGATCTTTGCTAGTATCACTTTCAGTATATGACTTTAGATAGCGGTTATTTGGGGAAGCGCCATCTAAACTACTACATTAGAAAGTGGTTAAAGCCTAAGGTGACTCAAGCAAAAATCACATCGCTTGAGCGAGGACACCTGGAAAAATGGGGGATGAAGAAGCCTTCAAACAAGGGGGACTCTCGGGTTCTGTTTCGCTCGAGCGACAGAGTGATTGAAATCTGTTTCAATCGATTATAACGTATTTCAATCGATTAAAATAACTTGGAAAAATTTTGTACAGAGTTTCAATCTATTAAAACACGTTTCAACCGATTAAAACAACTTCGAAAAAGTTTGTACAAAGTTTTAATCGATTAAAACTTCTTTTTATCAGCTAAAATAACTTGGAAAGTTTTTATAAGAAAGTTTTGCAGTATATCAATCGATTAAAACACGAAACAATCGATTGAATCAAACTTAGAAAAGTTTTGTAAAGTGTTTTAATTGATATAACCGTTGTAGTATCAGCTAAAACAAATCTGTTAAAGAATGAAGAACGTATTAATGGATTGAAAGGACTTTTAACAGATTGAAACGGCTATTTCAACAGATTAACTAATGCAGCAGTTATGAAAATACTCTTTAAATTCAGTTTGCTTGAACTTTTTAAACATACATTGAATAAGATCTTCGTTTTATCAAATGATTCAATAAGATCTTCATCATTTTCAATTAATTGAAAAACTCCTAAGTTTCATACATTGAGACATTTCTTAACTAACACAATCTAATGATGCGAAGTAGATGCACATGCAATATTGGGACATGTTCTTCTGCTATGACCAGGGGTATGACAATATGAACATTTTTTAATCCTACTTTGATGTTCTGTAATGTCCATCTCAGTTCTTATACGACTTGATTTTGGTCGGCCCTTTGAAGTTCTTTTCATTTCTGGATTTGCACACAAAGTAGGTCCTGTGTATGTTGGCCAATATTCTTCATTTCGCAATAACCCAAATTGTGTTCCGTATACCTTTGAAACTTGTTGTAAGGTATACACTGAATTAATATAGTTGTTGAAGTCATGGTGTGCATGCTTGCATGCAGCAAGAACATGTGAACAAGGCATGTGAAATTTTTGGAATTTCCCACAGTCACACCATAACTCATCAAGGTGAACTGCAAACTTCCCTGCTGGTCGAACTTCACGCGGGTTTTTCAAAACAGAGTTGATAGACTCTGCTATGTTGGTCGTCATGTGGCCCCAACGTCGCCCATTGTCCCATGCAAGTGCCCATTTTTCTCTAGGTATCTCATCCAACCAATTAGCTGCTTGTATGTCACATTGCCTCAAGATGTTGTAATAATAGTAGAATCGTGGTTCAGTCATCCCATACGCTACAACAATATTAAAAAAACATAGTTAATATAAATATTTATTAGCAACAATTATATAATGAATAAATTGAAACAAATTTGAAGCAAAGGAATTACCCATATTTACAACATCTTTCCTCAGTGCGGTGTTTTTGAAATGTCTCATAAAATTCTTGTGCTACTGCAACCAAGGTACCTCTATATTTTCCATACAAAAAAGTTCCGTCCACTTGAACAATGGGCTTGCAGTGAACAAATCCATCTATGCATGACCTAAACGCCCAAAACACACGTTTAAAAATATTTGAATTTTGTTGAAGGACTTCACCTTGGTAAGCTGGTTGTGACTGCAGTTTGTAGATGAATCCGGGAACAAATTGTTGCATCGCTTGTAACAAACAAGGCAACTTCTTATACGAATCCTCCCAATTGCCGTAGATGATCTCCACTGCCCTTTGTTTTGCCAACCAGGCCTTCCTGTATGTTATAGTGTAACCCGTTGTTAATTGGATGTGGGCTATGATTGTGGATATTGGTGTTGACGAATCAGCATCAATTAGTTGACCAATTGTTTGGGAAATCATTTTATATCCCACATAGACTTGAGTTTGTGGTGAAGGGTGAAATTTCTGGTGAGTGTGTGTTGGGGTATGAAGAAGAAGAAGTTTTAAATGAAACAAAAATTTCAATACCACATAGACTTGAGTTTGAATCATGCACATCGAACATGGCCTCCACGTCGTCATCATCTTTCAACTCAACAGCAATGAAGTTGTTGATCCCAACTCCGAGTCTAGTTGGACAGCGAAAATGGATGGTTGCTACATTTTCATGGGGTTCTTTCTCCAATTTCTTGTGGATCAACTTCTTCAGCCTTTGTAGAGAAATTCCTCTCTTTAAAGGAACAAGTTTTGCAGTCCCAGTATTGAAGGTAACTCCCTCCATGGGACATGGGTTCATGAAACCATCATAGTGGACAATAGTAGACACTACACCCATTTGAGGAGTGTGGAACACAAAGAAGACTAAAGGTAAGAAGAAGAAATAATGCAAATAGCTTCAGAGATTTAGGAGTGTGCAATGTGAGAACTTCAAAGAATGAAAGTAGTCTATTTATAATGAAGTCCATTGGTTTCAATCAATGCTCCCTCACATGGTTTCTGCTTTTTTGTCTAACCCAATGCAGGGAATCCAAGATTGGAATCCTAACTTAGGTGGGTAACTCAGCATTGGATTCTTTACTTGTGTGCATCAGAAAGACATGGGAATCCTGACTTCGGTGGGTGACTCAGCATTGTAAATAGTTGAAGGTTTTCTCGCTCAAGCGATGCTTTATCGCTTGAGCGAAAAAGAACCCGAGAGTCCCCCTTGTTTGAAGGCTTCATCGCTCAAGCGGTGACTTTATCGCTTGAGCGAGTAATGACCGAATCATGAAACGCCAAACGCAGTTAGCCAAATAATATAACTTGGTTCACCACATATTAGAATCACTTGTCACTCAAGCGTTCATAATGTCGCTTGAGCGAGACAGAACCCGAGAATCCCCCATTTTTCCAGGTGTCCTCGCTCAAGCGATGTAATTTTCGCTTGAGTCACCTTAGATAGCGGTTCATAACAACCGCTTTTAAAACTGTATATAAGATAGCGGTTGGGCTTTAACCGCTTTCTAATGTAGTAGTTTAGATAGCGGTTGGCCAAATAACCGCTATCTAAAGTCATATATGTCAAAGTGATCGACTATAATTGGATAATAATCGATAATACTTTTAGCTCAAGCGAGGGTTTCTTCGCTTGAGCGAGAATTTACCTCAGATTACCCCTTCGTTCCTTATTCCCTCGCTCAAGCGAAGGTTTTGCTTCGCTTGAGCGAGATTCAGTACGCGAAATAATATTATTTTAATATGTGAACAGTAAACAGTTGCGCGAAATAATATTATTTTATTAGGAAAATGATACTTTGACAACCCAAATCCATATAACTCCTATAAACAACTCTCTTTTAATATTATAATAATAGTTTTATTTTATTTTTATTTTTATTCAATCATTTTATAGATTATTATATTAATAAAAGTGAGTTGTTTGAAGGGTTGTATGATTTTTGGTTGTCAAAATATCACCACTCATTTTATTACGTGAACAGTAAACAGTACTAGTTGTTTAAATAAAGTTTCAGAGGTGTTGGTAAATATTTTTGAAAACATTATTATTTATGAAAAAAAGTCGATATATTGACAACCTGTTTTAAACATCCGTTCGACAACCCAATAAAAAAATAATAAATGTACAGTGTTACTGAATAAAAAAATATTTAATGTACAGTGTTTTTATTATTAAATAATTCATTCCTTGGTCATCTCTCCTCCTTTTCCGATTCTCATTTTTGTACCACAGAACTTTCTAGTTCCTTCGTCGACCTCGACCTTCGCGGTTGTGAACTTGCCCAACTTGTTAGTCGAACTCACTCACCACCGCATTGTACAATTTTTCCGGCAATATCGCCAACGTGGTTCCGTTGGCATTTCAAATTTAAATAATCTTTTTCTTAAATTGGGACTTTAGATAGCGGTGTCCAGAACCGCTATCTAAACCTAATAAAGAGAAGAAATAAACGCTATTAAAAGTATATTTTCGGTTTTATATGATCACTTTTAAGAGCGGTTAATATTTTGACCGCTCTTAAAAGCATATTTCGCTCGAGCGATACTAGTGTCGCTCAAGCGAAACTCAACCCGAG